TAAAGGTTTGGGATAATAATATAATTGGAGAATTAGTAAATATTAATCCTATTTTATTTTATAGAATAAAAATAGAAGGAGGAGTTGAAAGACGAGGAAGGGTTATTAAATTAAAGAAGATTAGTACTTTTTTAATTACTTTCTTCATTATAAGCATATTATCCCTTTTCCGTTTATTTATATTAGATTAACCATTAATATATCGGGTAAATTATTAATTTGTTATTAATTTACTATTTGCCTTCATTATATTACAGTTTAATTAATTTATTAGTAAAGTAGTTCGATATTCGAATTTAATATTATATTTTATCTAAATCTATTCGTATATTATGAAATAGCGATCGAACCTTATATTCCTATTAATAGGTTAATTATAATATATTAATAATTTACACGTAAATATAAAGAAGTAGCGATATAAACCGATCGCTCCAATAGTAAGATTATTAATATTATATTTCGACTATATTAATATTTAGTCGAAATATATCCTATATCTCTTGGTTTATATTAAAATAAACGCGGTTATACTTAGCGCGAACAATTAGGATATTTTCATTTTGAACCTAATTACGAATTTCTTCCCGCGAGTTATTTATAGAATAATTATTAGTTATTATAAACTTAATATATATATAATACTAATAATAGATTTATAACGGATTTACGGGCTTATATAATAATATATAAGTATAAAAATTCCGGTCCGGAATTTAGGTCCGATTTGCAATAGAGATCAACCCTGAATAGTATCCGGAAGAAAACCCGGAGGAAAATCTAAACCTCGACCTTCGTAGTCGAATTCCGGCCTCAACGTTAGTCGAACGAAGTCCTATGTAATTCCATTGGAAAGAACGGAACATGACGTTTCCGACCGTACAAACGGTTTCGTTATATAATAACCATATAGAGTAAAAGTGAAGAAAGAAATCCGAGAAGATTTTTGAGTTCGGATTCGAATTCTGGACCCTACAGCTAAGGTATAAGAATAACCAAACTGCCGTTGGAATGATCAGAAAATGACTATTCCAAAGATATAAACGGTTTTATCACTCGATGACCCATTAATTCAAAAAGTCTATTTGAAGAGGGCTTCCCTCGAGGAAAGGGGAAAAGAAATGTATTTTAGACACTCATCAATATCTCGACGAATCTACTACTATTCGCTATATTCTATATACTATTCTACTCTACTTTGAACGCTCCACACAACCGTATTAACCGTACCTTCGTACCTCATCCACTCGTTGATCGATACCTTCCAACAATAGTAATACTATAAAGGCTTTTTTTTAAATAATTCCCGCTATTTAATTATATATTTATAATTAATTTTAAAGATTTTAAATATTATTTTAAAGGTAAAGGTATATATTTTCAGCGAGTTAATATTAATAAGGATCCAAATAAGAAGGATAGTTATTAGAATTAGAAATTTTTTAAGGATGAATTTAGGATAATTTAATAATTTATATCGTTTTAATTATTTTAAATAGAAACGTTAAATAATTTCCCTATTCTTTATACCGGAAAGATATTTATAATTTATATCCAATTTAAAGGATTTAATAAAGCTTTTACGAAAGAATTCTATTTATTTTTTAAAGAAATAGATAATTATAAAATTAATCCTATCGTTAAAGACTTTCTAAATATACTATTAAAAAAGAAAATTTATAATTTATCCCTAATAAATCCCGAATATATAAATTTATACGAATATTTAGATTTTAGTATTTTAATTAATACTCTTATATCATAATTTTAAGATTCGAAGCTCTTAAAGGCTAAATAAGAATACGATATTTTTCAATTACTAATTGAATTTTATTAATATTATTAAGACTCGTATAAATTTAGTTAATAGTATTAATATTATATTCGTTAAAGAATTAAATAGAATAGAGGTTATAAGTTAAGGTTATTAAATTGCGGATTAATTTCTAATCGATCCTTGATCTATTAACGATATATTCCGGATTTATTTATTCTAAATTATATTAAGACTTTCTATCCTCTTTAATACCCATATTAAATTATTAATAATCCGTTTAGGGGTTTTATTAGGAGGAGGTGGTAGGTATGTATATTGATTATAGGAAATTATAATAATATATAGTATAATTTTAATATCGATTAGAATATAAAAGTTATTGATAATATTATAATTTCGAATTTTAATAATACTATAGCTTTAAATATAATCGGTCTTTAATTTATAGAAAATAAATTTTTAATAAATCTTAAATATATTAAAGAAAGATCTATTTATTATAGTACGTCCTCCTGATTAATATAATATTCGTTTTAATATACGTTTTAATATATAATAAATCTGGTATAGAGTCCTTTGAATACTTTTTAATAATTAGTTTAATATATAATTAATATTAATTAAAGTTATTAGGGAAGTTAGTAAAAAAGTGTATTCTCTTTCCCGGCTTCGAATTCTAATACTTTAATTAATAGTGATTATAGCCGGTAATTCTTTAAATAAAAATAAACTTTAAATATAACGGTAATTATTAAAAATATATGCTAAATGAAAATTTATTTTATTTATATACTAAACGAATTTGTATAACGATTTCGATTTTTTACAACCTTGTATTTTCTAACCCATCTTAATCGCATATATTTAATTAATCATTAAAATGGTATCAATAAAAAATGATTATTTTCGATTAGGTTAAAGCAATATAAAAGATAGTTTAAGAATAAATTAAAGATAAATCCGTATTTAATAGTTCGCTTAATTAAAAGGACTTTATTTTATTAAAAATGGATTTTAAAGAAAAAGTTTATAACCTTTTTATTAATTATAATAGTAGACCTTTATTAGTACGCTTACTAAATTCGCAGGTCTAAATATTTATAAGTAATATAATAATATATAACGTTATTTAAGTAATTAGACGAGGTATTTTTAGTAAGTATTTTCCTCTTTATATAATATTGAATTTATAATATTATAGATTAATTAGGGATTAATCTTATATGTATTACTAATTTATTTCGAACTACTTTACTCTATATATTTCGTCCTACAGGGCTTTAATTTAAGCTTCGGTTAAGCCCTTAATGTTTACGACGTAGGCTACGTTAGGAATAGAAGATTCGGTGTATTTTAGAATAATTATAATACAGTATATTATTTAAACGAAATTAAAGTATTAATTAATATTATTAGATAAGATAAATATTAGGCCTATAGTTTTAACCTTTATATAATTAGTATTATTATATTATCGATTAATAAAAGATGTATTTAAGATATATTAATAATATATTAACTATATTTATTAGGAGGTCAGTTAGTATCGATATATTAGGAGGGGTTGTATTTTTCAATTCCTCCAATTTATTAAATTCAACTATTATATTATCTATTTATTTTAAATTAAATATTATTAATAGTTTAGTAAAAATTATATTATTCTATTTAATTAAACTGAATTTGGTAATAATTATTAAAGTATCGGCGTTAATAATATTATTATTAACTATTTTACGAAGATAATTTAGGAATATATTAGAAATAATTTACGGGTTATTCGTGTGTAACGAGGAGATATCGGTCGCGGTTAGTTTATAATTATTTTTAGATATACGATCGTTAGTATTTAAAAGGAGTATTTAAAAACGCGAATAATATTATTTCTCTATAGGGAATTTCGAGCGAGCGATTAATTATTTTTTTACGGGAAACGCAAATATTAAGGGGGCGAGGGTCGGATGAGAGATTTTTTATAGTGTGGGGTCGGTTTTGGCGTATCTACTTAGGTTAGGAAGCTTTGGTAATGGGGTCGGGTCATGTGAGTACTCCGGGCTAGTCGGGACCCTGTCGGTGACGGTCGACAAAGTGATGACAGGTGGGACCGGGCCGGGGCTCGTCCAGATCCGCGGAATCTCGGCAGTCGTGAAACGAAGTCCGTGTTCGGCGTCAAACGTTGCCTGGGGAATGCCAGCCAAACAGACATTTGGGAATCTCATCGTCTTTCTTTGGGACTCTCTATTTTTAGCCATATCAGAAAGTGAAAAGCGGGAAACTGACTTCTCTTCTCCCCCAGCTTCGGCGATACCGACAACTTGGGAACGAGTGATTCAAACATTGCTTTTGCCATGCTTCGGCGCGATCGGTTGGTTGGGACCAGGAATTGTGGACCATAAACGGTTCTTGGCATGTCGATCGGGTTAAAGCCATCGAAAAGGGGTTTTAAACCCCAAATCTGTCGGTACGAATCGGTGTTTGACCGAAAGTTCTGACGTCGGTTACAGGTCACTGATGATATTGTGAGTGGTGACATGGAACTGGAGCCATCCGGTGGTTGTGGTGTCGAACTTGACGGAATAGTACCAAGGTAGAAGGGATTTCGGGCCACTGAATCAATCTCTCATCTGAAGACCAAGTTGAGATGTCGTCGTAGTCAGAAGTTGGTCTGTTCAACGCCAAAGCCCTGAACGAAAGGGGATTTCCATGTTCCCCAGACCGATAGTTCGTGATATCAATGAACCGCCCTGAGTTCGGTGTCGTCGTCGAAAGCTCCCGTCGCGCAAAGGGCAGCCGACGTCCGGCTCTGTGATTGGTTGAATTCTGCCCCTCCTTGGAGCCGCTTGCCGGAACATCTGACGATATGAACCATTCTTTCCGCGACTTTGGTTTGCGGGCAGTACGAAAGGCGTGTGGACGGCCATCATGATCTTTCCAACTTGTTCCACTCCTGTGTTAATGTTACGCGGCGGTGTGAAACTACGATGTCCATTGGTTATCCCGATCGATGGTTTGAGATTCCAATTACTGTTAACTACTCAACGTGGATGCTTTGTAGCATTGATTTCCTCAGCTGACGGTAACAGGAGATTGGTTGGAGGGGGAGATTCGCCCAGAGTTGACAGAATTGGGTGGGCATCCATCTCGCGTGGCATGAACCAGGGGTCCACCTCATCGAACATTGGAAGCTTTCGAAACGTTCTGTGCCCCGTGTGCCCATGTGCCCTGGCAATTTCGCCCTGCCCTGGTTTGCCTGGCCTGCCTGGTTCCGAACTGCCGTCCTCCACGTTTCCATGGATCCATGGCAGCGAGACCCAGCTTGTCAGAAACCCAGATACTATTTGGGGCTCATCTCAAAAGTCATCGTGGTGTAGATCAGAAGCCGCCATGTTTGATTTGTTCCTGGATCGTGTGTCATCTCTTTTTGATCATTTTCTTTCACCGTTTTATCTTCTCTCATCTAGATATCATACCCACCTCGTCTTGGCACTAATATCTGATGGAGAAGGCCTCTGGGCATTGCTTACAATGGCTTGCATTGAGAGGAGGATGGACACAACCTGAACCGAGAGCCATGGATTGCCGCGAGGCGAGGTGCATCATCCAAAACAAGCGGAAATCATGGGGCTTCTGGAAGCCTTCTCGAAACCTTCCTCAAGAGGACAAGTTTCAATCTCTCGCCAATCTCAGGTACCACAACAGCGCCCCCCACTGCCCCTGTCCAGAAATCCACGGCTTGTGAATGGCAGTCCGTCCAAAGGAGCGCCATTTTCAGTGCAACCACCAGAAATGCCCATTTCATGCAAACGGGAAACGGGCTTGGCTGGCTTGTTGGACAAGCTCCACCACCAACGTCCAACCAGCCGCGACAGAAGCCACGACGAAGACGCGAGAGGCCAGCCTCAAGTAATTCTTCAGCTGTCATTCCCCAGCCGTGAGCTTGCCGCGGGAACCCTAGGTAGGGCTGTTTCACTGTCCTATAGCCTGAATCAAGGGGGAAGACACATCCGGGTACTAGCACGACATGATGGCAAACGATGGGGCATACAACCTACGTAGGCGTCAAATATTTAATATTACCCGTGCGTGGTGGTGAGGCCCGGCTGTCCTCGCAACGTACTGATTATGCGTGTATCGATGCCTTTTGATGATAACGATCATGACCACAGGTTCGGTGCAAGCCCTATTCATATGCGCAGATGTGTAAAGTGGCTAGACGTTTTATGACTATAAATGCTATCTACGGTAAGCATGGGTAGTTGAAATAAGGGAAGAAAGGCAGTGAAGCAACAATAGAAGCAGAGCCTGGTCAGTTACCACGTAGCATCCCGCTTTTGGCTCGGAATAACACCTTATATTGGTGAATCTTGATGAGTTTGTCGCCATTGATTCTGTGTTTGGTTTGGCGTGCCCGACTCCTTAGTGGGTTTGAAGGTGTTGACACTTGACACGAACTCGATATGGACACATCTCGCGAGCTGGGAAACCTTGGTCAAGGATTAGGGTTCACAGACTCTCGCATGCCGTTTTTTCTCGCATCTGAATTTCAGATATGCACCGATGCAGATGTCCGATTGTGCACAACTGGTGAAGTGATCGACTGGTGTTGTGCTTGCAGAGGTTTTGTCCATTGCGTGTGCCGCGTAGGAATCGGATGATAAATGGAGGTCCGTAGCGTAGCTACCTCTCGCAGCTAGCTCTGCCAGCTGCGTCTGGGAGGGACTTGCCCGTCTTTGGCCGATATCAACACTTCACCAGCTGTCGGACGGCTGCAAAAAACACTACAACACACGGACAGGCTTGGCAAAACCAAAAAGCCGGTGGAGACACACCGAGCTGCCAAGCCACAAGGGCAGGGATGCTTCACCTTAGCATCCGCCCGTCGTTCGTTTTTACTTTTTCTGCTGGCCCTTCGTCTTGGCACTGGCGCGATTCCACCGATTTATTTTTCGACCGTGCCCACCTCAATCCAATCCACCCACACACGGCCACACGCACGTCCAGGACTCCCGGGCGGTCAAGCGACTTTTGCGACACGGCGCTCCATCACCCATTGTCTCTTTAACATCGATTACATTCCACCGTACGTCAAATTTTCCAGCAGCTCGATTTTTCTGCGAGTTGTTTTCCCCCGCGACGCATTTTTCTCGCACCTCCAAACCCGCGCGCTCATTCCACGTCACCCTGTTTAGGCGGTTCGTCGTGTTGCATTGAAACGCGGTGCTCCGTACTCCATCGTGACGGCAGACACACGGATCTCACGAATATCAAAGTGCCAAAGAGGTACGTGCTTTTCATTTGGACTCATATCAACAAAGTGGTCCGAGCATCGTCAAGTCCGCAGTAGCACCTTTCACCTACCCCCGTCGCCCTGTCACCACTACGGACTACTAGTAGTGGGAGTTGCCCAGCGCGGTACAAGACGTGCTGCTTCAGCTTCAGCTTCAAGTTACCCGCCGATTTCGATCTTTTTTTTCCCATTCCCATTCTTCGCCCTCCAATTGCACCATCGGTGGCCAACGCGCGTTTGCATCTTCTCGTCCCGGAGCTGGCTGTTTGCATTACTTCGCAGCTTAGCAGGTCTCGCTGCACTGTCTCGGCGTCTGGCTATCGCCTCATCGGACATCGATATTCATACATACGCTTTTTGGTCAGCGCGCTTGCCTTTCACTACTTACCTGCATCCTCCTCATTGTCATTTTCTCCGTTCCCCCCAAAAAGATATATTTATCTTGTGGCAGTTCCCAAACCACCCTGCGGTGCTTGCTCTACTACTACCATCGCTCGCCTCTCCAGCACTGATAGATATACTCTTGCCATTCTCGATTGTGCCGCCTTCCGTTCAATCTGATCGGAACCCCAATAGCTAACTTGCATTTCCTCCCTAGCTCCCAGGAGCTGTCACTGGTCAACACTTCGACAATCGACACCCCCCCAGAACGGTCCGAAGGCCACGCAGTATCGTGCACGTACTTTGTCGGGTCGATTCCTAAATAACACGACGCAGCTACCACGTGCGAACGACCGGCGATTGTTTAAGCGCAGGACATAACAAGGCTCGAGCTGTCAGCACAACCGTCGGTGCTCAGCAACAGTTGTTTTGCGGGTCGTTCTGAGCTCACAAAGCTAAGGCCTTCGCATTGGTCTTCTCTTTGAGCGGCAAGAGACAGGTCGCTTCGAACCTATCATTCCAAGCTCGTCTGCTACGATCCGCCCAGGCCATTTGTTTGACGGTTCATCCTGCATCGCAACATCTCGGCATTTCCCGTCCAGAGCACAGCTTATACCCGTAGCTAACGGAGAAAGCGGAGCGTCTGTGACCCACTTGTCCTATCAACTGACGAAACCGGAAATCTCGGTCACGATTTTTGAGATTCTCTTCAGCACGTAGAACGAACGGGCTGTGCGGCGAAACCTCGAAGCTCGATCAGCAATCGGGATACTGCGACGGTGCAACGACTAGATTGACGTCGTCATATTTGGGTATTGATCGGTGGTCAAGGCGTCCCGCGTGTAAGGACCCCTGGTTTGGATTGCACTTGAACCGTGCACGATTCACCTCATCGACACTTTCAACGACAAGGCCATACGGTTTCAAGAATCGGCCTTGAAACTAAAGCCCAATAACACAAGACTGCCGGTACCCTTTTGAGGTCTTCTTCTAAAGTTTCTGGCTTACTCTGAGGTAAGAGTTTTCATGTTCGTCTCTCGTTATCTGCCCTGTCTTCTTCCCCTCCTCATCGTTCAAGTCCCGGCAGGTGCCAAAGAAACGTTGTATTTCATGCTTCCAGGGCCACCTGGAGACGCGTGCAGGGTCCACGGCTTGCCAAGTCCCAATCAACTGTTTTGGCATCTCCTTGAGCATCTAGATCCATATTATAGAGCTTGCTCACCGCTTAAGTCACCGTCGACCGCCTGCTGACCTCTCGCTATAGCTCTTATCCATATCAGGAACAGCACTTATCATCCTGCTGTTTTCTGCCATATCAAAAATCAGGGTCTAAACTTGCCATCCGGCTGTGCGGAGTCTTGCCTCGACTGACATAGAATCCCCTGCATATCCCTTAGAACGATTGTCTCAAGATTGGTCGACAGCCAAAATGTCGGAACCGGAATCTGCTACCGCCGCTATGGGAATCGGCAGCGTGCTAAACACCAAGGGCGCCCAGGCTAGTGCCGCCCAACTCGCACAAGCGGCTCAGGCTGCTCAGGTTGCGCAACCGACACAGCAGCTTGAACAATCTGCTCCTGTTCCCCAACTGGCTACACCTGAACAGCAACCCTCGCAACCGCTCACACAACAGCAACTCATGGAGCGTGCCAGCTCGCCGCACGCTTCCGTGAAGTTCGAACCCAGCATGTCCTACCCTTCGCCGACCGGTATGGGAACCGCAATGCCCGTTCCCACTGTTCCTAGCGCACAGATGGCCCCTGGTGGACAAATGGCTCCTAATGCGCAGATGGCCCCGAACCCACAGATGGCTCCCAACACTCAGATGGCTCCCAACCTCCAGATGGCGCCCAATCCACAAATGGCTCCTAATGCTCAGATGGCTCCCAACGGACAGATGGCTCCTAATGCCCAGATGGCTCCCAATGCTCAAATGGCACCTGCACCGATGGGCATTCCTGCTATGCCTACCGTACCAGGTGTCCCGTCAAACAACGGAATGGTACCTACTCTCCACCCTTCTTACAAGCCTCCGGTGGAGGGAGGTGCGCCACCGGGGCCGCCTCCGAAGGCCTACGCGTGTTCCACCTGCGCCAAGGCTTTTGCACGGAGAAGTGATCTCGCTCGTCACGGTAAGTGACCATCAGTTTTCTCCTGTGTTATAACTCTGCTGACTATTTTGCAGAGCGAATTCATAGCGGGATTCGCCCTCACGTCTGTGATTATCCCGGCTGCGGGAAACAGTTTATCCAGCGATCAGCGCTCACAGTCCATCAGCGCGTGCACACGGGAGAGAAGCCCCATCAATGCGAGAGATGCGGCAAGGTAAGATACTTCAGTCACAAGGCCACAACGAGACAACACTAACGGTGCTACAGCCCTTCAGCGACAGCAGTTCTCTTGCGCGTCATCGCAGGATCCATTCTGGAAAGCGTCCCTACAAGTGCCCATACATGGACTGCCAGAAAACGTTCACTCGTCGCACGACACTGACGAGGCACCAGAATCATCATACTGGCACAGTTGAGGAATCTGCCAAGGCTACAGCGGAGGCTCTTGCTAGGGGAACGTTGGCACGGACTAAGGAACGATCGGAGAGCGAGCAAATCTCCAATCAGGCGACGCCAATGACCACTCCCTCACCGGCACAGCGGCCCTTGTCGTTGTCCCCAAGCGCGGGATTGGCCAACATGGAGATGCAGTATCTGCAAAACAACACTCTTCCAGCCCACCTTCGTGGAGACGTTCATGTCCCCAACGCACCAACGACTTCGCCGGGCTACAGCAACGGACTGACCCGGCCCACGTCGCACCCCACCGGGTATGTTCCGCCCGCAACAATGGAGCCTACTGTTGAAACTCAGCAAGGGCCCGGTAGTGTGGCCGGCAGTCCCCAGATTGGAAGTGCAGGTTGGGCGTCTCCTGGTGGTGTCGGATCTCCAGTTCAAAGCCCCAGCGGTAACGGCTATGTTTATCCGGATCCAGAACCCTTTCCCGGCGCCAGTGCCGGTCAGATGTTCTACGACAGTGCGGTTGGGACTGGGAGACGTCTCGGGAGCGGGGAACCGCAGAACCCCTCCTATCATACTTAGTGCGGTTTGAAGGATCGTGGCCCGGACTCCCCTGTCGGTTCCCAGGATCAGAGCTCCTACAGCAACAGCTCGGTCTATCCTGATCCAGAACCCTAGCTAGCCGGTACCGAGCAAAGTCGTGCCAGATTGCGGTTAGGCGGGAAGCGTGGAGCCGCAGAATCCCTACCACATTAGGAGGGGTTGGAATACAGGCTGGAACTTGAGTTTCAGCCTTTGTCTCTATATTGGAGGATCCTTTGATGGCATGGAAACCAAGATCCCTCCATGGTCCAGAGTAGCGAACCCCCGAACAAGATTTCCACTTTTGTTTTATCTCCCTGGTGTCTTCTGTTATCTCCATATCTCGAAAAGAACAATAGGTTTTGCATGATGGTGGGCTCGACAGGAAAAAGCGGGTATCATTGAATTTTCTTTCTCCTTACCAAATAAACACGGTCTGGACCGGCGTGGACTATCCTAATGACGCCGATGGCGAAAAAATGGCAGCGCCTCTTCTCTTCCGCTTTTCTGTTTTGTTCCTCTTCTCTCTATTGGCTTGCAGCACATCCCTCGCCTGTTATTTCGCTCCGCATTACGCCTGCGATGCGCCGCAATCCTCGCACTAACTATCACAAATTGAGTCTCCACTCTGACTGGAAAAGGTTGAAAAAGTTTCATACCCTCGGGGAATGGTGTTGTATCAGGTTCATGGCGGGTCAGTCCTGGGCTATGTTTCTTTCAGCAGCATGGTTTCGGTGTGGTATTTTTTGGGGGATTTTCTTGTTTTTGTCTCGGTCCCGTAAACTCAAGAAGGCGAATGGCTGCTCTAGTCTGGTTTAAAATTTCCCCGTTTCGCATTTTCCTCATTTGGTTCGGAAATACGGCGATTGGCAAGGTTTCTGGTCATCGGTGTTCTCGGCAATCTGTCTCTTAGATCTATCTCGAACTTCTCTTCACCCCCATCCTGAGCGATAAGTTCAGAGTGAGGCTTGTCAGGGTGTTATATGGGCGCTACAGTGGACGATGCGCCGACGCTTGGGGTTAAACGAAATAGGAGGAAGCAGCGTAGCAATTATAGATCATGCATCATGCGTTTATCTTATATATTGTTCTCCACCATGTTTTCTTTCGGAGTTTTTGGTATTGGCGTTGTATGTTGAAAAGCCACAAGGCGAATGATGGTAGTGAAAAGATCGCGAATATTCAGTACGAGTATTTTACACTAGATCCACTTTTCTTCGTTTTTGTACATGGCATGCTTCTGACCTGGGTAAGGAAGGGACACTCGGGCGTTGTTCAACACTCACAACAGAGGATGGAGAAGAAACGGGTTGTAGCTGAATTCAGATGGCAAACAATTTCTTCACTCCCATTTTCATTGTTCACATGTCCCATAATCAGGGTTGTTTACAGTTGGCAATCAATGGGTCTCGGGCACGGCCGGGACAAGTCAAATTTCACCAGCGAAGCTCTAGAACACAAGGCAATTTACATCGCATGATACCCTTGGTTGCAAGGAAATTTGGAGGCAAACTGATTGCTCTGTGAAGTATGGTATGTCTAATTTCAAGGCCAATTGTTCGAACAGACAGTGTGAAAAGCAGTAGGGTAGGGCTTACCACCATCCAGTACTTCGGCATCATACATAGGCCAGTATGGTACAAAGGAAAATAACCAAAAAGGAAATGGAGTAAGAGCTAACACAGTAAGAAGCAGAGGAACGTTTGAGATGGGTGTCAACTTGGTTTTGTTGGTACATGTTGATGTAATGTCTACGAATAATCCAAGGGGAAACAAGACGGTTGGAATAAGGAAAGCTTTGATCAAAGAAAAACGAGTGATGTGAAGTCAACAATGGGGGCTGAGTTTGGGAAAAAGAAACGAGCGGAAAATAAGAGGGTGGAAGGTTGAATGAAGTATTTACGACCTTGCTACCTAGATTCGACGGGTAAAGCTGGTGTCGATTAAGGTCAAAAGAGTGAACAAAATTTGGTTTAGTTTCTTGAAGAATGGGAAGGTAACATATGTTGATGTGGAAAAGAAATAGGGACCCTTGCGCTGAACTAGAAGCGACCATATTACTATGGCTGTCCATGGTAGGATTGTGGCATGCCGTTAATGTTCCGGCCCGGTTCTTTCCATGTGGAAAAAGTCTCAAAAATCGTCGGTTTATGCCCCTAGACTAGAACCGAGGGTGTCCGCAGGAATCCCAAGCCGCGGGGATGCTCTGCGCCTGCGCCAGAAGAGCGATGATTCCGCTGGTATCCCCGGTGCGTGCGTAGAGCGCTTCGGCTTGCTTTCTTTTCTCCTTGAGTGCCGCAATCTGGGTCTGGTCTGGGTTTGCGCTTCGTAGTCGTCCTCCCCGCCCGAGAGTGTCGCGTCAGTGCCTGTATCGTACCCCTCGGATGATCCCGATGCTATGCGACCGCGGCGGCTGTTGGGACAGCTCCAGGAGGAGAAGACGCTGGAATGGCCGAATGTCGGACTGGTTGTGGTTGCTGTCGTTGTGGCTACCGGTGAGGACTCGGAGCAGATTGAGGCTCGGCCGTCTTCATCCCTCTCTGATTCTTGGTTCATGGAGGATGTACCGAGAAAGATGCCGTTAACTGGGTCAAAATTATCAGTAGAGGACTTTTGCGGCGACATAGAAGTGCAGGGAGCTTGCGGCTGAGACGGACCATCCTTCGATGTTGTCGTAATCACGGACTTCTGGCACACAGAGCTCTGACTTGCTTGGATGCTGTAAGATTGGCAGTATCGTCCCTGGAACCTGTGTTGCGCTCCTGGGCATAGAAGCCGAGTCTAGAAGTTGGGTGTGCTTCAATAGCCTTATAGCCCAGTCCAGGCCGCCGCTGAAACTGATGTTCAAAGTCTCCTCCGTTCTGGACACTTTGTCTCAATTCAGACGTTTAAACTTGCAAGGTAGTACTTTCTGCTCTGTTCATCCTCCCTTTGCACACTATACCTTGGATTGTCACTCTGGACAAAGAGCACCAATTCTGCCGACAGAAGCGTATCTTTGCGTCTGGTAGCGAGGGTAGCTATTGTTCTCCCTTAACAATTACAATTGGGTGTCTCAACACCATAGCTGGCTTTTAGCGGGTTTTTAGCGGGCCTGCTGATCGCCGGATGTTAGTGGCCCCTGTAAATCCGGGTTTCTCGCACAATCACGGCCATAAGCTCTGCAGGCCGTCAAAGGTCACGATGGGACACTCCTCGATAGCTCAAAACCCCATTTACTAATTATCGCATCACTTATATGCACCCTCTTACCGACCGTCTTTATTTGCATAAATGTAACACTGCATCAATGTTGTTAATATGGCATTCTTGGGGAGTGGCGAACACGTCTTCTCATCCCGGGAAAGTTCAACCTGAGACTCGCCATGGATGAGAAGATCCTTCCCGTCTGCAACACCCAAGAGCCCGGTGTTTGGTTTATGCACGGCAGTCTCAAGGCGATCAGATGGACACTGCCCGAAAAGCTGCACGAACTGCCAAATTTTGGCTCCGATGCACCTAGGTCGTGCTTGAAGCACCTGGATGAGCACGTATAAGATAGTAACAATACGGTAACATTACACTCGGTATTCCGCTAACTCCGCGGAAGACCAATTCTTATAACCGGTAACTTACGGCATCAAAGTTTCCATTTCATTCGGACATGTTGTTCTCCAACATCGCATCTTTGCATCTTTGCAAGCACTGTTTCACGGCAAATCGTCCAACCAAGTTACTTGGTGAGATGCAAAGATGCATGCTTAATTTTATGATGCAGCGTAGGTCCCTTCTTGTGAGCCGGAGCAATGGTGTCTCTTCGATTTTCCCATCGACGTGGCACACGTGAATGATTCGGTCTTCAAAGAACAGATTATGGCAGCTAAGAATATACTTGTATTGTGAAAGCTAATGAGTGTACCAGATATCCAATCTCGACGGAAAGAACCAAAAGAAAACCCCCCCGACTTTTCTCCTTCTCTTGTGTGACACGAACCACTCGCTTGGGCTGGCGTCTCCGACAACTCATTTCGACGGACACATGTGAGCCAAATCGTTCGTTGACGTTTTCCAGGATTCGTCGACTAAGACACTGTGGTCTTTTGGTTGTCAGCTTGTGTTCATTCATGTGAGCGTCTGGGGCCATGAACCGGAATCTTGATCTTACAATTGTGGGAGGCAATTCAGCTGCTTGAGGTGCCGTTTCCTGGTTCGGCGTAGATGTATGCCCAGCCGCTGGCCCAGCCGTGGTTGTTACTCGCACTTGCACTTGCTGCCGGGGTCGGTGGGGTGTCGATGTCCCTGTCGCTGTTGGCGTTGATGTTGATGCTAGTGTTGATGGTGATGTTGCCGTTCCTGTGCTGTAGTTGTTGCGGTTGTTGCTGCTGCTGTTCCTGTTGTTGTTCCTGTTGTTGTTGTTGTTGCTGTGAGGGCAGTGGTACATGGAGTGGTAGACTTGGATTGTGGGGCACGATCTGGTTCATGTTCCAGCCATAGCAGCAAAGGAGGCTGCACCGACCCATCGAAAACAACAAATCCGCCGGTACCGGGGGTTCTTGGTAGATGATGAAACAGACGAGGTCGTTGAACAGTGCGACCGAGTGAACGTTGACCTGCACCCTCAATTGTACCTCTAGCCTCACGAATCCAATCGCGAGGACGTCTCGGCCGGAGGGACTAACAATGTAGCCAATATGGTTGGAGGTGGGCTTAAATTTATGGTAGCCAAAAAGACCCAGGCGAGCGAGAGTGTGGACGGAGACCAGGGAGAAATCAAGCTCAGGGGTAATGAGGAAGGTCCCCGGTCTGTTAATGGTTGCTTGTCTTTCATTACCAACATCTATTCTTGCCCAAGCCGTCCTTACAGCCGGATGCTCGAGAAAATGGGCTCCGTTGTCCATGTTGTTGTTCATGTTGTTGTTCATGTTGTTGTTCATGTTGTTGTTGATCTTCGTTGCGTGGGTAATTTTCTGTAAGCAGTTGCAGGATGAGTGTGAGAATGTGGAAGAGAATCAAAATATTCCTACCTTTCTCTACTTATAATGATCTGGCCAGAAAAAAAGGACCCAAAGACGCACGGGTCAAGGCCAGGAAATTCTAATAAATGCGTTCTTGCCTGTAAGGTATGTTTCGGCCGTTTGTCCCGCCTCATGCGGCCTCAAGTCTTTACTGACCATATAGGCACAGATATGTACGTTTACTCTGCCTTATCATGCCCGCCAGTTCCGGTGGGAATAACAGTTCTACCTCACGGAGGTCAGCAAGCATCAAGTTTCTCATAACAGCGAATTTCTCTACTGCAGAGAAATCTTGGAGGAGGGAGTGGTACATGAGATTCATCGTCTTGCACATAAATTTGGACAAGCATATATGCCGCCGTATCTGCTTGATTTCGTACAGATATTCATGCCTATTACCTGGCCTTCCCTAAGCCAAGTTTTGCGAGATCATACGGGGTAGGCCGTGAGCCCAGACGCCGGCATCGGATATGTTGCAGTCAATTTCTCAAAGAGTGCATGTCCGGTATCATGCGTCCGAGTCGGGCAGTACCTGACTCGCCGCTGTGAGCCTCTGAGGTACCGGACGTACATACAGCATGCTTCGTGAAAAAAATACAATAGTCGTCTCCTTTATTTCTGTTATGAGTCCCCAGGCCGGCCACAGTAAGATCTGAACCTTTCCTTCTTTCTTTCCTGCCATTCATCATCAAACTTAACCAAACACTCATCACAATCTCCACCTTCCCCCAAAACATTTTTAACCACGTTAGCAAGCTACAATGTCACATGCTTTTTTCCATTACCTGGATGGCGAATATGACCAGTTGTGGGAGCAAATCCGTGAATACGGAGCAATCACTCCCTCCCCGCCCGCGGTCCAGCAGCCCGTCAGACCCTCGAACCCTACCAATGGAAGGAACAACAGTTCGGCACACTACGCTAGGGAATATAACCCGTTCGAAGATCAGTTCGGGCAAGTCCTCAAAGCCAACTCGCCACGATATTCTGGAGCTCCCACTCCATTCCGCACTCCAGCGGTCACTCCAGCTGGCTCTCCACCTGCCACTCGAGTCGTCATTCCAGCCGCCACTGCAGCTGTCTCTCCGGCTGTCATTCCGGCTACCACTCCTGCTGGCCCTTCTCAGCAGCTCAGCAGGAGCAACACACGAAACATCAGAAGGAGGCAAGGGCTATGGAGACTTTACAGCTCCTTCGCGACAGTTTTCGCGGAAACCGAAGACTCCCAACCACGCCGAGAAGCCTGGGCTCGGAGCTTGATCAATGTTAGGGAGATCCTCTCCATTGATGACACTCCAGACCCCCAACAAAACTCGGGGGAGGCGTCCGGGTCGTCGTCCCAGGACGCGACGAGCGGCAACTCGAGAGATGGACGGGTTACCAGGAGCTTGTTGACCCCTGATGAGGAGGAGGACGAGCTGCGCTTTCCTCAGTACGGGTCTTGAAATTGTCTTTGATCCTGCCAAACTCGGCCCGACCATTTTTTTTTTGTATCCTGTCTTTGGTCCTTCTCTGGATGGTTCGTTTCCCTTGTCAGTTTTCTTTTGAGGTTTCACTTGGCTTTTTCTTCTCCGAGCTTTCTTCTTCTGTTCTACTTCGACCCGGCAACAACGACCATTAACCAACCTCGCTCACATCGGCAACCACTCTTCTCGGAGACGGCAACAGCAACAACGACCATCAATCAACCTCACATCAAACCACATCGGCGGCAACCACATCGGCGGCAACCACACACAACTCAGCTGCACCCACCGCACACAACTACCGACGGCCCCCACCCTCCCTTAACATCAGACGGAAGTGTTCAGACCGAACAAAAGTCAAAAAAAGAGTTGGAAAGGTCTCGATCGCGAATCGAACGGGGGACGTAAAGCAAACTGGAAAGGAGTAGAAGAGCCTTATTTGCGTAGCCGGAAGACGCCAGTTACAGTACTACCACAGGGGGTAACGCCCTATAATAGGTGACCATCAGCACCTTACCTGTACTCCTGGACAGTGCTGTTGACTGTCCAGGAGTAATACTGCTGAGGTGGCTCCCACAGGTAAGATCTCCCTCCTTGCGGCCCCAGGTGTTTAGCGAAGCTGCGCACCACACCGCTCGACCACTGTCCCTTTCTGGGTGTTTGTTGAGTGTGGGCCGAGGGGGGGGGGTGGGTTATATACCACAACCCGCGTGCGACTTCCTCCTCGCAGCCGTTACGGTTTGCTTCATATAAGAAAGAATACCAACACTCCGACAAAACCGACAGGACGCGATGCCGACACGGGAGTGTACGACATCGAACACAAAACTTCATTTACAAGGCGACACCGTCACCAAGCCTTACCTTGTCCAGCTCGCTCCCTTGCTCTGGATCCATTTCTATCAAACCGCCACACCTGTTGTCCCCAGCCCCTATACCAAAGGGAAAACAGGGAAATATAGTAAGTATCTCCCACCGCGGTCGTTCTACCTCGTTGTCTCTTGCCAGGAAAGAAGCATGCAAGTATGCTGATACAGTCGCTACTACAGAAGAGTCTACTTCAGAGAAAGCGCCTGAACCCACTGCACCTTACACATTCTTTTCCTTTTCCTACAAAACGGCCAGGCAATGGTGGTGCTCAGCGACGGGACTGGCGATTGATCAAGGACATGCAACGTCACGGGATAGGGGCAGGCGGAAAGGGGAAAGGAAGGGATTGATGGCTGAATACTCTCAAGTTTTGTCGGAGGGAAGTCAACACGACTATTCAGGTGGTTGAGATGGTGTATCTGGATGAGTTGAAATGATTTTATGTATTTTGTCCTCATCTGACAATATTTGGTGGTTCACGATCTTGTTCTCCTTTATCTTCAACGTTTTCTTTGGCATTTCACATCTGTACTGTACCTCTAGCAACAACTTGACTCAATGATATTTAGTGCATTAAACATTAGTTGTGTCTTAAGCGATTAGTGTACGCCGATTCCCATGTCAAACAATCGTTTACTTCATTTTTGTCCCCTACCCGTCCTCCCAGCTTCTGCCAAAACTTCCCTCTGCTTCACCATCATCTCAAACATCATAATCCCCCGCCTCAGTAACCTCCCTCGCGAACCCCTTCCAAAACTCGCAAGGCGTCCTCTCATTCTGGTCATCACTAACCGTCGTAAACCCCCAATCACCCACATTCAACACGCCTCCCAGTCTCTCCTCACTACTAGCCGTTTTTGACCCAGCAGTTGCAATACCCGAGGGCTTCCCCCAGCTGATCACCGGTGGCAGATTCAGCAGTCCCTTGCGGTACGTGTTCGGATCGCCAGTAACAATAAAGGAGGCAAAGTAGCTTTGCATTGCCATGCTAATGCCGGAGACGAAGGGCGCGAGGGCCGGGGCAAAGAGAGTGGAGAGGCAGTCGAGGATGGTTTGTGGCGAGGAGGAAGAGGAGGGCGAGGGTGTTGAGGTGAAGAAGGTGGGAAGGAGGTCAGTGGCGTGCAGGTAGGGGAAGACGGAGTATTGCATTAGGTAGGTTCGTGATGGGGTGTAGGCTTCTGCTAGGTCTGGAGGAGTGGTGGTTAGCATGTGGTTGAAGAGTTGGCGGTGTTGATGGGGGATGTGATGACGTTGGTTTAAGGCTGTCTGACCCGAGCTGGGATGTCTCACCAGAAGCGGCTGAGGCGATACTCGCTTGAGCGTTGCGCAGGGGGCGGCAGGGGTGGGAAAGGGTAGGAAGAGACGCGCGGTTGGAACGCGCTTCCTTGGGATGGGGTAGTGCAAGGGTACATGATGCTGTGCTTCATGTGGAGGGTGGATGATAGCAACACAAGAAAAACTGGACACTCACATCTCACGTTGCACGTAAAGCAACTATCCCTCATGAACGCCGCCATTCGTGTCGCCTGACTGTCATACTTCCTCTTCCCATCGGCACTCTTCTTTCCCGGCACCGGGTAAAACTGTTCGACCTTCTCTGCTTGCCCGCCCTCCCTCGTATAATTCGGAAAGATGGCGTCGAGAAAGCCAGAGAACTGCTCATTCGTCCTGATGGCACCGCTCACGAAGAGACTTGACTCGTCCTTGACGTGCGATATCACCAAGCTCATTTCGCTCCCCGACGGTCCCTTCCAGAAGTTTCCCTGTGCGAGTTCGAGGAGCGGCATCTGGCGAATAAACTTCCCGTCAGGCGTCGGTCCCACGGCAAATGTTCCAGGCGTCTGCGAAGATTGGAGCGCGGCATTAGCTTTTGCAAGCGCATCGGGCGAGGCCTTTCGGAGGCAATCAACCGCTACTTTCCCAGAGGTAGAACCGCACCCTGCCAATCCTCCAAACTTCTTGAAGGTGCCGTCCACAGTTCCGTTTCGATCCCAGGCCATTTGATATGCTGGGCTCTGCAAGATTGCCCTTTGAAACATAGGGTCGAGCTTGCCGCCCTCGGCCACTAGGTGGTGCATGATGGACCCTGCACCTGCAGACTCCCCCATCGCTGTCACGCGCTTCGGGTCACCACCCACCAGGGAAATGTAATCCTTAACCCATTGGAGTGCCGCTCGCTGGTCATGCAAACCGACGTTTGGAACCGCAGAATTCTCCATCGATGTGCCGGCGAGCCAGCCATAAGTGCCGAGGCGGTAGTTGATTGATACAAAAATCATCGAGCCGGGAGTTGGGACCGACTGGGTGAGGAGAGAACTGCCATCATAGAAGAACGGTTGGAGAGACTCCTTTGAGCCGAAGAGGTAGGCGCCGCCGTGAATCCAGAACGCTACTGGGAGGGGCGAAGGTTTCTTTGAAGCACCAGAAAGGTCGCGGAGTGTCTTTCCGGGAACGTACAGGTCCAGGAAGAGACAGTCCTCAGAACCGCCACTGAAGAGCGGGATGGGGAGTCCTCCTAGACTGTTCAATAGACGGTTAATGTCAGCAACGTCGAAGTCATTTGACAACGAGATATGGGTAGGCATACAACTGGTTGAGGGCAGCACCGATGGGAGACTTGTTGCCTGGACCCATGAGGTTCAGTCCAGACACTGCGGTTTGGATGCATTGCGGTCCATAACTGCCGTCTTGGATGGTGTTGTTGAGCTGTGGCGGCGCAGGTTTCGCCCAACGGAGGTCTCCTACCGGAGGAGCGGCATAGCGAATGTTTCGAAACACGTATCTGCGTTTGTCAGCGTTGAAGCCGAAGCGAGAAGAACGACTTGAAGACTCACATATCGCTGTTCGACCGGTAGCTCGACGCTCGGTAGGAGCCATATGGCAGAGTAAGGACTGGCAACGCACTGGGAGATGGGAACTTGACGCCTAAAGATGCAGAGTCTATGAGGGCAGAAGACAAAGAAAAGAAGGTAAGTGAAATAAAAAGGAATGTGGTGCTTGGGAACATTTCGGATGCAGCAGGTACTAAAAGAGTAACATCAACAGGGAAAAGGAACGTCCAAAGAAGAAACCAAAGAAGAACACCGCCAAGCTTTCAAGCACGAGTCATGAACTGCTGGGAATTCTATCGAGACGAAGAAAGTGTGGGAAAGCGATGGGGCTCATCGCACTGTTCAAGCTGGGCTTGGGCTTGGGGATATAGAGCTGTATTGCCCAGCTGAAGAAAGCTTGCCATCCTTTCCCATTGACCTATCAATCCGTTCCTTCTTCAAACCATAGATCACGCCCATAGAAACTCTCAGATTGTGTGCCACCCACCCCCTAATATCTTCAGAGGGTTGGTTCCCGAACAAGATCTCCGGGGATGGACAAATGGCATTTGAAACAGCTCGAGTCCAAGAAGACCGTTCTTGCGCCACCAGATAAGAAGCCAAGATGAGTTTCTGTGATGCGACGGCCGCCTGGAGCTACCATTGGCGACTATCAAAGCCGGGCATTAGCCACCCGACCACTCAACTGTCCGTCGTCGTTGGTCAAGGTATCGGGACCACCAGACGGGTCTAGCATCTGTGTGGTCGCAGAGCAGCCAATCAGAGTCCAAGAAACCGCCCTTTTGGGAAAGTCGCAAATTACCCCTGAGGCTCAAGAGGCGCTTGGTCTTGGCGATCTAACGAACCACAGCATCCGAACTGGGGGGTTGTCTGCGGGCTTCGAGCAAGCAACGACACGAGGGGGGCAAGGGTCTTGGTGGTTTTTAGTACAGAGGCCGCAGATTATTTGTAGGCTACACAAAGAAGCGTAGGTTTGAGGCCCGGCGGTGAAACGGTGGGGGATCGGGCTCGAGAAGGGTCGTCGTGAAACCGATTGGCTAATTGTTTCGGAGCGTTCCTTGGTTGCGAAAGCTTGTCGTACACTGTTGCTATCGCAGGGAGGGTGAAACTGCAGTTGCAGCGCCATGGGCCGTTCCGTGCCTGGGAACCAGTTAGCTGATGGTCAAGCTGGGTAGCAAGCTCATACCGAGCTGGGGAGCGAGGAGGGTGGTTGTGGACAGCAATTGGGGTCCTCAATTGTGGTTACAATACTGACTGGGTAAGACAGGTTGTCCAGTGGGTTCGGATTTTGCACGAAAATGAAAGCAAAGTGGAAGTTGGGAGACGAGAAAAAACCAAGTACCTCTAGGCTTGAGAAGTTGAGGGCGAAAAAAGTCAAAGTTGACTTGGCATCTTTGAGCTTTTCAGGGATCCCGATCGTGACTTCCTCAAATGGAGAGTTATCCGCATGCGCCCTCACGTTTTTCCGCAACCGTCGCTGGTGTAGCGGTTTCCACTTGTTGTCTCGGGCCATTCGGTGATCAGCGACTTCAGCTGGGAATACGTTGGGATCTAGACACACCAATGACCCTGACATATTCTCGAATTTCAATTGTCGAACTAAACCGGCGAAGAACACCGCCTCCTCTCAAACCAGCCCAGCAGCAAAACAGCTTTACTACCTATGCATAGTGATATAACTCCAATCTGGGGTCCATTGCATCCATAATGAACAAGTCTTCCGGATTATGGATAAAATAGATGAACCTGTCGAAGCAAAGTAGATTTTGAGTTTATCCAAACTGTAGGTGGGATGGCAGCACACTACATGAAGTTCCTCGACATTGGGGAAGATATGGGAGAACTCCTCGAAGTCCGAAGGGCCGCTCGAGATGAATTCACGGTCAAAGTCCGTTATAAACTCGCTTTCGAGCTTGAGCCGCTTGATCAACGGCGCAATCCGATCAAATGTAGCGAAAGGACAATCATGAACATCAATCAGATCGGTGTCCCAATTCAGCCAGAAGTACTTGTAGGGCTCGGGGTCACTGCACCCGAAAGAGTCCGTGGAAACCCGCTGATACAAGCCCAGATCTCGGGCTTCTTGGCAGGTGTGCAGCGTGGCTGGCACCGGCGTCGGCGAGACAACGCTTGTGTAGTAGTTTTTGGAATTTGGGTTGAGCGGGGGTCCATATGCGAGGCGAATGGCCACGGTCCGTGGTTCGACCGTCATTTCCCAGATGATGCGACGGATGTCCCATGGGAGGCGGGGGAATGGGTGGAAAGTATCCGTGGACATGGCGCCAGTCCCTTCCTCTGCACGTGTAACGACTGAGACTGATTCTGTTTCAGATCACCGCGGGGATTGGAAGTAATCTGCTGCCGTCGCCGTGTTAGCACTTGCGTTTCAGTTACTATACGTGGAAGGGGAATACCTACGAGTGTCCTTAGAGGATCCGACGCTGCGTTGTTCTAGCCTCGCCGGAACGGCAATTGCTGCAGATGTCCAATATCACGGAACGCGAGACAGATGCAGGGACCAAATGCAGGTACTTCGTGGTGCTGTGGTGCGTGGAGCAGCCAGGGGAGATAGACAGGAATCCGAGAAGAAGCGGGTGTCGATGATGATCACTGGTGGTGACAAAGGAAGATGAATATCTATAAGTAACCGTGGAAACGTCACCTTTGCCGCTGCCAGCCACCAGACTTTGTCTTTCACAGCCGGCTTTCGGTCGTGTCCGACTTCGCGTTGCTGTCTGCGGTGAGCCTTGATGATACCCTGAGTCATCGCTTGGGCTTCCAGAGATGGTTTAGTGTAGATGTCAGATCCATTGTACCTAGGTACCACATTACCAGTCGAGCCTCTTGGCATACTGTATTTTGATTGGGCAATGGCACTTTGGTCGGGTATGAGTAACTCGGGGAATGAGCAGATCGGGGCATTCGTCTGCGAAGCAAAAAATGAATTGGATGGATACTATCCAAGTGGAATTGAAATGTTCGCAAAGCAAGGAGAATAATCCATACGTGTATTTATCCTCACTATCACGAATCATGTTATCCTAGAGGGGAAAAAAGAAATGTGCCAGTGATGGCAGACAATCGAGTCCGATACGGAGCATTTGCACCCAACAAAAACATCCCGAAATTGCAGAAAACAGCAAAAATCTGTCCCATCCGTTGCCTTGCGATATTATCAGAGGTAATGACCGTCGTGTAAGCTCAATCAAGCTTGTTGAATGAAATTTCTCGCTCTCCTTCCACCACACAAGTCCATTCCATGTCCCTGCGTCCATTTTGCTCATGCCAGCAATGAGCAATCCACTTCCCCAGCACCAAGCAACCAGTGAGTTGTGTAGGGGAAAGTGTTGCAACCGAACAATAAACCGTCTGTATCTGGGTTAGTAAGACTTATGGCGCTTCAAAGAGATGGAATATGTTGAAAGCTTACATAAACGATTTGACTGTCAGGCAGGCCTTCCATCATCTCTTCAATGCTAATGTTCGCTTGAAGAGCTTCGTGCTGAAGATGGGATGTCCGATGGGGTCCCGAAAGGACTCCGCGGGTTGGAGAGCGGCTCGACGGAAGCCAGCCACCCGTATGTCCAAGGGGAACTATAGGTCACTACCTTTACCGGTGCTTGCTCAGAAGTGTCGGAAGACGAGCTCTCCGAGCCGTGGTATGAGTGGAAGGTTTTCAGGTGACCCTCAGAAAGATGTTGCTGCCCATCCCAATCCTGTGGTGTATTGGATGGGCCAGGTCCGTCCACTGAAAATGACGTTAACAAGGACCCGCACCGGGAACATTCTTCGTGGACTTCGCGCCTCGTTTTCAACCTTTCTTGTGGATGTTCCATGTCCCATCGTTCCTGTTTTATCCTTTGCTGGTTGAGAAGTACATGCAGAAGTGAGTGGTTATGCTGCTCTGGTTCGTCTGTGAGCAGGCCGGTCAGTTAAGCATCCCTTGTCTGTTCATCAGGGTAAAAAAAAATAGAAAAATTGCTTACCTTTATACCTGAAGCGCTCAGATGATAGTCCTTTCGACTCCTCCGAAGTCAAGAACGGCGTTCCGTACATGCGGAAGCAAAATACCCCCCAATATGCTATATCGATGCATGGGATATAGGAACGGTTTTGCTGGAGGCCCAACCCTTCGTCAAATACCCTCAGAGATTTTAATATCTGTTCCGTCCACGTCATGTGTATTTCTACAAAACCACTCCCGCCGTCCACGAACTCAGGTGAAGGCGCCGGGAGTGCTCTAGCAGCCCGCGAGCTCTGATCCAGGGATGGATCCTCCAGATCATGATGAGGATTTTCAGCATCGCGGAAGGTGAGTACACCTTGCCACCGGGCGGTTTCACGTAGATCTGGCTTTTCCGACGGGGTGGTATGTGGATGGGGGCCCGGGTTGATTTTGAAGGAGCACATAATACCTCTGAGGCCTGGTTCCGGCGCAGCAGTTTCTTGGATGTTGAGCTTGAATTTGGAAGACTCGGCAACTTCCTTCGGGTCGTGCTCCAGAGGTTTGTCCTGGAGATCCAGTGTTGGTCGATGGTTACTGTGAGGCTGAAGTTTCATCTCTTTCTGTTTCTTTTTAAGATCGCTGATGAAATTCTTGTTGTAGCGTGGTGGACATGATTCATGGATCTTTTTGTCTCTCTCGATTTCTGGGAGATGACTATCGTTCTTCGGTCCAGACATGGTTCAATGTTGGCGTGATGGTCTCTCGTATCTGTATCTATACTCGGTAAGGTATGTATCCGTTCGATGAAGACTACAGTCCAGAAACTGAAGACATTGAGATAGTCTTATATACCCAGCATCGTTGCTGTTCTTCTCCATCATTGAGTGAGTTGGCGCCAGGGGCGATTCCCATCACACATCTCTTCCTTTATCCGCAATGGCACCAACATCAATGAACTTACTGCTTCGTGACCAACTCCAAGTCATATAAGCGCTCGCATATGAGACTGGGAGCTGAGGATATGTGCCTCGAGGAGTCCCGGCCCATACCGTCCTTTCATCATTGCTCGAAGTATTGCTGCCATCATGAAGGACAATCATGGAGGGGTAAAGGTAGAGGATAGGGTCAATCCTCTAGACAGATACCTTTTCGATACTTCGGTTAACCGCCGTTGGTTATGGTGCAGGGTTCTGAGAAAAAGATCAATGAGGAACGTGATGGGGATCCCAACATCACAGGTCTCGTTGAAAGGACGAAGAGGGTGATGTGTCCGCAACATGACCAACATGACAAAATCTCCCACGTTTGGTGACTTGTCAAACACGGCAGAATGCAGGCGGGGCGCTCGATCTTCTTTTGAAAATGAAAATCGTACGGTGTGGCCATCTTGCTCCATCACTCATGAAAGGAAGATGTTCTGGGCACGGGTGGTTGGAACTTTGGCAGGAGGAAGTTACGACCAGGATATTATACACAGTAGGGAGAGACGCTTGGCAGTTACGTCACTAACACAACTCCTGCATATTATAGTGTAATTCCGCTAACGCAGCATCTCTTTCATGGTTCCCTTCTCCTTTCAGTGAACTTCGTCAGCGCTGAAACGCGCGCAAGGCGGATCCTGTGCCAACACATTTTCCCTTGGATCACCCATCTTACCGGCTTCCCTCATTCAGACCCCATATAACCAACATATTATACATTACCCTCAGCACAGGCACCCGAAACCCAACAGAACTACGTTTTACAACGAAAGATCATGGGAAAAGAGAGCAGTGTCCTTTGTGCACACGGGCTGCACCTTACCAGGGTCCTCATTTCTCTTCTCCATAGCGCCACCCTCAAGCAGCAAACCACAGTGAAAAGATGAAGTCTCATTGTCATTGTCATTGTCATCCGTCAGACTCCCATCATCATTGAGATAACGGAAACCCAACTTCATCTGACAGACAGACAGAGAAGGAAGAAAAGCCCAAAAATTTTGGCCGGACTGCCCCAAACTACGCAGGACAATACATGACGCTGACAAAACACCACGATGTGCAATGTGGTTTCTGCCCTCCGCCATACTGACGCGGGGTTCTGGAGCTCCGCGCAGTCGACCGTAAAAGGATATAGAGAGAAAAGAAGAGAAAAGGAATCAGATTTCAGGGAGGGCGGAGCGTGGTTATGTAGCTGTTCGGGATGGGCTCTGTAGAGCAGAACGAAAGCTCTGTGGAAGGTACTTGGGTTGGTAAAAGACGGCAAAGAGAGGAATGGACGTTGGTTGATGGGGAAGTTGTCGAGATCTTGCTGACATTGAACAGGTAGGTCTAGTGCCGCACCAGGTTACGACTCCCCTTGCCATCACCAAAAGAGAGCAAGTACATCAGGGAAAAAGATGACCACTCCTGATAGCATGGTGCTAGAATCACCGGTGTTTGTCTCGTGCAAGAGCAGCAGGCACTCGCACGCGCCATCTTTCCCGAAGCCGCAAGTGACAACCACCATTTACACCATGGTCGGTTGCCTATACCGATCGGTACCTCCTCTACGTCTTTAAGCACATTTCACTCGCCCCTTCCCTTAGCTTCCTCAGGTTAAACCTGGCTGACAGACTCAGAAGCCCAAACTGACTGGTATGTAAGGGAATGATGCGGTTCGCGGTTTGCTCGGAATCTACTGCGTAATGAGATTCTGGAGATCATGCCCTCAAAGATATTGTTTTATTTTGTTATTGCTATTTCTCAGTGTTGAGTACTCGAAGGGAAAGAGCCAAGACGTTATTCGGTGAACGAGTCCCTCTCTGGATGACGACCTATGTATCTTTCCCTACTCCACAACATCTACTTCTCTTGTCCTTGTTTGTGACTCTCTTCATATGCCTTGAAATCATCCTCGGTATATCCTTGATTCGCTACAAGGAGATACATTAGGACAAGTCTGTCAGAGGGGGAGAGGTAGGAGTGTACTTACTGTACGGCTCGAACTTGGCAAGCTCGTCCCATCGCTTGTTCTGCAGGTGTCCGTAGGCCGTGTGCATGGTGCCCTGCGGGAGGTATATACTGTGTTCGACGCCCTTGTCATCGGTGTAGGTCATCTCGTTGGGTTCTGCAGTTCGGATGGGTTGCGGGAAGTATATACTGTGTTCGACGCCCTTGTCATCGGTGTAGTGCATCTCGTTGGGTTCTGCAGTTCGGATGGGTGTGGCCAAGGGCTTTTTTCGGCCTTTGCTTGTCTTGGATCCATGATGGGCTTATGTGAAAGCTCAGCTTGGGGTCCCCAGAGTTGTAGGTTGAAAGCAGTTGGAAACCGAGAGGGGTGGAATTCATACCAGCGTAGATATAGGCAGGGCGGGGAGGTGGGCTTACTTATACGTCGTGTACCGGTAATCCTTCCTGCCAAGTTGGACCCCTGCTCTGCAATAGGTGCACGCCTCCCACACCTATAATCCTCCATGGACGTTATAGCGAAAAATCCCACTAGAATGGTCGGACGACGGTCATTGGACGAGAGGTAGGCAATAGTGAATCCTCCGTTGGTACATAAACTGGGTCTAACTGTACAGGTATGCTTTCATTCATCTTATAAACTAGCTACAGGTCTAACACGTAACAGCAAAACCACCAAGTAACCTATCACAACTCAACACGCGCAAAGTGAAACGAACATGTCAAGCGATCAACCCTACACCCCGCTCTTCACTGCTTATAGAGTCAGCGCAGGTTGCTTTTACTTACGTTACTACTTACTTACTAGTTACCTCGCAGTATCAACGCCACCAACCAGAAATGTCAAGGCTCAGGCGCTGTTGGCTGAAGCAGGGGTGCTGGCGGTCGCCAAGGTCGTCGGGGTGCCATCGGTGGCGGGCCCGCGGCTGGGACGCTCTTGGCGCCCATAAACTCCAGGTACTTGGGGGTTGTGGTGCGGTTCGGTGGTGGGACCTTTCCTCAACCCCCTACCATTAAGTAGGGGGAAAAAATATTCTGGGACAAACTTTTAATCTGGGACATCTGAAATGTTAGCGTGCACCATAGAAAAATGTTAGTGGGAAGATGCAACAATAACAACCACATCCACCATTTTTCTAAAATTCTGGCAAAAATCGCAAAGTAAGAAATGATTCTAAGAAAGGCGCTCCCAAAGTAGCAAAAAATCATCTTGCGATTTGGGTGAGCAGTACCTTCCTGGCTTTTCGGTAGTTACTAAACATCGTCACTTAGGTCGCGCGAAAGCATCGAACCGAACCGATGATACTATAGCAAAAGACGCCTACAACCAGTTTTCTCCCCAACGACTCGGCCAAAATTGATGCAACTTTGAGAATGTCTTTCTCAATAGCTCTTTTTGCTTCCCAATTTTTGCTAGAATTTTAGAAAAATGGTGGATGTGGCTATCGTTGTTGCATCTTCCCACTAACAATTTTCTATAGTACAGCCTAAGATTTCAGATGTCCCAAATTAAAAGTTTGTCCCAAAATATTTTTTCCCCCTCTTATATGAGAGGGGGTTGACAAAAGGTTCCCAAGCCGCCCGCCCAACCCCCAAGTAACCCACCACAATGCTCAGAAAGAACTTTTGGGCTCGATCATTTGTCTTCACACGTCTTGTTTTGGTATCTACAAGTACTTCTCTATATGGTCTGAACCAAGCGGTCATTACAACCGTGATATTCCTACAAGATCTTATCTTGACATTCCGAATCTTCTTTTTGACTCGGTAAATGCCAAACCCCCACACATCATTCTCCCAAGAGAATTACTCGTCGGTTGTACAGGCTCTACCTTTTCCTCATGCATCACACATCTCCCTCTCCCCTTTGCTCACCGCTTAGTAATCGTCCTCGCCCGACCCAGACACAATGACGTTGTTGATCTTGAGAATCATTCTGCAGAGCTGCGTCGCAAGCATGAGCTGCTGCTTCTTGCCGATAAGGGGATCAATGACGAAAGCCTCCTTCATGTTGTTCGAGCCACGGCCCATGCAGTCAACACCAAGGCGACCGCGACCAGCAGGATCCTTGACCTGCTGGCTCTTGACCTCGGCCAGGGTAGCGATGGGGTTGAGACCGCTGTTCTCGGCGAGGGTCATGGGGATAGTGTCGAGAGCGTCGGCGAAGGCGCGCATGGCGTACTGCTCCAGACCAGGGGACTTGACAGCAGCGTCCTCAACGGCCAAGCTGCAGGCAATCTCGGCCGAGCCACCACCGTAGACAACGCGGTTGTCACGAACAAGGTTGCGCACGACGCAAAGAGCGTCGTGAAGAGAACGCTTAGCCTCATCGATGATCTGGGTGATAAAAGTTAGCCAAGACCTTACTAATACAACGGAACTCAATCGCTTACCATCTTGTTGCTGCCCCTGACAAAGACAGTCACGGCCCTGGTGTTGGCGCACTCCTCGATCACAAGCATCTTCTCCCTTGTCGTACCGAAGGTCATCTCGCGAACAACACCAGCCCTACCGAGCTTCTCGGGCTTGAGATCCTCGAAGCGAGGAACAATGCGACCGTTTGTGGCAATCGCAATCAGCTCAATCTCGGGACCACCGACCCATCGGACAGCAGGAAGGTTGTTCTGAAGGAGCAGGTGGTTCGCCTCGTCGTCGAAACCCCACTGGCAGATGGCCAGGTTGGCACCGGTGTCCTTTATTTGCTGGATCATCTCGATAAACTTCTCGCGCTCGTAGGTCTGCAGCTTCTTGAACTCCTCGACGCTGGTGATGTCGAGTCTGTGCTTAGTCTTGGGCTTGGGGGGCTCGAAGGCGCATGTGAGAATGGCAATCTTGGCGTCCCTAACCTCGGAAGGCATCTGGGGATGCGAGAAGTCCTTGTCGACAATAACACCCTTGACGAGGATAGTATCTTCAAGAGCGCCTCCAACCTTGCCGTCCACCTTGATGAGCTCGAAATCGACATCCTTGCGCTCCAGATCGGCGACGGAGAGGACCGCATCGACGGCAATGTTGGCGAACTGGTCGTGGGCCTTGGAGACAATCTTGCTGCCCAAACTTGTCCTCGCGACCTTGACCAGGTTTGCGGTTTCCTCCTTGCTGAACTCGATAACATCGGAAATTCTGTCAAGCTCGGCCACGGCAATGTCGCAAGCTTGGTCATAACCGTCGGCGATTCTGATGGGGTGGATGCCCTTGTCAATAAGCTCTGCCGCCTGCTCGAGCAGCGCGCCAGCAAGCACAACGACACCTGTGGTGCCATCACCGATCTCGTCATCCTGGGACTTGGAGAGCTCGACTAGTAGCTTGGCAACGTGATTTGTGATCTCCATTTGTTGTAGAATGGTTGCGCCATCGTTGGTCACTGTGATATCGCCGTCGGGGGAGATGAGGATCTTGTCGAGGCCACGAGGTCCTAGGGAAGTCTTGACAATGTTTGCGACGGTTCTGGCGGCGAGAATGTGGTTCTTGACGGCTTCGTTTCCGTATTGCCTCTTCTTCTTTCCTTGATCTCTGACAACGATGAGAGGGCGGCCCTGCTCATCCTTCATCATCACCGCTGTTTCGGGGAGGCGTTAGCATATTCGACCGGCGTTAGCATATTCGACCGGCGTGGGATCGGAATGGTCGACGGAAGAACTCAAAGGGTCGCAGCATACCGTTCGACAAATCCAAATCTACACATCTCAAAGTTAGTTATGCTGTCGCGGTCCGGTGGACGGTGCGGTCTGGAAGGTATTCTGAGAAGTGGGGAGGGGTGGTTAAAGGGGGGGAAAGGAGGGGCTGAAGAGACATACTCAACGCCATCTTGGGCAATATTACGACTGCGGTCGGTAATGTGCAATCACTATTATTGTTTGATTATGTGGTCGACCTCGTAGAGCTTCGGCGTGACGGTCGGGGCGGATGCAGGTATGGTGAAGAGGATTGGGTTTGGATGGTGTTGTTGGTGAACGCTGGTGGAATGGGCGCCAGACAGGAGCTCTCTGCGACCTCCGCATGCTGGCAGGCACCTTTCCCTACGCCAATCTCAAAAAATTGAGCCCAGCTTCCACGAAGCCGCCCCGCCAGCAGGAAGGCGGTCAGCTCCACCGATAGCCGTTGATGCTGCTCTGCTGTGCAGCCTGTGCTGTGCTTTGAAAGCTGCCCAGCAAGTGACGGGGGGAAGCCAGCTGGCAAGTGGTACATGGGAGAACTTCTGGGATAAGCGGATATGATAAGATCCGGCCGTGTGCTTAACTCAAGTAAAACGCTTAGGCCTTTACTCACTCTCACCGCTTTCAACCAGGCAGCTTCTGTGACGCTGTTTTGGTGGGGTCAACCGGCACAATTCAAGGTCGTGGCGGCAGCACCCGACCTTGATTGCCCGGACGGCCGTCTGGGCTTCCCGCTGCGGGAACTTTGTCTTTCATGTCATTCAACGTGAGGTGATCTGATGCTTCACAGCCTGCGAATTGCTACACGAGTCGGACTTTGAACAACCGAACCGCATTTATCATATCGGACCCCGAAATATACATCGGCTGCATTCATTTGAACGACCGGACTCTATTTCACCACGCCTTCAATTTTCATTTCGTCACCGTCGCCGTATTAGAGCGAAGCAGGTATCTGTGGTTGGAATCAGGGTTGCCTCAGCTTCAAAACAGCGTCACGCCCCTCTCAGTCTTCAAGCATTTTTCATCACTCTTTTACCACATTCAACCAAAAATCGCTTGGCCACAAGAGCCGCAATACTAGGAATTCATATCCTATTTCGACCAATCTGCAATTAAGCAAAAGTCATCATTATGGCGCGCCATCAAAACATCCGAAACCTTGACTACGAGGCTGAACTCGAGGAGTACGGAGCGTTCTCCGATGAGGAAGAGGAGGAGCTCAGCCCAGAAGACCAGGTTCGCATGAGGGAAGGCACAGCTCAGGTACTGGAAGCACTCGGAGTCGAGGCACACAAAGTCACAAAGGCGCAGATCGAGGAGTCACTCTGGCACTACTTCTGGGATGTTGACAAGACCATCACCTACCTCATTTCCAAGTACATCGACCCGCCCAAGAAGCCTGCCAAGACTGCTCCTCCAAAAGTAGCGCCAAAGCAAGATGGTAAGTCCAGCCCCCTCCATCACCATTCCTTTCTTTATGAACAGCGAGCCAAGTGCCGTTGCCAACGGACGCAAGGCACCTGCATCTTGGGTAAAGGGTCTGGGCCGTGGTGGCCGACTTCGCTCCGCCGGTCATATCCCGTTGCTCTTCGCGAACCCTCATTGACACCATCCTGTCAAGCGGCCACTGCAAGTGCTTCTCGAGAGTCATTTGCCCACCTGTTCCGGGACTTGCCATGGGGAAATATTCCACCCGAGCGGCAGGCCGTTCTCATACCGCCTCCGCAGCTACCTGGAGGTCTGCTTGGAGGTTCAGGAGCGCCCCCGAAGATGTCCAAGCTGCAGCAGCTAGCAGCCGCCCGGAAGAAGAAAGCCGAAGGGAAGAGCGCCTCAGAAGACGTTGAGCAGACACAAGTCAAGATGACGGAGCTCACTGTCAACGACAACCAAGCATCCAAGGAGAATCGTCCGCTGGCTGGCTTGTTTGGCAAGCGGGTTAAAACATCAGAGACAACAGCTCAAGGACGCATCCCTCTCACTATGGCGGAGCCCACAAGACCCGAAATTCCTCAAGCTCAAGCGCCGGAAGTCACTCCAAGTCTGCACCAGGAGGAGGCCCCAGTCGAACCGGAACCGGTGGTGGCCCCGCCAAAAGCGCAACCGTCTGCTTTCGCCTCGACTCTCTTCGGCCCTCTATCGGATAGCCCCAAGCGCAAACCCCGCGAGGTGTTCGAATTACCATACATGGCAATTTCTTCGTACAGCCCGGATGCTTTTGGCAAACCCAGCCCAGATGACGTGGTCCTTGCGGCTCAGGCGAAAGGTTCGCTTACGGGAAAGAAAAGGCACTAATGCGGTCACTAATAGTCGCCACAGCCGGAAAGAAGTCTGCGAACGTCCAAAACAAAAAAGGGTCATCTTCCGCAGATGGCGTGACCAACCAAGTCAACCAGCTCAAGATAGACGACACGCCATTGCCAAAGAGCCGCAATCTTAACGTGCTCTCTGAATTCGAGAAGCAGAAGGGCAAGAAGACTGCCAGCTTTGTGGTTGTCGGCCACGTTGATGCCGGCAAGAGCACCATGATGGGGCGACTGCTACTCGACCTCAACGTTGTCGACCAGCGGACCGTCGATAAACTTCGGAAAGAGGCGGAGAAGATCGGCAAAACATCATTCGCTCTCGCCTGGGTGTTGGATCAACGCCACGAGGAGCGTAGCCGAGGCGTCACCATCGACATTGCTACCAATCGCTTTGAGACAGAAACTACATCTTTCACCATCCTTGATGCTCCTGGCCATAGGGATTTTATCCCCAACATGATTGCTGGCGCAAGTCAGGCAGACTTTGCAATCCTGGTCATCGATGCAAGCACAGGAGCATTTGAGTCTGGTCTCAAGGGTCAAACCAGAGAACATTCTCTTCTTATTCGCAGCATGGGTGTCTCGAGAATCATCGTGGCCGTAAACAAGCTCGACACTGTCAACTGGTCCCAGGAGAGATTCGACGAGATCAAGCACCAGGTATCAGGATTCCTGACGGCGACTGGGTTCCAGCCCAAGAACATCGCGTTCGTACCCGTATCGGGCCTCCACGGTGATAACCTCGTCCGAAAAACCGCAGATCCAGCAGCGTCTTGGTATACGGGAAACACACTGGTGGAGGAGCTCGAGGCTTCGGAACCAAGTGCCAGAGCATTGGCCAAGCCCCTACGGATGACCATATCGGAGGTTATGCGCACACCTCAGAGCCCCATTTCGATCACAGGCCGCATCGACGCGGGCTCACTGCAAATGGGCGATGCGCTTCTGGTGCAGCCGAGCGGCGAGAAAGCCTACGTCAAATCCCTTCAGGTCGACGACGGAGAACCAGCGGACTGGGCCGTTGCCGGACAGAATGTGATACTTCATCTTAGCAACATCGACGCCATCCATGTGCGCGTCGGAGATATTGTATGCGACCCTGCCAAGCCCATCCAGTGCGTGGACACGTTCACGCTCAAGGCTCTGGCGTTTGACATCCTCATGCCCATGCAGGTGGATGTGCACAGGGGAAGACTCCACGCGGCGGGCAAGATCGAGGCTATCGACGCCATCTTGGACAAAGTGACAGGCAAGGTGACGAAGAAGAAGCCGATGATCGTCAAACCAGGAACGGTTTCCAGGGTTAGGGTCACGCTGCACTCGAAGGTGCCACTCGAGGCAGGTCAGAGGGTGGTGCTCAGGAGTGGTGGACAAACGGTAGCAGCTGGGTTGTTGGAATGACTGAAATGGGGTGAAACTTGATGGATTGGGACAGCTAAAACGGGCGAAATACGGGAAACGGAAGGTGAGGAAGTCCCCGAATACACAGACCGGGATCTTCTGCCACGGGTTCACTTATAGCCAGCGGCCGGAGGTAGCGGAATAAGATGGGACATTTGTTTATAAACGGAAACCGGATCAAGTTAACAATACAAGGCTGAAATTCCACTTTCTCTCCCTGTCGAGCAATACAGCTTGGTACTCAGTCGTGCATGTGGACAACGACCACGAAATCTGGTCCCTTCTTCTCCCCCTCCTGGTATCCCTGCACCCCGCAATGAAACACATGGGCTGGGTACTTGGAGAAGCGAGGAGAAAGGTTGGCTGTGACGTTGATGTCAATCAAAGCTGTTTCGTTATCTTATCATAGCTTTCCCGTCGGAAACTGATTTCGCTACAAAATATTGATAGAAGGTTCGATCACCTCCTAGCCTCTTCGGCCCTGTCTGTGCTTACCTCTACTGCTCAGGCTTCTTCGAAACTTGGACATTTGACATGGACCGATTGCAGCCAGCAAGATGACTGGAAAAGGTCCAATGAATAACGGCCAGTACTAGATAGAACGTCCAAAAAAAGACAGATCACCATTCACGCGGCGATAGCAAAAATGCCAACTTGTCAACTTCCCGGATTGGACAGTTTTGGGGAACTGGAGGCAGATGAGCCGCAGCCGCAGACAGCGCTGACCGATTGACTGCAAGGGTCGGTTTCTTTAGTGCAAGGGGGGGTCTCCTTACAGATGGAAACGGGATCAAGTTCACAGTCACGAACACGGCAAGAAACTTTGCCTCATCTTCCTTCTATTGTAGACCGTTTGGGTTTCGTTTGCTTTCTGTTCATCTCGTAGCAGTTCAGTTGATGACACCGACGATGATGAGTCAGTTTTCTCGTTTTCGAACCTGTCGTGACTGTTCTTTCTGAAGATGCCACGCTGTTCACAACAGGAGGCAAACCTTGAAGATTTGATGTATCGAACTCGAAGATGTGGCATGTGAATGTCGAGATTGGAATGGAACCTTTCAGCTTCACAGCGGCGATCTATCCCCTGTTGTTGGTGGGGCACAAGGTTCCCTTTGCCGTGAAGCCGCCCACGCGGTGCCAGGGGCTATGCAACATTAACGGCGGCGGCTTGCAAGAGGAAACGGAGGTCTTTATGGAAACTGGTGGAAGGTCCCGTTGATGATGGGATGAGAGCTGGAACGAGCTGCTTCGAGGAAAACAAAGAAATCAGCAAAAGACAAATTGATGGACGGGAAGAAGAGTTCAAGGGAGTGAGGGGTCCAAAATTGGTGACCTACAGACATGTTCAACTAGGTAAACCTTAGCTCGATTCTCAAATTCCGTGGATAGTATACTTGGATATACCGTGACCTAACCAAAGTGAAGATGGATCTTGAACAATACCTATGGTGTATACATGCTCGTTACCTTATAGATCCTCCAACACAAATGTTGTTCCGCTTTAGTAGGCCATCCGTACTTCAAGGGAGGCATACAGTGGCACTGTGGCATAGGCATATGGTCTAATGAAGAGCTATCCACCTTGATGATTTCCAACATTTTACCCAAGAAGTGTACCCGCAACATAGGGCATGTCTGGTCTCACAAAAGCAGCGCTTCATCCCAATGAGGCGCTGCGGAGGTACGAGAGCGCGGTTGTTGGGGTTAGTGCACCGGCCAGAAACGCGCCAATGCAGGCAATCGGCCAGACCCCCCCCCCCCCCCCTCCCCCCCCGCAAAGCACAGACCCCCTGGTCCCTGTGGGCTGGCCGCCAATCCCATTGAGGACAGATTTCCTAAATTCTTTCTATTTTCTGTAGCAGCTTGACCAGTTGGCCTTTGCTAGAAAGAGGACACCACACCTTTAACGCAGCTAGCTTGCCGGTCCCACTCGCCTTCAAATACCCGACAACCTCCCTCCATCCATCACCAATCTCCCTTTCCTTTTGCAAACACCCGAAGAGTTTAAAGTGGCCTAAGGAACCACTGCTTTTCTGTTTCTTGCTTGCTACAACGATACCCATCCCCAATTCCTTAATCACAGCAACGGCGATTACACTTCGCCAGAGCTTCCAGTAATGGAGCACCGAACGCGAAGCTGGGCCTTGGGCCTCAGCATCCTGGGCTTCTTTGCCCTCCTCTTCTCTGCTGGCTTCGTCCAGCAGGCCCACGCCGACGACACTGAGGCTATGGGCACTGTTATCGGTATTGTAAGTTGCCAGCATTCTCCTCCTTCGGGTAAAGCATTCTAACAACGCTTCTTGTACAGGATCTCGGAACCACCTACTCGTAAGTTGCCTACACGATCATAAACACGATTACCCCGCGGGGTGTGCGGCGTTTGCTGTCAACCTCGACCACAAAGCCACGTCCCGGTTTCGACACACGATACATACTGTTATTGGGGACAAGGAGACTAACAACCTCGTAGTTGCGTTGGTGTGATGCAGAAGGGCAAGGTCGAGATTCTCGTCAACGACCAAGGAAACCGTATTACCCCGTCTTATGTCGCCTTCACCGATGAGGAAAGACTTGTTGGTGACGCCGCCAAGAACCAGGCTGCGTCCAACCCCCACAGAACCATCTTCGACATCAAGCGTCTCATCGGCCGCAAGTTCTCGGATAAGGACGTCCAGCAGGACATCAAGCACTTCCCCTACAAGTAAGCCCTGGTCACTCTCGACAAACCACCCCTGTCTAGCCTTTACTGACTTTAGTTCTCAGGGTCGTCTCCCAGAATGACAAGCCTGTCGTCAAGGTCGAGGTTAAGGGCGTCGAGAAGACCTTCAGCCCTGAGGAGATCTCCGCCATGATTCTCGGCAAGGTACGTTGCATCATTTCCCCCAACAAACGCCACGATAATCAGAGACTAACCCCCGCAACAGATGAAGGAGACCGCTGAGGCCTACCTCGGCAAGAAGGTCACCCACGCCGTTGTTACCGTTCCCGCCTACTTCAACGACAACCAGCGCCAGGCCACCAAGGATGCCGGTATGATTGCCGGTCTCAACGTCCTCCGCATTGTCAACGAGCCTACCGCCGCAGCTATCGCCTACGGTCTTGATAAGACTGGCGAGGAGCGTCAGATCATCGTCTACGACTTGGGTGGTGGCACTTTCGATGTCTCCCTCCTGTCCATCGAGCAGGGCGTTTTCGAGGTCTTGTCTACCGCTGGTGACACCCATCTCGGTGGTGAGGATTTCGATCAGCGCATCATCAACCACTTCGCCAAGCTCTTCAACAAGAAGCACGGTGTCGATGTCACCAAGGACGCCAAGGCCATGGGCAAGCTCAAGCGTGAGGCCGAGAAGGCCAAGCGTACCCTTTCCAGCCAGATGTCCACTCGTATTGAAATCGAGGCTTTCTACGATGGCAAGGACTTCTCCGAGACTCTGACTCGCGCCAAGTTCGAGGAGCTCAACAACGACCTTTTCAAGAAGACCCTCAAGCCTGTTGAGCAGGTCCTCAAGGATGCCAAGGTCTCCAAGTCCGAGGTTGACGATATCGTCCTTGTCGGTGGTTCCACCCGTATTCCCAAGGTCCAGGCTCTTATTGAGGAGTTCTTCAACGGCAAGAAGGCTTCCAAGGGTATCAACCCTGACGAGGCCGTCGCTTTCGGTGCTGCCGTCCAGGCTGGTGTCCTTAGCGGTGAGGAGGGTACTGAGGACATCGTCCTCATGGATGTCAACCCCCTTACTCTCGGTATCGAGACCACCGGTGGTGTCATGACCAAGCTCATCCCCCGTAACACCCCTATCCCTACTCGCAAGAGCCAGATCTTCTCCACTGCCGCCGATAACCAGCCCGTCGTCCTTATCCAGGTCTACGAGGGTGAGCGTTCCATGACCGAGAAAAACAACCTTCTTGGCAAGTTCGAGCTTACCGGCATCCCCCCCGCTCCTCGTGGCGTTCCCCAGATCGAGGTTTCCTTCGAGCTTGATGCCAACGGTATTCTCAAGGTCTCTGCCCACGACAAGGGCACTGGCAAGGCTGAGTCCATCACCATCACCAACGACAAGGGCCGTCTTACTCAGGAGGAGATTGACCGCATGGTCGCTGAGGCCGAGAAGTATGCCGAGGAGGACAAGGCCACCCGTGAGCGCATTGAGGCTCGCAACGGTCTTGAGAACTACGCTTTCTCCCTGAAGAACCAGGTCAACGATGAGGATGGCCTTGGTGGCAAGATTGACGAGGAGGACAAGGAGACCATCCTTGACGCCGTTAAGGAGGCTCAGGACTGGCTCGAGGAGAATGGTAAGCTTCATTCCGATCCCCCTTGACACATGAAGACGAGATGCTAACAATCTTTTTTTCCCAGCCGCCACTGCTTCCGCCGAGGATTTCGAGGAGCAGAAGGAGAAGCTCTCCAACATCGCCTACCCCATCACCAGCAAGCTTTACAGCCAGGGTGGCCCCGGTGGCGCCGATGATGAGCCCGCTGGCCATGACGAGCTTTAAACAAAGATAATCTAGATTCCCCCTGCGTTTTCTGTTTTTGGTTGACGTTTAAAAAGAAATGCGTCGTTTATGGTTGGTTGGGTTGCATATTTTACCTGGTGTTTGGCCGGTGAAATGGTGGTTCGATTGGGAGTTTAAGTCCATGAATCCCAGATCTATTACGCAAGTGGGCATGTTTCAGTTAGAGCGTTTGCCATTTGGTTGTAAAATATGAATATAACCTTATTGACCAAATGTTGATGTGTCCCATGTCTTTTGCCTACCTATTATCCTAACCAAGTATCCTTGTACTCAATTCTTCCAAAACTTCAGTCGAAGTCTTCTTTCGTTCTCCTTGGCCCTCACCCTCCCCCTCCAGGTAATCTTGCCATTTTCCAGTGGTATCACCTCCCGGTATCTTTGCTCCTTCCTCACAAAAAGTAGGTGTGCATCATCGAACCCTTGCCCTGAAACCCTCCTCTCTCTCACCAACTTCCACAGGATTCACCTTCTCACCAAGGTACACTCTCCTTAAAAAATTCCTCAGGCACAGGTTCAAGCCCCCCTGGACTCGCAATCCATTCGAAAACCCTTCTCGCATCTTCCTCGTTATCCCATCCATTCTTTTTTGTTTTCTTCTTCTTCGGTCTCTCTTCTTCCTCCCCCTCCTCCGCCTCCCTCTTCTCTTCATTCTTCTCCTCCTCCTCCTCCTCCCTTTTCTTCTGCCCAAAACCCGCCTGCATGTCCATACTCATGCTCATCCCAGTCATATCCCTCGTAGCTACAGCCAAGGACACTGCCACGGGATCGTCTTGATTTGCTTGACACCACTCTGCTGATGTCGTGGGAGTAATTGGCGTCGTATGAGGAGTACTGGTACTGGTTGTAGGGGTATCTCTGCCGGCGGCAGAGGTACTGACAGCGGTACGGATAGCGGTACGGACACTGGTGGTTTGAGTCTGAGGGTGGTGGTGATGGCTATGATCGTCTGTGGGCGGCGTACTAGATGTGAACTTCTGGCACCGAGGCCTCGATCGGCGGAGTGGTTTGGTCGGCCGGGGACTCTCTTTGGGTTTGGAGGAGTCCGTTTGAGGTGACGTGATGGTGAGGGCTCCGTTGGTTTCGTCGTCTGGTTCTCGCTCTGTGCTTCGGTTGAGGCTGGGGCTTGAGTTGAGGCTGGGGCTTGTGTCTGGGCTTGGGCCTGGGCTTGGAGAACGGTGGCGCTTGAGAGGTGTGCAAGGCAGATGATGTACGGGTTATTTTGGACTGTCAAATGTTGTTGATAGTTTCAAAGGAGGTGCAACGTCTGGAGATTTGGTCTTGGAGCTTTCGTTCTTTGGAAAGGACATGATGGGTAGGTATGGTCTGTTGATGACTTTGGCTGGGGATGAGATTGGGACTGAGAGGTGGATGGAAATGGTAAAGAAATATTCGGGGTCTGTGTTTGTCCTCGTTTTATTCCGTTTTGGATTGTGTTGGGCTGATGTGAGTTGACAAGCGGGATACTGGCTGTGATGATATACAATTTGACAATCATACAGACGTTTGCTTGCCCGATGCACCATTCAAGATGGATAGGATTCTGTCAGAAGACCTGACTTGTTGGTCGACGCGCCCTGGAGTTGATCCCGTGGGTCATGTCAAGGATTTACTTTAAAAGAGGGGTTTCCGCTATAAGCGCTTGAGAAGAACAGAACGAATGAAGCTCGAAATCCATATTATGGTGCTCTGTGTGTGTATTTGTGTGGCATTCAAGTACTCGTGTGTCGTATCTTTGTTGAACGGGCAAGTTTAGCGCCGGACAGAGGTCCAGATGCTTCGTCTACTGTAAAAAGGGTTCGTTCTTACCGAGTGATCACCTGAAGGAGGGAAATGACCTCGCATAGAGATATAGAACGGCGCTTGAATTCCAGCTGTGACTAAAGATACGTCTACAAACACGTACTCACATCGTCTTCCTCCCTCTCATTTTTGTCAATAGTAAGCAACGCAAGTCAAATCCTAGTTCATTTCCTGCGGGTGTCTGGCCTCCCTTTTTCTATTCATTCCCCCATTTCCCCGTTCCTCTATCATTGTCCCTTTCTCTTCTTCGTCAGCAGTATCCGCCGTAGGTACCCGATGATCATCGCCTGGATCTGCCTCATGCCAAACTGGCTGACTACTTCTTGTCGGAAGCTACCACACAGCATTGTTAACCCAAAGATTTACTAACCATTAACTCGACAGCGGAGAAATCTTCAAAAAAACAAGGTGACCACATTTTCCCCCGGTGGAAGAGGAAATGACACAGACACATACACTTGCTCGCATCCCCATTGCTAGAAGACTCGCTCTTCTTCTCCTCCGTCTTGGGTTCGTCAGCAACCTTCTGACTGGGTGGTCCTGGTGGCGAAGGGCTGCGCTTCCGGAGCGGGGTCGGGATCCGGTCTCTGGTGGTGCTTGGTGGAGGGCTCGGAGAGTTGCTAAGCGGCTTGTCGTAATCGTAGGAGCTCATTTTGACTCGAAATTTGGGTAGGCGTAATAGCTAGCGGATTTTGGCTTTTGTCTCGGGGACAGAACAAGGGGGGAGGTGCTTGTGTGTGAAGGTGATGATGATGTGGAAAAGAATGGTCAGTAATTATTGAGAGGGGGGGAGGAGGGGGCATTTATATCCATTTTTTACCTCTGCGTCCATCGTCTCGTCTCGTTCTTGCGCCATCGACGTCGAGCAGATTGCGTATGACAACCAACGAGAGGTATGGTCAGCGGACTTGGTGAGGGGTATCAAACGCTTCGAGATGGGCCGATGTAAGCGTCATATGGATGTCAAAACTACTCGGTTGAAGGAGAAGGAGCGGGGGATACATGAGGTGAAAATTTGTACACGAGGGCTAGAAGTGCCCAGGCACAAACCAGGGGCTTGGAGAAGTAGACAACTCGAGGCCTGGCGAGTAGTGGATTTCATCGCTATCACGAATGGGAAACTCCGAAACTGGAAGGACTCTTACCCCCCGCAAAAAAGTAAGTGTGATGAACAGGAGTTTTGTTGGTGAGTCAAAAGTTTGTGAATCCTTGTCCACCGCCTGGCTAGAACGGGGGATGTACAACCCAAACTTCGGACCTTCATTCATCGAACCCAAACATTAATCATGTGTGCCTCTTCACCTCTCCACTTCCTTCAAGCTCCAATCCTTTACCGCGCGGTACCCATCTATCCAAATACGCCTTCGAACCCTCCATTACACTCTCGCCACTCCTTCAAGTTCCTTGCAAACAGCGCCGATGTTCCATGTCGTTACTCATCGATGATTTTCCTCGGCTGCATTTCCAATTATCCTGTGGAGATCAGCTTCTGACTCTTCCCTCTAGCAGTCAACACTAATCCATCGGCCAAAGCCACTCATGTTTTAGGTGGGAACTTGTTGGGATTAACATACCATGTCACTGTCTTGGTATCTCGAAACTTCTCACTTCTTACTCTTCTTGCCGCTTGTGCTTTGTTGCTTCCCGTTTGTACTGATGCTCGGTTTTGTCCGTGTGCTGGGAGATCTTTTGAACGCGGCCTTGAGTTGATCCAAGGGCCCTGGCTCTGGCTCCGGATCGGAATGATCCCATCCGCTTTTCAGCTCTGGTTGGCCATCTGAGGTCTTCGAGGCTTGCTCGGCGTTCGAGGCGTTGGCAGACATGATCGTTGTTGTGGATGTCCGGGTAGGGCAGCTGAGTGTAGAAGAATGCTTGCTTGCTATGGTCAAGAGAATCAACCTGTCGAGTGGGTATTGTTGTTCTGTATGGTGTTGTGGATGGATTGTGAGATCTCGCTGGGTGACTCAAGGTGATGATAGGGCGGGAGTATGTTCCGGTCTATATACCAATAACTGGTGTCGCACCGGTCAGGAACTGATGACATCGTTGTAAGCACTCACGCAAAACTGATCTCATGAGCAAAACTGTCCTCCAACTTTTGTTCATGGGCGGCTAGAGTGTACGAAAGATGTGCCGCTTTCTGTTGGTTGAAGATAAACCGCCTGGGTCCGGTTGTTAGGTCGAAGTGTAAAAAGACTGACTCCCCGGCCAAAGCATTCTACAACGGGAAAAGAAAGAAAAGAAAGAGAAAAAAAAGAGAAGAAAAAGAGAAGAAAAAAACGCCTAAATCGCCAGGCCTTCTCACAAGATGAATGCGAAGGAGGAAAAAAAGTTGATATATGGATTAACAGAAGAAAAGAATGTATTACCCACAGCTGAACGCAGCAGCGTTCATCAACAAATAACAAAATGATACATAGTCATTATCTCGCCCCTTCTCCACGAATCTCCATGTAAACACCCTATACCAACGCCCCCGTAAGCATAACATCGTAAAAACCACCGAATCTTCTTCAACTACAACCAATTTGATTCCTCCCGCCTGTCGTTCTGATACTTAGCATTCCCCCACTTCTTCACCTCAGGAATGGGGGTCAGCGCCCTGCTTTCTCGTTGCTCAGAATAATACGACGACACGGAGGAAACTTCTGATACAGGCCGCCGGTGCTGAGGTGCAGCCTCTGAATAGTACGACAGGGAGGAAACACCCGATACGATCCGCGAGTCTTGATGTCCAGTCTCTTCTTCTATATGTCCTTTTTGGTCTTCTCTTTCTGTTTCTTCTCCATCTGTGTCTCATTCTTCCCATTCTTGTTCTTTCCATCCTTGTTTTACCCCCAATGCCCAATTAAGAACCGCGCTCGGATTATCGTAGTGGGGAAGTGGTGGTGGTTGAGAAGGAGGTGGTGTAGGTGATCTCCATAGTGTGACTACGTTGGGGCTGTTGTCGAAGTAGTAGGAAATTTGATAGCTGCTCGGCACGTTACGCCTCCCTGTAGCTGGTGTAGAGGCAGTGGTGGGCTGAGAGACCGTGTGGTGATGTTCTTGTTTGGGTGGGAACCGATGGTATAGAGGCGGGGATGTTAGGTCGGGATCGAAGTTAGTCTCGAGTGATCCAGGGTAGTTTTCTTGTGGTATAGCGCCGTCCCACGGGGAAGATAACCTTTCCGAAATCTTTTCTGGTCCGGGCCATGCCGTTACGGGGCGCGCTGGGAGTTGATGATTATTTTCCTTCTGATGATGATGGTGTATCGGGGACTTTGATGGAGGCAGAGGCTTTTTCGGTCTTGATGGACTTGGCGATGTGTGTCCATACTCTCGACGCTGAAATTCTGTGGGAGACTGGGACCGCAGTTGTGTCTTCTGATATTGTGCTTGCTGAAGATAGGGAGGTGTTTGGTTTTGTGGGTGTTGTGGGATGCGGCGTTGTGCCGGTGGAGGGACTTGCGTTTTCTTTCGAAGTCTGCACATCATAATCCAAACAACAAGATAAAGAGGATAACCAGGTTGAACACCCCATCTCGCTGTCTTTTGTGTAGATTGAGGTCTAGAAGATGCAATTGGCGGACTTGACGAATGTCGACGTTTCAGAACCTCCGAAATCCTCTTGCTATCGAGTGACAATTTTCGACCGCTCCGTGGTTGATCTGGATAGACGTGATATGGCCCGCTGATTCTGGGCGACTAAACGATGGCCATGGTTGACTCCATTGTAGCGATTCATGACCGGCTGGAGACCGTCTTGGTCTGCTTGAATCATGTGAGGAATGGCCGAGGGTCACCGTGACCTTGTTGATAGAAAGTGAATGTAATCATTGTATTTGGTCAGCCATAGGCGCGCGATAAACCGTATATGTAAGAATCAGTCGTTGGAGGTGAAACGTGATGTTGTTTTTAGCAGGAAGCGCTCCGTGGAATCCCAACGCATCGCAAAGGCGTCTACGTTCTGGACCGGTGCGGGAGACCGGTCGTCTTGTATGGTCACTTGAACGGCTTGTTGGTGGCAGCTGTGACGCCGGGAACCTCTTTATTCGGGACGATATGTTGGGCGTGATTGTTTGGAGGGAAAGTTTGCCGCCCAACTCAGTTGGCGGGTGTGCGCACACAAAGAAACGAACCTGAGTAGGAGTGACCACCAACAACCAACAATTGCTAATGCGTAAGAAAAAAAAGAATTTGCAGTCTTTCCTATGTATAGTCAGACGTCTAGCATAACATATGACTTGAACAATGATGTGTGACCAGGTGGAGGTGGAAAACAGGGCCATCCATCGTAAGCTTCACTCGTATCGAGGCCAAAAAAAAGTCACAGAAAAAAGAATGAGAAAAAAAAAAAAAAGAGAAAGAAAAAAAAAGGGGGGGAGAGGAAGACAACGAACAAAAGTCAAGGGATCACGGAAAGACAAACTCGCACAAAAAAAAAACAGCCAAAATTCACAGCGTACTCCCCACACTCCCCCCTTCCCATCTCCGTCTCAAATCCCATTCCCCTTATGTCTCCCATCAAGCTCATCATGGCTGACGTTCCCCGTCCTCTTCCTGCCCCCTCTCCCTCCCATTAACCTCACTCCCATTAACCTCACTCCCATTAACCTCACTCCCATTAACCTCACTCCCATTAACCTCACTCCCATTAACCTCACTCCCATTAACCTCACTCCCATCAGTCTCACTCTCATACTCAATCTCATCCCTACCCTCCTCGAACTTATCCACCTCCCTCAACACCCCATGCGCAACCTCTGCATACACCGCAATCGTCTGCCTGAACAGCTCTGCATTCTGCAGAGAACCGTACCGCGTGATGTCTTCGCCAAAATACCGTCCCATAGCCCTGAAGTGGTTGCCCAGTTGGGATATATAGCGGCGGATATCAGAGGGTGTGGCTGGGAGTGTGCGTGGTGGGTTTGGTTGCGGGTTTGGTTGTTGTGGGTTTGGTTGTTGTGGGTTTGGTTGTTGTGGGTTTGGTTGTTGCTGCGTGGTTGATGCAGTGGGTACCTCTATAGAGGGGGAGGATAAGGAGAGTGCGGCGAAGGCTTCTCTTACTTCTCTTGAGGCTATGTACAATTCTGAGGCTGGGTCGGATGACGTGTAAAAGTCGTTGGTAGTGTTGGTAGTGTTGCCGTTGGTGGTGTTGGTAGCGTTGCCGTTGGTGGTGTTGGTAGCGTTGCCGTTGGCGGTGGTTGTTGTTGTTGTTGTCGCAGGCTGGGGCTCCTCGAGGTTAGGCTCGTCATAGCTGTTGTTGTTCTTTTCGTCTGCCATTTTGGGTTGGGTCGGTGGTGAATAGTTTGAGCTTGCTTGTATGGAAAGTTAGACTACCTCTAGTCGTCAAGTTAAAATGGAGAGAAAGCTTTCTGGCGATGTGATGTCTGGTGGATTGCCACGCGATGTCGAAAACAAGTACTGTGGTCTGTTGGGGAAACCAGTGCTGCACACAAGCCAAGTCGTATACAAGTCAAGCCAAGTCAGCTTGTTGGGAGGCAAGTCAAGTCGCCCGAAAGCCTGTTCAAGTCAATTCAAGTCCAGAAGCTGACTTGACTTGTTGGACTTGTTTCTCCAAGGCACGGACATATATGTACTAAAATATCCCCGACTGTAGGTATCTGGAGGGGGGTGCATATTGGTCTGGTACAGGTATTGACGCAAGCAAGTTAATAAGCCAAGTTAAATCCGAGGTCAAAACAAGTCAAGTACACGCTTGTTTTTTTACAAACAAATTAAATTAGACCCCCGACTTGATTTGACTTGACTTGTGTGCAGCACTGGGGGAAACTGTGTTTACCGAAATGGAGGCACGTACGTAAAGAGGCAGACAAAACTGTAGTAAATCGCTTGAACTCGGCGATGGATTCGGGCAGATTAGAAACTAGTGATGATGTAGTCCTTGAGTTTTTCTGCCAGGGCAGTAATCACGGATTTTCGCCCCCGTCATCGCATCATATCCTTCCTAATCCTCGTCATCTCATGGGAGGTAGCTTCCACACAAACGCCGCGCAATTTCCAGTTATTGGTGTAGTCTGTCGTTCGTTCATGCCCGTTTCTGCAGGGGCAAGAGGGTTGGGAGGAGGGGTAAGAGATGCAGGTAGACGACAGGCGACAGGCAACACCGACCGAAGCATTTTTCACTGACAGTGACACCTGACACCGGTCACCGACCGACCGACCGGCTGGCTGGGTTGTTACTCCGTGACACAAGGAGCGTTTACACAGCAGACGTACCCAGGCTGGCGGTAACCATTGGATTTCTGTGAGATGCTGGTCGGGCGACAAATGATTGGATACGTTTTACTTTCTGGACTTCGTATCCCGAGAAACCCATTTTTTCAATGACCTGACAATTCGATACCCTGACATGTCGAAGAAGACGAAGACAGATAGTAATGTTGGATGTTGCCACTTGAGTGTCTTGCCTTGCGCGAGGAGTAAGATTATAGTTGATTATGTTTGTTCGATGCCCGATACCGAGAAATGGACATATTATGAATGCCATTGGGAACGAACGCCATCGCAAACTCTTGGCGCGTTGTGTGGAAGAGAAACAAACTCATCCCATCCATCCAATTCCAAATCGTCGTCCCCTTCGGCCGAGTGAAGAACTTCACCCAACACAGAAAAGGGGGTTGCTTTGACCAACGGCGACGAGACGAAGTGCTTCGTTTCACCACGACACTCGCGGTGACCGCCGTGCTGGTGGTTCCAATGCAGCTCACGGTCGTAAACCTTTCGACTTGATGAATAATTTCTCCTTCCCCCCGGTTGATCGCTCTTTCCAAGTCCTTTCTTTCCACCACTGCAGCTGCGATTTCGGGAAAAGAGAAGGAGGGGATGGATTCCCTTTCCTGTCTGCATATTTCCCCCACAAACCACCACTTTCTGGCATCTTCAGAGCCACTTCAATCCGCTTCGACCATTATCTCCCATTTGTCGCCGGTTCCATGATAACCGAAAAACCGGCCTCTCGTTACTCGTTCAGCAGAACAACAGCTCCCAATCCTTCTCATTAAGCACTATTCCCAAAGAACTTGGTAATCTTCTGCATCCCCGGCGGTGGTGCATTCCTAGGTCTGATCGGACTCCCCTTCCCCTTATTCTTCGTAGCACTGATGGGCTTTCCTTTCGCTTTCGACGGCGTCGGCGGCTTCTTCTTATTCCCCTTGACTGGTGACGACCTCCCTCCGGTCCCCATCGACTTTTTAGCAGGCGGTTGCCCATCATCACCCAGCTCCGAAGATGCCTCCCTCTTGATCCCTTGACGCAGCGGCGACGAATGCATTTCCCTCCCTTCTTGACCCGCTTCTTCGACCAACTCATCGATGGATTCAACCTTAATTTTTCCAGTCTCCGTCTTGACTTCCACTTCCTTCCCCTCCTTCCCATCCTCCTTCCCATCCTCCTTCCCATCCTCCTTCCCATCCTCCTTCCCATCCTCCTTCCCCCCCTTCGCCCCCTTCTGGTCCATGACCCCCTCCTCCCCCTTCCCACCCCCACCAAACCAACTCTCAATCGCCCTCTCCTCCCTCCTCACCTGCTTCGGCACCACCAAATCCTCACCATCATTCCCCACCTTCCCCACCCTCTTATCAACCGGATAACACTCCAGTTCCCCCTCAAACGGCCTCAAAACCCCCTGCAACTCCCCATCCCACACCTTCCTCCCCGGATCCAACCACTTTTTGAGACTCTCCGGCCCAGCATCCAAAATAACCGGCATCCTATCGTGCAAAAACCTCAACTGTTCATTACTCGACGTCGTAATAATCGTATACGACCAGATTTCGTTTTCGATGCCGTCTTCGTCGGTATAGTGGGCGCAATCATATAATCCAGCGAATAACATCAGTTTCCCATCTTTCCTTTTGACAAAATGGGGGATCTTTTCAACTCCTTTGCCGAAGGGACCAGGGGTGTTGAGCCACTCGAAGAAGCCTTGAGCAGGGATTATGCAGCGGTGCCGGTGTTTGATGCTGGACCAGATACCGGAGGAAGAGGAGGCGAGGGAGTCGTCGCGGCAGTTGATGGTTTTTAGGGTTGTTGTGTAGTTTGTTGATCCGGGTTTTTGTTGGGTTGATTTGGATTTGGACTTAAAGGTCCAGGAGGGGATGAGGCCCCATTTCATTGGTTGGAGGATGAATTGGTGGTTTTCTTTCGGTGTTCCGTCTTGTTGATGTTGTTGGATTTGATGTTCCGTAGGCTGAGTTTGGCCCTGTTCCTTTTCTTGCTGCTGTTCTTCTTCTGGGGACTGGCTCTGGTGCTCCTCCTCGCGTTCAACTTCCGCTTCGCCTTCAGTTCCTTCCTGAGCACTATCATCATGTGCCGCTCTCCTCCGTCCTCCAGCTCCACGGCTACCACCAACACCACCACCACCGCCCACCCTGGCCCTGTAGACAACCCCGCGATACCCCGGCGCAAAGTTGTAGCTCTGTCTTGGAGAATTGTCGCCTTCATCGTCCGGCGCGTCGTCGACTGGCATGTTATCCGCTTGTAACATGCGGCGCACCTCTGAAGGGCGCAGATTGATGGCGTACCTACCGCACATTGTGAAAATCCGAGTCGTCAATGAGACGGCGATTGTCTGAATGGGGAGTTGCGGGCGATGAAAGAAAGTGAAGATAGGTAAGAAAAAGAAAGGTGAAAGGGAACCATGACGTAACATTCCTTTGACACGTTAACGACGCGCGTTTGCTAACTGCAAGGTCAGAACGCCTGATCATGTGACCGCCAACAACCTCACCTCACTTCAACCCATCTATTTGGGTTGTTCGCCGTGTTCAACAAAAGGCCATTCTTTTTCGTACATAAAGAGCTAATAAACAAGTATAACCGCCAATGATCATTTTCTCCAAAACACCACCCTCCCTTTCCACGCGCGGCTTTGATTCTCTATAATTAAATACACACACACCACGCTCAAAACCTCAGGGTATCACTTCTATCCCGTCCTTCTCGACGCATGATCTCGCTTTCTGTCGTCCCCATCAAGAGACATCAAGACAGTTTAATGAAGCCAGTTTTTTTTCCTGACGGCTCCCAAGATCCCCGCACCGTACATGATATCCCCTGAGATAGTTTCTGTGCAAAATTTTCCGTTCGACACCTTACCATGCAAAAAAAAACACTAACAAAATGACACACTCACTCATTTAGGCAACAGCCACCATGGGCGCCGCCGGCATCATACCATCAATCTTTCCCCCACGCCCGGTAGACGCAGCCGCAGCCGCAGCAGTCTTCCTCATCTCCATCTTTGCCCTCCTCTTTTCGACCTCATCCTTCTTCCACACCTCCTCGAACATGGACTTTTTGGGTTTGACCTGGTGATCCCTGATGCCCAACCGTCTGACGACCTGGAACGCGCCGGTACCGATCTTCATGGTTTGGCCCATGATGATACACTCCGACACACCGAGGATGCGATCCGTCTTCATGCCCGCCGCCGCATCGAACAAGTGATCGGGCGTGCGCTCGAACGAGGCAAGCTGCAGCACACTGTCGCGCATCTTGGCGAGACCGTGGCGCGTGATACCGAGAATCTCGCCCTTGTAGGTCATGACGTCGGCCAGCAGGTCCATGTGACGGGGATCGATGCCCATGTCGCCCATGACGCTGCCGATTTCCTTGGCGATGGTGGTGCGGGCGGCTTCGATGCCCAAAACGTCGCGGCACTCCATGATGGAGTTGGAAATGCACTTGGTGCCGATGACGCCCTCCGTGGTCATGCAGGCGCGCAGGCCGTAACCTTCAACGAGGACCTTGTGCTCATTGGACTCGCTGGATTGGATGATGGCACGGAACGCCTCGGGGTAGCCGGAGATGGGCACCGCGGGAAGCATGCGCTTGAGGAAGTTGACGCGTAGCTGGAAGTCGGCGGCGGTCTCATCTGAGGTGGTGAGAAGCAATTGGCCCTTCTCGATCGCTGCGGCACGAACTCTTGCCGCTTTCTTTTGGGCGGTCAGATCCTTCCAGTCGTTGTTCACAATGACCTCGATGGTGTTGTCGGGACCGATCTTGAGATCATCCATCTCCACCTTGAGCTTGAGCTTCTTGGCCTTGACGATGGCGACCATAATCTCGCGAAGACCGATGCCGAGCTGCATGTCCGAAAGAGCCTGCATATCGATCTTGAGGACAATCTTGGCGACATCCGGAAGCCAGACATCTTCCACATAGGTGATGACATCGGAAATATAAGTCTTTTCGATCTTGCCCTTGACGATACGCGCGGCCTTGATGTCTTGGTTGTTCTCGAGCTCGCAGCTGATGACGGGCGTGCTGATGAGTTTCGAGGCACCAATAATTTCCTTGATACGGGGAACACCCTGAGTGATACTCATACCGGCGACACCGGCGAAATGGAAAGTCTTAAGTGTCATCTGAGTACCGGGTTCACCGATAGACTGCGCACCGACAGCGCCGACGGCGTGACCAGGCTCCACCTTTGCCTTGTCGAACTTGGAAAGACAGAGGTTCATGAATTTTCTCAGGGTAGCCTCCGAAACCTTGGCGACGCGATCCACATGGGCTTGCTGGATTTCCTCCTCTTCCGGATCCAACATCTTGATATCACCGCCATTCTGCTTCTTCTCCCATGCAGCGAATTCCTTCAGCAAGTCCGCGTTGTCCTGGGGCAGACAAGGATCCAAGCCGGCGAGCCTGCGTGCTTTTGCCAGCTTGAGCGCACGCTTGTCCATCTCAGCCTGAATAGTGTTGAGATAGACTCTGGCACCCTCATGCTCATCGATCGCAATGAAAACATCATGATCGTCACTTTCCGCAATGGTCTTGTCCTCGTAATGCAGCAACTCGCCCGTGACAAGGTGCTTGCGCACATACCATTTTCGCCTTTCGTCCAGAATCTCCCTGCACATGGCCGAGATCTCTGCCGGAAGCAGCGACCTGTCACTGTGGTTCATGGTCAGGCTTTCGGCATGATTCCACGACCTCTCGAAATCGACAGGCTTGGCATTACCCTCCATGTCTGCGGGATCCAGTCTGTCGGCACCGTACTGGAACTGCACAATGTTTCCTTCGGATGTCCGCACGGTATCATCGTACTGAGTTGAGAGATCTTCCAACGACTTCATGAGACGACGAGACATGTAACCCGTCTCGGCTGTCTTGACGGCGGTATCGACTAGACCTTCTCTACCAGAGATGGCGTGGAAAAGGAACTCGGTGGGCACCAGACCAGTGTAGAAACTGTTGCGCACAAAACCCTTGCTGGGCGGCTGGCGAGCGTTCTTGTGGAAGTGGAAGAGCGTACGATCCTGGAAACCATCCGCGACACGCTTGCCACCAATAATCTGCTGTCCGACAAGGGCAACCATCTGGGCGACGTTGATGTCGGAACCCTTGGAACCGGACTTGGCCATGATCAAGGGAGAGTTGTTGCGACTTAAATGGCCGACACAGTAGTCACCGGCCTGCGAACGGACTTTACTGAGAATACCAGAGATCTTGTTCTCGAGCGTCTCCTCCATGTTGCAACCGGGAGCCTTTTCAAGCCTTCCGCTCTTGAACTGTGCGATGAGGTCGTCGCAGAGTGCATACGCATCCTGAACCAGCTTGGCCTTGTGCTCGGTCAAATCCTTGGACGGATAAACGTCGCCAACACCAATCGAGAAACCGCGGAGGGTTAGTGTACGAGCACACAACTTGGCCAGGCGGTTCATGGCCTGAGCAGCGTGCTCCGGGCCCCAATCACGGAGGATAACGTAAAAGACCGAGTTCTTCTTGCCACCACCAACGGTCGACTTGTCCATTCTTCCGCACATGACCTCGGAGTTGCGAACAACCAGGTAGCAATCGTCAATGTCCATATCCGGAAGCTCACCAGGCTTCGCCTTGTAAACCTTGTTCTTGGCCTCAAGGTTGACCAGGACCGGTGATTGCTTGTTGGGGCGCATCAGAACGTTGAAAATCTGCTTACCCGTCCACATCTCGACAGGCTTGATGATGGTGGGCGGGGGAAGATCGAGATGGGTTTCACCCAGCAACATTTGCGTGCAGATGTAGGTGAAGGTCTTGCGGTCGAGGAACAAATCTTTGCTACTCAGCAGGTATGCCGCAGTAATGAAATCCTGCGTGGCGGCGATGATGGGTTCACCGTTCTTCGGGGTAATCAAGTTGTTTTGTACACCCATAAGGTTGATGGCTTCGGCGCGAGCCTCTTCTGTTTGCGGAAGATGAAGGTTCATTTCGTCTCCATCGAAATCGGCGTTGTAGGGTGTGCACACACATTCGTTGAGACGGAACGTCCTCCAGGGTCTAACCTTTGCACGATGGCTCATGATAGACAACTTGTGTAGCGAGGGCTGACGGTTGAATAGCACAATGTCGCCATCCTCCAAATGTCTCTCAACAACGTCGCCAAACTTGAGTTCCCGCGCGCGTTCCTCCCGGATGGACTCGTCACCGAAGTTTAGGTTGAACTTCATGCCGCCGTCCCTTTTGATGACACCCTGAGCACCAGGCCAGACTTTGGGTCCGTTCATGACGCATTTTCGCAACTTTTCGATGTTGTTGCGGTTCACACGCTCGGGGTATGTAAGGTTTTTGGCCACACGCTCAGGAACGGCGACCTGGTCAATGCCCAAGTTGGGATCGGGTGAAATGACTGTGCGGCCGGAGAAGTCGACACGCTTACCCGACAGATTACCACGGAAACGACCCTGTTTACCCTTCAGACGCTGGCAGAAGCCGCGGATGGGCTTCCCAAAGCCTGGCTGGTATAGACCGGGAACGTCACTGTTGACGTACATACCAACCTGAAGCTGGATGAACTCCCACTGTTCCATGATGGTGTTGAGGGCGGCGCCCTTGAGGAGCGATTCGCGCAAATGGCCGGCGTAGAGAATTATTTCGGACAGCTTACTTGTGATGTCGTCTTCGTTGCTGGCGGCTTCTTGCTGGACCGACGGGCGAATACAGATGGGAGGAGCGGGAAGATATTGCCACAAGAACATCTCTGGTCTGCCCTCGGAAGGGTTCAATCCGAGCAACTCGCAGTCTTCGGCAGTAATCTTCTTGAACAATTTCAAGACTTTGAGAGGGTCCATGTCGTCCATAGCTTTCTTGGAGTGCTTCTCGAGGTCCGGAGTGAATGTCTTGGCCTGGATGAAGGAGGAATCGAAGGCGGCCTTGGCAACAGGCGGAACCTTTTTCTGGGCAGTCGACTTGTTGAAGTGGGAGAACTTGTCGTGGGTGAGCTTCATGACGCTCAACTTGCGGATAACGCCCTGGGTGTCGTGGCAGTAGGGGCACGTCTTCTGCTTGCGGCACTCATCGTTGATCTTTTTGAGGATGGCTGATCGCTTGAGGTTATCGATACCAGGGGCACGGAGAGCCTTGAGGAACTTGGCCTTGGGTTCCTCTTCGAGCAGAACCTTTGAGCAGGTCTTGCAGATGTTCTGGAGTGTGGCTTGGATGTACTTGAGATAGCCGATGTGGAAGACGGGAAGCGGTAGGCGGACGTGACCGAAGTGACCGGCGCAGGACTGGAGAGGGAGGTTGCAGGTCTCGCAGGTGCCCGTCTTGCTCGAGGTACCGAGGCGGGGATCGAGAGGGCCGTGGGGGAAAGTGCGGCGACCGTTTTCGACATCGTAGAGGAGGTTGTCGGAGACTTCGAGGACACCCTGATTTACTATATCCTGGTGTGACTGGACTCCGAACTGGAGGGCTCTAAAGCGCTTGGGGAGCTGGTCGCCCAGCTGCTCCTTGATAGGAGCTCTCTGCTCAGCGCCCATTATGTGTGTTCCGTATTTCTGTTGTCGAGACTAGCGATGCGATGAAGAGGGAATATGCAACAGGTAGGGTAGGTGGTTATTGTGCCCTGTTCTGGTGATGGATAAAATGTTGCTACCGGCTCATTGCGGATGATGGCGGTTCGAGGTTCGTAAGGTGCTTGTAAGTCGCAATGGATAAGTTGCTGTGAAGAACCTAGAGCGAAGTGGAAGCCAGGCTGTCGATCGAGAGTGTGGTGGGCGACGAGAACCCCGAATCCCGCTATCGGCCGAGGCTTATATAAGTCGTCGACGCTAATACCAAGTCTTGTCGTAGTGGTATTTTCGAAAAGGTTGTAGAAAATGCCGTAGCAAGTGTCGGAGTACTTGTATGTTGATTTCCCAGACAATGGGAGTCGAAAGTGGAATGAGGTGGCAGATGCCGTTGATGTGGAAGGGAATTTTGGACGACTTCGCGACCCGTCTTGAAAATTATTTTGTCGCTGCGCGCTGCGTCCCCAGTGGTGCCGGCACCCATGGTGAAAACGGCGCCTGGGGGGTGGGCGGGGCCCGGGCGGCAGTCAAAGACAAACCCCCCGCCGTCGCCGCATGACTCCGCGTCTTGGAATTGGTTCAATTGTCGCGGGTTGGAGAGTGGAGACAGACTCGAAACCTGCCCGTGCCCCACCATGCGATGCATCCATCCGATCGACCGGCCCAGGCTGCTGATACCCCACCATCCGTTATCGTGTAGGGGTACTTGTCGCGTTTAAAAGATACTTGGAGCTGCTATCGAAGCCAGCAGCACACAGAAGTACCTCTGTATCCAGACAGAGTACCCGAAACTGCTGGATGAGAGCGGGACGAGGACCAGCTCCTGCCAATCACCGCTTGATTCTGATCTGCTGGAATCGTCATTGCCGTGTTGTCCAAGACAGCCAAGAGCTCCATTGGCCCTTCCTGTCATTCCATGGAAGATGAGAAAAGTCACAAGCCAGCGTTACTGACCTTCCTCCTGACTCTATTACTTCTTTACCGTACATACCATACATTGTCACATACAACATCTAAAAGTGTATATCTACCACACTTTGTTCAATTAACATTCCTCCCTGCCTTTGGTTCTGCGAGCTCCCTTTGTTGCAGTCTCCTCCTTCCCGTCTCTTGCATGTGCCCGCATCTTTTCCGAGGAAGCTTCAGCTGTTACAACCCGTGAGACTCCTTCATACAACAACTACGACTACCTAGAAACCAAACATCGAAACAGATTCTTCGAGATCGACCACCCAACCAGCAACTGTCGTTCAGAATTAGAGACTAACCCTTCCACCAACCAACATCAGCCAAGACCAAGTCCCGTATCCTCTCCCTTGGATCTTCCCAGCGACCGTCAGGAGCAAAGCTCGTCCTGTCAACTTGATTCTCGGCAACGTTGGCGCTTGTTTTCGCGATAAGGTTGCGTCTGCGCGGGACTGGCCAGGGTCCTCGTACCCGTCAGGCTCTCTACCCTCTGTCAGCAGTCTTCAGACCAACTACCTCTACCTTTACGTCTAGCGGAGGCCCCAGAGCCTCGTTCTCTTCTTCGGCTTCTTCCTCTTCCTGGTGGCCCTCTGGCCATAGCAGAAACCCAATGGCTCCAACTACCGGTACTGGCGCCGGCGCAGCCGACAAGAAGCCCGAAAAGTCCTACCTCGCATCCGCCGTCGACTCCATCAATCCTTGGGCCGCCAACCGGAGTACCACTCCAGCACCCAAGGAGCCGCCTCCGCCCAAACCAGTAGTCCCCGTGAACCCGAATCCCGGTGACCACAGTACCAATCCCTTTTACGGCCAAAGCTTTAAGCGATATCCTCCCGACTGCCCTCCGCTCAATGTCCAATGGTTCCATGCGGTAGATGTAGGTCGACTCTTGGATCACCGGTACAAATCAGGAAAGGCCCTAACTCATAGTTCTTCTCTAGGTTCCAAAGCGCAAGCCCAAGTTCCTCCAGTCCAAGCCCGACGATGACAAAAAGACCCAGGCGCAACCAAAGAAATATGCGCCTTTCTCTTCTGGAGACTCCCGAGCACTCGAAGTCGCCTACCAGGCAAGACTCGAAGAGTTGGAGCAGCAGAGGGCGAATCCGAAACGCTCAAACAGTGTCCGTCTAGGCTCCAAGCGGCCTCGAGTCGTCTCAGGCGACGAAGCAAACAACACAAACCTCGAGTCGACGGAGGATGAGGCCAAGAACCACATCCGTGTCCCCGTCAACGAAGATTTCTTGTTCGATGTCGACCTTGACGATCGCGAGTTAGCCCCTGTCTACTGGGAGGGTCCGGTATATGAGGTGCGTCGAGGAACCTGGTTCTACCAAGAAGGCTCGACTGTACGCCCATGTGAGGAGAATCTTGCAGCCCAGCTTGAAGAGGGATACCTAAAGATAAGGCCGTGGATGTACCCAATACGGACGCGCAGCGACTCGGGCACCAAGACCGTCACACCAAAGACCTCGGTGAGCAATCTCAAGGCTGCTGCTGCCGCCCAAAAAGAGAGCCCAGCGAAAACAGAGACCACAGTTGTCCAGCATCAGCCCCAGACATACCGGCTATTCGGGGCCTACATGAACAACATCGCAACATACCACGACGAAAACACTGCATGGCTCTCATCCGAGGGTGTGCTCTCTTGGGTGACCTCGACCGTGTACGAGAGGTTCGCTGGAGGTGGCTACATGAGCGGCGTGAAGCTCGTTCGCGGCTATAATACCGAAACAAAGAAGCCCAAGGATGACAAGCGACCCTCGACTCCCACGGGAACCAAGAGTTCTTCCACAGAACAGGACGAGAAGCTGCAAAAAGCCCTCAAGAGACGCTCTGCTCCGGCAGGTGCGCAGTCACTTTCTGAAGATGCCATGGTGATTAAGGAAGAGGGCGAAGAGGATGTGCCCGAGGAGATCGAAAGTACAAGGGCCAGGCTCACTCGCCAAATATCAAACCTGATAGAAGGCGTCAAAGATCCAGAAGCAGAGGCGGAAGCGATTCGGAAACGAGAAGAGAAGGAGATTCGGGACGACTACAATGCGCGACTCGGAGAGACTCAAGGCCGCGAAATTGAGCATATTATTCTCGTCACGCACGGCATCGGACAACTCTTGGGAAAGAAGATTGAGAGTGTCAACTTCGTTCATGACGTGAACATGCTTCGGAAAACATTAAAGGAAACATACTCTTCCTCGGCCGATCTTCGAGCACTGAACGGCGAGATTGAAGTGGAAGGCCCTGGCAACTCGCGTGTGCAAGTCTTGCCTGTTGTCTGGAGGCATCTTCTCGACTTTCCAAAGCGCAAACCGAAAAGAAGAGAGCATGATTTGGGTGAAGCTCCATACGAAGAAGATGAATGTAAGTGGTGCTCTTGTTTCAAGTCACAAATTTGTTTGAAAAAAAGCCAGTGCTAATTGTTACAAAGACCCATCTCTAGAGGATATCACGATTGAAGGTGTGGCCTTTGCCAGGTCGCTCATTTCCGACTTGGCCCTCGACGTTCTCCTTTACCAAAGTGCCTATCGAGAAACGATTGTGGAGATCGTTTCTCGAGAAGCTAACCGGATATACAAGCTGTTCAAGGACCGCAATCCTAACTTCAAGGGCAAGGTTCACGTCATCGGTCACTCCCTTGGGTCTGCCATCATGTTTGATATCCTCTGTCGGCAACGGGAAAAGCGACCAGAAACTGAGCCGTTCAAGAACCCGCTCAAACTCTGGCCAACGCACACCCAGGACCGCTACGAACCCAAAGAACCTAAGGAGCTTGCGTTTGAGTTTGACGTGGAAGATTTCTACGCTCTCGGCTCTCCCATTGGCCTTTTCCAGATGCTCAAGGGACGGACGATTGCGGCTCGTCACTTGCCCAACGTTTACCCCTCGGAAAGCCCCCTAAATCCCGAATACATGGATGACCCGTTCTTCCTTGCCGCAACAGCGCAGCACCACCATCACCACCACCATAACAGTGATCAGAGTCTCTCTCCTATCACTAATCTTCCGTACAGCATCTCCTCTCCCAAGGTCGCTCAACTATTCAACATTTTCCACCCTTCAGATCCCATTTCATATCGTTTGGAACCTCTGATTTCCCCGGCCATGTCCACCCTCAAACCCCAAGCTCTACCATATACCAAAAAGAGCATCTTCGGCTCCGTCGCCCCTCAGGGCCTCACGGGCATCGGTGCCAAGGTCGGGCAGAGCGTCAGCGGACTATGGAGCAGTCTCAGTGCCGGTATTGCCAGCAGTTTGCTCAACCGTAGTCTCGGTCTGAGTCAGGAAGATGTAGCCAACATTAACGCATCGCAGGCTCAGAACCAGAATCCCAGTCCTGGTGCTGGTACCAACATAGCGGGTGGTGTCATATCTCCCGAATCTTCCAAGATGTCGGACGCCCAGCGGAGCGAGAAGACGGCGGAGAGGATGCGCCAGCTGGCCAACGCCGGTCACGACGGAACTCTTATTGACGACGAACTGGAGACGCTCTTTAGCAAATTCGAGAGGAAGAGGTTGGATATGGTTCACGCTGCCAAGGAAGGGGGCAGCACCGCTGCGGCCAAGGAGGAATGGGTCAAGGAGGAGGCCAAGGCCCAGAAGTTGAAGAGGGAGGAGATGAAGGTACGGGCGCTGAACAGGAATGGGAGAGTGGATTACAGTATCCAAGAGTAAGTCGTCATTTCTGCGTGCTCTCGAGTATTGTGACTTGAAACGACGGATGGCTAACAGCTTGCGGCTATACAGGAGCGTTCTGGACTTTAACCCCATCAACACCATTGCTTCACACATGAGCTACTGGGCAGACGAAGATGTGTGCCACTTTATTCTGTCTCAGATGCTGGTATCGAACAGGACGAAGACGCCGAGGGTGTAAGACTTCATGTAGAATTTGTGCATAGTTGGGGTAGTTTGCATAGATAGTCGTTCTACGGTTCGCGGGTTAACAGTTGGAGACGACTCATCGAGGCTTTTTTTGGATTTCGGAATTAGCATAACCACATTGCATCCGCTTTACAGAGTTGTCCTTTCACTGGTGGTATAGACACTTGTAACCTTCTTCCTTGGCCAACCTCGATAAGGGGTGAGAAGTGCAGTAGAGATTCGATACATCCAACACCCAACTTCCATTGTTCATTATATCTCAGGGGGCTTCCCTGAGCCGCGTAGGGTCGGAAGGAGCTTTCCCCCAAAGTTCTTGGTGTATCTTCACGACCCGTTGTCCTTCTGCACATGCAACGCCATGCACCCCTCAATCCCCGAGTCCAGCCACGGCCATAATTTTTTATTTTTTTTGGGGGGGAAGTGGCAGAAGGAACAAGCCACGGAACCCTAACCAGCCCTAGACTTCTCCTTTTCCTCCTGGCACTGCGGTTGAGCTTCCAAACTTTCGGTTCCCCGACTTCCTTCGAAGCTCATCCTTCATCCGCTTTAGCCACTTCCTGCCTCCCACCCCCTGAACAATCATTCTTTGGACTCTTCCTCTTTATCCTGGCACTGCAGCCAGGGCTCCAAACTTCCCCTGACTTCCAAACTCCCCCCCCCCCCCCCCCCCCCCCCCCCGACTTCCAAACTCCCCCCCGACTTCCTTCATCCTTCGTCCACTTGGGCCACCTCCTACCTCCCTCCCACTGAACAATCAGTCCTGGACTTTTCCTCTTCATCCAGGCACTGCAGTTGGTGTTCCAAGTTTCCCTCCACTGCAGTGCTTTCGTTCTTCATCCGCTTTGGTCCCCTTCTACCTCTGTCATCACCATCTTCCTCCCAAGCAGTATCGTTAAGTAATCTTAAACCTGGCTTGAGGAAAAGTTACATCCCTTTCTGCCTCTTGGCTTCCCTCCTATTGACGCCTCTGAAGTGAGCCTGCTCGTACCTTTTGAACCTCCATCACTCCTCGTGGCAGCGCTTCATCCCCCCAGCGCCCCCCAGCGATCAACTCACCCATCCAAGGCAGCCCGCAATCATCCCTCCTTGGAGCCAGCACTGGCTGCGAACAGTTTCCTCGTACCCAGCGTTAATTTCTCCGAGGCACAGACACTCCTGTGCCTTCTTGGACTACAGCCATCTGACTGTTGTTGGCGTTGCCTACAGCCTTCCTGCTACCCGGCTCTAGCGTCATCCATCGCACCCAAAGTGCCAGAGGATATGGGTTCCCAGTCGTCCACCATGATGGCAAGCACACCACAAACCGCCTACGCTCCAACTCATGTCGCATCTCCAGTTTTGGTAAGTGTGTTTCCACATCTCCAACACCATCTTCGACTTGCCCTCCATCATAACGTTGTTTCTTCTTGTCTCAACTGGCTTCTTGGTTACTGTGCGTTAGAGTCCAGATCAAAGTACCACTCTTGTTCGAAACCGAGACTAACAAAGGCGCCATCATTTCAGGATACCAACAAGAAAGCCGGCTTCGTCATGGCCGACCCAGGTCCATCACAGTCCCCGGACGTGGAAACAGACTGGGCCCGTTATTCGCTTTCTGTCCGACTGCGATATGGCTTTCCGGATCGCCGTGACCCCAGGGTTATTCCCGTCGGCTGGACATGCTGCAAATGCCGGCACAGGAACACCCACCCCAATGCCTACGGCGAGCCTGCGGAGATTGAGCCTGGAAACACCGACCATTTGAAACCCTGAGCTGGGGTGAACTGTTGTAGCAGGAAGCGAGATCGTGACGGCAACGAGTTGGACCCCTCTCCTCATTCTCTCTGCCCGGAGTGTGCCTTGACCAACCACAAACGCCAGCCCATCATGTCTGGCATCGGCGACTGGGCAGGGAACGTTGCTTTATCCGACTTCGACCATATTGACCGCGCCAAGATTGCTTTCTGGGAATGCTGCCACTGCCTGAAGCTGAACAAGATCAGTGACTCGGTCGCTAGGCGTCGCTTCAGCTGCCATTTCCAGAGCCAGAGCCCCGGACACTGCCGCAAGCCCGACCACCCTCAGCTTCAGATTGAGACTCTGCGTGCGCTCCGGCATACGCAGAAGAAGTATTTCTATCCGCGTTTTGTTCATCCCACTGATGTCAAAGAAGAACCGCCTACTCCCGCTGAAAAGAGGCAAATCAAAAAGCTGAGAAGGCGCAGGGAGGAGACTTACCACGAAATGGAGAGACACACGAACAGGAAACTCATGCCGCTTTCCGCGCATGTTACCTGTGGTGATTGCAGGCTTTTGAACGGATACAAAGAGTACTTGATCTTCGCGGACAAGGAAAAGAGGAAATTTGTCAAGGGGGGCGTGCTCTGGGGCAGTGTCAACGCGAGGTTGCTAGAATGGCAACAGACCAACAAGAGGGCGCCCGCTCTTCTTCCTGAGTTCGAGAAGGACGTCTGGGATCAGTTCAGGATGCGCGCCAACGTCGACGCTTGTTTCCGCACCATCCATCAGTTCAAGCTTTACCGCGCAGAAAAGCTGATAGACAGATTTTCCTCACTCGGCAACTGTGACCCCAACCTCTATCCCGAATGCAGCAGGGAAAAAGCCAAGAAAATCATGCTGAAGACTGTTGAACATAGAATCAGTTCCGCGGTGAGATATAATCAGCCAGCAGCGGTCCTGATGTTCTGTCAGAAGTTTCGCATCATGCATGACCACGGCTATTTCAGGGATACGCGCCTTGATGAGGTGGAGAGACACCGAAACTCGGACTTCCAGAGCAAACCATCCCCTTTGAGGCAGTGTTTTACTCGTCAGGTCCCCGAAACCGACCGCCGCTTGACTATTGTCGGACTTGTTGACCGGACGAGGACCCGTTCCACAAACACAGCGGGACAAGACGAAGTTGAAGCTGAGGCTTATCGACAGCGACGTGCTGCGGCTCAACGGCGACATGCTGAGTTCCTTCGACAACACGGTGAGGCGTGTGATGAACACGAGGCGGCCTTTCAACGAATGCTTGACGATCACAGGGCGGCCTTGCAACGAATCCTAAGAGACGATTTGGAACAACGGAAACAGGCTGAGTCTTCGGCCACCAACGGCCATGCGCATCAGGAACCTCCTTCGGCCACCTAGTCGCTGGACAAGGAAAAGATTCCCAAGGCAGGGTCTGACATTTCTGGAACTGTCAAGGTTCCCAACCTTTGGTTCGACTACTGGAACGGTGTCTTCGTTGCAAAGGGAGAAGACTCGGACGCGACAGCTCCTGCAGCAGTCAGTGAAGATGACATTAACAATCTGGCCAACGACGTCGAAAACATCTGTTTGAACACGAATGCTGCTCTGAAAACCCCGGTGGAGAAAAGAAACGACTCTCCTACTGAACGATCCGGCGATGACGAACCAAAGACCACTCCTCCTCCTGAGGTAACAAAGCGAAGGGAGGATGGATGGAAGGACTCAGAGTCAGACCCTGTTCAAAGAGGCAAAAAGAAGACCGAGATATCGCAGGAGTTTGACTTTCCTGGACAATTGACCGACGATGACGAACCAAATACCAGTCCTCCTAAGGCAACAAAGCGAAGGAAGGATGGATGGGTGGATTCCGAGTCAATTAGACCAGGAAGAAATCCGAGATTTCGGAGGCCCTGCATGTTTGTTTGACTGAGAACACGCTGGTGATGAAGGATTATTGGAATGTCTGAGCGGAGCGTAAATATCCGGAGGGTTGCCCATCTTGAGGAATTTCGAGTTGGGTGATGAATCTTGGGCTTGTTTCCGTCATTATGGATGTTTCTTGTGTCGAGTTTCGGGCCTCATGTGTTTGGACAGCGAAGTTCACTTTTTTTTTTTTTTTTTGCGCTGCCAGTTGGATTTTTTGATTTGATGTTGGGTACCAAGATAGCGCTTGTCAGTTGTCGGTGGTCAATACGGTTGACGGGCCGTTTCTTTCATGACATAGCGGAATATAGTTTGCTGATCAATGGTTTCGAACCCATATGTGCCAATTTTCCAATATGATGGCGTGCCATGATGAAGTGCTTAAGTGATTGAGTATAGTGTTTGCTTTGTGATGCGGAGACAAGAGATGACGTTGAAAAATGTATGAAGCAATGCGTGTTATATGACTAAGCGGATCGTGCTGGTCGCTTATTGTAATTAGTTATCGTACAAAGCGAACAGAAGCGATGAAGAAAAACTTCACAAATTGCATGCAAGTCTCCAAACAACGACTGCCATTCTATCCACTATCAACCACTCACGTCCTCATCAATTTGAAATTGACGACCAATTTTCGTATTTCTTCTTTTGTTGTTGGCCTCAAGAACTTCTTATCTACACGGCAGGATAATCATCGTCGTTTACCTCGATCATCCCCACCCATTCTCTTCCGACGCACACATCCATCAATCGTCAAGAATCTCACCCACCCAAAAAAAGGCCCAAGATGTTACCCCGACGATTACCACCCCATCTTCGCCTTCGCTCATCACCATTAACACCCATCCTTTCATCCACAACCAGGAGCGCCGCCATATCTCTCATCACCACCGCATCCCCCTCGCCCACTATCCCCTTAAACTCCCCTGCCCACCAAACCCCACTCAGATACTCCTCATCCTCAACCTCCCAGTGGAAAGCCCGCCAATCCACCGATTTCTACGCCCGCAGCGCGCGCACCGCCGGCCTCAAATCCCGCGCCGCCTTCAAACTCCTCGAAATCAACAAAAAATACCGCCTCTTCCGCCGCAATTCTTCTCAGGTAGTCGTCGACCTCGGTTTCGCTCCCGGCTCCTGGTCGCAGGTGGCGCTCGACCTCACAAAACCGGATGGAAAAGTGGTGGGCATCGATATCATCCCTGCCCAGCCGCCGAGGGGGGTTAGTTCGATTCAGGGGAATTTTTTGAGTGAGGGCGTGAGGGGGTTGGTGAAGGGATGGTTGAGGGAGGAGGAGGGGCGGGGGAGGGGGGAGCAACTAAGACGACAGAGGGAGGCTGAGGCGCTTAGGGAGGCTGAGGAGGTGAGGGAACGGGAGTTGGAGATGGAGGAACGGGGGGAGGTGGAGGTGGAGGAGGAGGTTAAGGATTCGGGCGAAGAAGTTGTGGGTGAAGGTGAAGGTGAGGCTGAGCAGAAGAAGAAGGACGGCAAGATGATGGACGAGGTTGTTGTTGCCGGGATGGAAAACTTGGAGATTAATGAAAAGGGAGAAGGGCAGAAACAGCAACAGCAACAGCAACAGCAACAGCAACAGCAACAGCAACAGCAACAGCAACAGCAACAGCAACAACAGAAGCAAGCAGAGAACCAAGAGATTTTCGCCGATCGACCGAGTTATATCGAGTTGGAGCGCATGGCAGTCCGAGAGGCACAAATGCAGCAGCAGCCTGAGGTTTTGGAGCAAGACCTAGACTCCGAGAATAAAGCGACCACCGCAGCCATCGTCGAAACAGAAAGACAAGCTGGCGAGGAAGAGGGTGCTGAGGAACTTGAAGAGGGACACCAAGAACAACAACAACCAAAGAAGAAAAAGCAACCCGAGCAAATGCGGTTGGTTGATGTGCGTCTTCTCTCTTTCCCTTTCCACCGTCTCCCGTCCCCCGTCCCCCGACCCCCGTCCTCATCACTCATTCATATCCTCACCCAAGAACTCACGAACTTTGGGAACACAAACTAACTACTAAACACTTACCATTACACACAAAAAAACAGGTAGTACTAAGCGACATGTCAGAACCCTGGCCCCAAACCTCCGGCTTCTCCATCAAGACTTTGAGTAACCCGTATAGCAGGATGATGAACACGAGCGGGATTTCGTTCAAGGACCACGCTGGTAGTATGGTATGTTGTTTTGATCGTTTTCATCCCTTTCCTTCATCCCCCATTTCTTCCCCCATTCCCCCCACTACCCCCCCCTTCCCATTAACAAATATCCATCCCTCATCTACCCTCTCCCAAGTCCCATCCCCATCCCCAACCGTTACTCAAACCTCAACCCTCCCTCCACCTTCGAAAAGAAACACTAATTAACACATCCCCTCTCTCTTTCCCCCCCTTCCCCAAAAAAACAGGATCTCTGCTACGCCGCTCTCTCATTCGCAAACGACACGCTCAAACCCGGCGGTCACTTCGTCTGCAAGTTCTACCAAGGGTCGGAGGACAAGAAGTTGGAGGGGATGCTTCGTCAGCTGTTTACCAAGGTGTATAGGGATAAGCCGGATAGTTCTAGGAGTGTAAGTCTCCATTTCCCTCCCCCTTCCCGGTTGCAGTTGTTTGGACAGGACAGGACAGGACAGGACAGGACTGTTCTTGGGTTATTATGGTTGAGAGGTAGCTGACGAGCTTGGACTTGGGTTATAGGAGTCAAAGGAGGCGTATTTTGTTGCGCTGAATAGGAGGGGGGATGTTATTTTGGAGGATATTCCTATTTGATGGATGATGGCGCTCTATTGTTGATCTAAGGCATTGTACGAGTAAAACGACGTTATCGGGAGAATAACTTGGGGGCAAAGACATTCACATCCGCATGTTGAAGACATTGTACATCAGATACCCAAACACATCAACATTCACAGCAATCACAAATATCAAATGGTTCTGGTTAAGACGTGGTGGTCATCAATTTCCTTGTCATGAACTGAAGGAATTTGCCCTATGATGTTTGCACGCCAGCCGCAGCCCGGAGTATTGCCCCATGCAAACCCAAATACGCGCAGCAAAAACAGCCAAGCATAGCCATTCTTGCCAGCAGTACAAGAGAGAGCAGCAAAAGATTCCCCACGCCTTGTACCAGAGGATGTCGCCAGGGGTATCTTTGCTCCGTTTAGACCTTGAAACCCTTGGATCTTCTGCGACCACGAGCCTTCTCGAACTTGCGGCCCTTGGAAGCGACGTAGGGCTTCTGTAATGGGTGTCAGTAATCTGTTTCCTCTTGATATGTGTATGATGCGACGTACCTTGTGCTTGTGGGGACCGAAGCCGAAGTGCTTGACGGCCTCGCGAGCGTTCTTGGGGCCACGGAGAAGGAGGGTGTTGGCACCGGTGGGCTTCTCAAGGGCGAGCTGGTCGAGGGTGATGGCCTGGCCACCGGCAGCCTCGATGCGAGCACGGGCAGTGGCGGTGAAGCGGAGGGCAGCAACCGCGACCTTGGGGACGGTCAGGAGACGGTTGTCATCGGTGACGGTACCGACAACAACGACGGTCTTCTTCTCGTTGCCGTTCTTGAGGTTGGCGGCAATGCGAGAGAGAGAGATGGGGGGACGGTTGATGCGGGACATGAACAACCGGCGGAGCACGACCTTGTTGAAGGCAGAGTCAGTGCGGCCTGGGGGGGAGCGCGGGTTAGTATGCTGTCGTGTGGCCTCAATAATCAGGGACAGGAATCATAAACTTACGGGCAAGGAAGCGGTAAAGCTTGACCAGGAGCTTCAAGTAGACATTGTCGCTCTTGGGGGCCTTGCGGTGAGTGGACCGCTCGTGGTGCTTGCGGAGATCGATACCTATTCGTCGCAAACAGACTCCCAGTCAGCCTTCAATGGTTCAGGTATGCTCAGACTGGCGTGCCATTGCTCGACCAAGTGCGCGGAGTACGTCCGTTGTTGTTCTTTTGCGCCTCGAAGCCTATCCGCATCAGACCGTCGTCCTCTTCATTCCCAGAGAGAGGGCGCGATCTGATTGATTGCGGTATGGCATCTATCGAGGGCGACAACAGGACCATCTCCAACGACCGGGAACGCAGGTGAAAATTGCCATGGTCGCAGATCGAAAAGTTTCTCAGTTTTTCAACGTCGAAAATCTCGTCCACTCGCACACAAAGGCTTCAAAGGAGGCCATTTCGGTGGCAGTTGTGATGGTGTTTTGTTGATTTTACGTACCCATCTTGGCGGCTGACTCTCGATTGTCGACTGAAATCGGGGGTTGTCAAATCCAGAAATCAAGCGGTGCCGCAAAATTCACAGAAAGTTTTTGGTGTCCAACCGCCGGCGGATTTGTGCGGGCGGTCACCAATGGCACAAATTGGGGTTGTGGGCCTGGAGGCGCCAGCTGGTAGAGGACTGGTCTGTGCGTGCAGCCAGAGCATGGCTCGTGCGCCTAGTCTGCCCACCCGTCACTTCCCTGTCACTTTGTTTGTTTTCCCCTTTTGCGGGACGTTCCGTCATTTGTCGTCCCTTCTGTCTGTACCAAGTTCAGCTGTCACCACTGACCAGTCTCAACTCCAGTTATCCACGAACATCGAGGAAAGTCACAACAATTGTTGGAAAGACACTCGGTAGTATTTTTTATCTACTTGTGCTTTACGTAACGAGTGTGCTCTTGTGGCTTTTCTCTATCGCTAACCTTTCCCAAGACGCCCCGCTCTGGCTACTTAACTCCTTCCCCTTGTCAGTGTATCTTCAGCTGAGTATAACACATGCCTGAGTACTTTTGCTGTGCTTTTCCCAATTACTGTTATCCGAGAAGCAAAATGGCCTTTCATGCAATAAAAACGAGCTCCGATGCAAGCAAAACAAGAAGAAAACACAGAAAACACAATTCAACACTCTGCTTTATTTGACTGCTCTTGACAGACACTTGCCCGGTTGAAGCCATGTCTAGTTGTTCGATAAGAACCCGCCGTCATCACTTGATGTATGAGTGCTTCAAGTTCCTTCAACACCATTCCGACCCGTGAACTCACAGGTTGACTTGCGCTGGTTGATTAAAGTGTAGTATGAGTTGGTAAAACGGACTATCACCAATTATGTGCGAATGGAAGGCAGAAGTCGATGCGTGATGAAACGTAGGGCTCTATGTGTTGCCCCTCTATTATTGACTTCTAACGTCTTTTGTTATTTCCGTAGCTGGCGCTCGGTGGTCGAAGACCTTCGTCGGATTTGTCGGGTTGAATTCAAGCTCATGGCGATTATTGCAAGAGCTTGGTCTCCTCGGGCTTCAGGCCCACGAGGAAATCACGGCACACCTCGTAACTCAGCCAGCTCGATGCCATGCTAGGAGCCACCTTGAGCAAGTTGGGTACTATCCCCTTGTACAAGCCGCGCACGCCTTCCTCTGTGACGATGACGCGCACGGCGTCGAAGATACCCTTGTACTGGTAGCCCATACCAGACATGGTGTTGATCTGGAAGCGACGGCGCAACACATCACTATTCTTGGTCAGTCGCATGCATAAACCTCATAGAAAATCTGGACTTACAAAGGATAGGTGCAGGTCTGGGCCACCGCACCGGAAATCGCACCAGCGAGCAGCTTCCTGACGGCACTAGGGTTCTGCTCGCCGTCCAAGGTAAGGTATTGGCGCACGTGCTCGTAGACCATGAAGTTCAGGCCGACCTATTGCCCTCAGTCAGCATATACGGATTGCCTTGACACATGCCAAGTTGAACTTACGTAAGGAGCAACACCGGCGACAGTGGGAACGATTCCTCGATAGAGTGCCGGGAATCCGCCCTCGGTCCTGTACATCTTGACCAGAGTTTCCCACATGCCGGGCATTTTGCGTGACCTTTCACCGAGCTCCGCGAAGGAAGCAGTCTGGATGGACAATCTTGTCCTGACGATGTCGAGCGGGTAGGTGAAGGTAACAGAGGTGATGCCGGCAAGACCACCGCATGTCAGCCTGGACAGAGGTGTGAGAGAGTCGCCGGGATGCCTCTCAAAGATGTTCCTCTTGTAAAAGTTGTAGCTGCCAAACTGCACCGCCGAGTATGGCACGATACGGATGCAATTGGTACCGTTACCGGCCATGAAGCCCCTCCAGCCTTCCTCCCTCCACATCTTGGCCAGCGCCTTGCCCACACTAAGCTTGTACGCTTCGCGACCGTTGCTTTGGATCTGGTAGAGGATTTTTAGGCGCTCCAGAGGTGAGACTACCGTTCGGGATACGGCTCCGGCGACACCGCCGGCGCAAAAGGCAGCCACGGTAGGCTGAGAAACTGCGGATCGGAACTGGTCGGCGGCGCTCATTTTCTCGACAGTTGGTATGGGTAGAGGCGAGGGTGCGCCGCTAGCGCTTGGCGTCTGAAGGAGGAGAAGTCAGCAAAAGGTAAAAAGACAGTGACATGCAAGCAAGCGCCAACGTTCGCGGTCTCGGCTTGTAACGGGAAAACAATAGTAGAAGCACACTAAGCCGTGGCGCAAAGGTTATGGACCATGCGGCGTGTACAGATGGCCGAGAAGGGGGTGAACATACCGCGGACATTCTGAGGACTTTGTGAGAGGGGCTACCTCTTGGACTCGGGTTGGTGAGAAGTTATCGCGAAGTTCGATATGTCGCTGCTCAGGGGCGCAGGGCGCATGCGCAAGGTGGATGTGTCCTTTGGATGATCGCAAATATGGCGCCAAGAACAATGACGCAGGGTTTGTTGACTCGCGGTTATATAGCTGACTCGCGGTTATATAGCTGAAGGTGCAGCTCCCGTCGGTGAAAGGGTATCTCGTTGCAAAAGGTATTGCTATACCGCTGGTAGAAAGGTGAGTCGTCTTGGTGAGAGGTTCTCGTCGTGGTGATGGGAGAGTGAAAAATCGCAGGACGGAAGTTTTGTTCGGCTTTTGCTGGATCGGACTGGGGGGGTTGAGCGTTGTTCTCGGTAAAGCCAATCTAGGGGTTCCCGTCGCACCGGGATTATCTTATGTCGGATGGAAGGCTAGTAGACAGTGTGTGTAAAAGAATTAAAAGATGCGCGTTAAGTTCTTCGTTAATATACGGTAAGAGGCGCAACCTAACCAAGTTCTGTGACACAAGAAGAAGACTGGACGCAGGCAAAAAGGAAGGGAAGCTTCAGAAGGGAAAGGGTATAAAAAGGAGAGTCGGGAAGTTGTCAACAAGAAAAGGATCGGTCGGGTTCCGGGCCCAGTGACGGGAGCGAGAGATGCGGAGCTTTTCCTTTGGACTGCTCCTTCTGGAAGAAGTGAATGAATGAAATCCAGGGCGGGACCGAGTGAACGGCTTGTGGGGTTCCGTTGGGTGGATTTTCGATCCCGAATGACGAAAATTCCCAGCAATGCAACTGGAAAGCCATTGGAGCCGACAGCCGCGAGACCTATGCCTGCCAAGCCCTGCCAGCAGCGTGAGCAGGCACAAAGTCATTCCTTCCCGTCCCGTTCCAGCAGTGAATGGTTGCCCTGTCGTCGTCCTGTTATGCCTGTCATCTTGTCTTGCTGCCAATGTCTGAGCGTGGGTTTGAAGTTCTCGAACTTCAATGCTTTGTTTGACTTGTGATTTGCTGGCCAGCTGGCGCATTGTTTCTTCGATTTCATGTTTCCATCTGTCCACCCCTTTCCACAAACTCCAAATGAGAACAACAACCTTGACCCATCCAGACAGATCCAGCTGATCTCACAAAACCCCTTGGCTTGACCGTTTTTGAGGTCACCTGACCGCCCTTGACTAAGTCACTAAGGGTCCAGTGCTACGACAAAGGGAGACACTACGCCAAAATAGGACAAAATCGAGGATCACCCGTTCGGTTATGCCTTCTAGCCCTACGTTTGCTACGCTAGCTGGCTAGCAAACCTTACCGTTGCTCACCTACCCTTGACAACCTTCACCTTGACAACGTGTTGGGATATGTCCAAAGTGAGTGACTGGACAAGAACGAGCTGACAACGTACCTACGCCTCACTCACTACTTAGCACTTCAATGATACGCCGATACGGTATCTAGCAGACCACAAACGGGCAGCAGCAGTATGAGTTTGTTGTACCTGAGCAAGCACGACATACAACTCACGCACCTCCCAGAGAGCTCATGTGATGTAACCGCAGTGTAGATCAGACATAAGAGATAGGGAAAACGGCATGGCCTGCCTTGCATAGTATCTTTTTAACTTCGTTTTTATAGACCTCGAGGCTATCATGTAACTGGCACAACGGGGTTAGGTTGGTGTTCTCTTGATGAAAATAAGGATGCGTATATGAAGTTCACAAACAACTCTGGCAATGATATGATCAACATCCATCAAGGGGGTAGATATGTTTCTGTACTTGTCTCGCTTGTCTGACTTTGCCAGTACCTTGCCTAGGACTGGGATCACGACTGCGGCGATCCGGATAATCCGACTGTGTTCGATTCCAATCCGACTGTGCGGGCGCCATACAAAGTCGGAGGTCAGCCATGCCAAGACCACCGGAACTCCCAAGCTTGGCATCGACTTCGCGCGCGCGCAATCACCACCAAATGCAATCACCAAATGCTCTTCAAACTATCGACCACAACGGTGCCAAATCATCTTCTTTTCAAACACGGATTTCTCATTCACACGCGGGGGCCTCTCACCGGCCCCCTGCACCCGGAACTAATCCTAACACCTAACCCTAACCGCTAACCTTAATACTAATCTTAGGGTCAAAAGTAGGGTAACTTACATACCTTAGCCCCGCACAGTCGGATTGGAATCGAACACAGTCGGATTATCCGCCTCGCGACTGCAGATGCCAATGTTCCCAATTCGCCAACCAGCCAATCTCCTTTGCAGCTTTTACTCGGCTTCCAACGGAGATGCAAGATATCACGATTCAGATCCAGATCCAGATCGGGAATTCTTTAGCTCGGGCCATTTAGTACTGATAGGTACGGGGTAACGACTGCCCGAACCATTCTTCCCTAACGGTGGGAATACATGGCATCTTCTTAACTTAGTTGAGTTCTGCATGGTAGAAGTGCCTTTGGTTTTCCAAACACGTAAGCCGATATGTGATATGTGTCTCTTGGGGAAATGTCACGATACATGCTGGATCATCTAGACTGTGGATGAGTAAACCAGTTTGACTCTAGATACACAAGAACACCTAGTATCACAACGGCCACCGGAGTAAAAGAGTCCGAGTACTGTACATCCCCAACTGTGAAAAAAAAGACAAAAAGCAAGACCTGATCACCCGTCATACAGTTCGCTCATCCGCCTCTTCACATAAGTCTGCCCGTGGAACCCGATTCACCTCAGTAGCCCCTACCATTTACTACCTAAACAGCTGCTCTAGCTACTTTTCTGTTGAGAGATAAAAAAAAAGACGAAAACAACTAAGGAAATAAAAACAACTAGGCCACCGGTGACCAAGACCAAGAGCCCCTTTCTGCCCGCCCCTTGAGGGATCACCCGATATATTTGTTTTGTGTTCCCCCCTTTCCGGACTTGCCAAGACATGAAGTAAAGCCTTGGAAGTCATGACCTTTATATCGGCCAACAACAGCCGTTTGTTACGTCTTTTGACAGGTCATGGACCATGGATCCATACCAGCAGTGTGCCATCGTATAAAAGGGTCGTCCTTCCGGATTTTATGGAACCCGAACGGTCGAAATGGCGAGTGTGGTTTTCAATAGGACCCGATCGACCGCTTCGTCTCGATTCTAGAGTTGAGAAAACGGGCAGGAGGCGTCATATAACCAGCACGCCAAATGCAGCTGCCCAGGAAAGAGGGCCCGACATCAGCATGCCCACCACACACAGAAACAAAGGAAATCACGAAACCACGGTAACAGTTGGCGTTTCTTACAACATGCCAACACAGCAGGCGGGGCTTGGGTGACTGGCGCCCAAACCGGAGGGACCCCGCGCCGCGAGTGGGGTGATCTGTTTACTCGGCAACATCGAGGTCGTCGTGGGCAGGCCTTTCGGGGCTATCGATGGCTGCAGAGGGATAGGTCGTCAGATCATGGTCGTGCACGGGGGTTGCTCGCTCAAAGGGTGTACGTACCCTTTCTGTCGTCACCGTTGGTGCCGTTCTCGCGACGATCACGGTCCTCGCGGTCGCGGTCGTCCTTAACATCGCGCTCACGCTCACTAGAGGAATGTCAGCATCGGGCACAAAACTTGATGCAAGAGGTCAAGGGCCACCTACCGCTCAGGGCTGCGAGAGCGGTCACGAGTATCGCGGCGATCACGGTCGTAGTCACGGTCGCGGTCGCGGTCACGACGATCATCCTTCCTAGGGGAGTAATCTCTGGTGCTGCGCCTGGGGCTAGGAGAGCGGCGACGGGGGGAGCGGTCGCGGCCACGAGGACCACGCTCACGATCGCTGCGGTCAAAGCGCCAAGAAGCGGAGGGAGGAGTGCGAGCCCACTATAGTTGGAATTAGCAATCAGCCTATCATGAGCTTGGGTCTGTCGTGGCAGGAAAAGGTGAACTGACCTCGATCTTCAGAATGTCATCGCGGCCAATGCGCTTGTTGTGCATATCATGGTACGCGTCATCGGCATCCCGACGGTCCTCGTACTCAACGAAAGCGAAACTTTGAAGCTTGCCGTTAGCTCCAACTCGGTTCCATCACTGGGGAGGGATAAGTAATGGTAACATACAGTCTGCTGCTGGCACTGCGGGGAGCAGGAATATCGCAGCGCACAAGACGACCGTAGCTATGATATTCGTCAGTACTCGGGACCAACGTAGAATGATTCGTTCCGTAGAGATGGTGATGCCGTTTCGCAGAGGCGCGCGATCGAGCTCGAGAGGTTCCGCCAAAATCGACGGGCGACTCGCCCGACGTGGGGGGAATGGTACGTGTAGGCGCCGACCGCTCGGTGAGAGAAGGGGATGGTTCGAGGGCGTGGGCGTCGAAATGACAACGAGGTTACCTCGAGCGGATCATGATGCGCAGTGGACATAGCGAAGAGCGGCGGGAGAGACGGACAGGAGATAGGAGACTGTCGCAAGAAGGGCGAAGACGAAGACGGAGAGGGTTCGGAGGGGGGTTCGACGACGGGGGCGGGAGAGATGGAGGAGAGGACGGGGCGGGATGGGGAGGGCGAGGGCGGATCTCGGACAGGAACCGTACTCGAAGGTGGTGATCGAGTCATCGCCGTTGTAGTGATTGCTTTCTAGATAACGTACCGCTCGAACTCGTAGGCTAGGTCGCGTGCGCGGGTGCCGTGGCTGAACCCGGTCACGTAGAGAGTGGTGCCGTTGCGAGACATGGTGAGAATCGATTGCCGTGCGCGATTCGCGGTCGCGGTCGATGATGACAGATGGCAGGCCTAAGAGAGTAAATGCTAGATGAGTGTGTTTGTCCGAGAGTCCGACGCGCGGATATAAGGCAAGGTAGAGTTGCAAATGGAAAAAGGCGACGAATGGATAAGCAGCAATGGAAGTGGGATGGGGGGAAGGAGGTGGTGGTGGAAAGAGGAGACGGGACACACCGTTGGGGAGGTGAAGGGGAGAACTGATTTAGGTGAGAAGGGAAGCGAAGCAGCGGGAAGCGGAAGTGGAAGGGGAACCTCGAACCTGAAAATGGAGTTGGAAATTTGGATGTCGCTGGAGCACAGTGGAAAATCCGCTGAAAACGCCTTCACTCGTCGCCCGGGAACGGCAGGCTTCGAGGCAGGGAACCCGGACGCAGAAGGCGGTAAGGCGATGGACCCACCTCGAAATGACGTATGATTGGTGTATCGCCCGTGTGATTGGCAGCCGTGTCGCTACAGTACTGTAGTGTACGCACCAACAGCCTTGACACTAACAATTTCCTCAGGGCGGCAGGGTCCAATATTTCCACATGCCTTCCCGTCTCCCGTCTCGGCTCCCGTCTCTCCCTTTTGTTGATCTTCAATCCCCCAGTCACCAGTCAACAACACCAACGCCAACAAGGTCACAACCACAGTACAAACATCTTCAACACGAACATAGGATTAGAACTTTCGAATGGCGTTGTATTCCTTCAGAACCAGATATCCAAGCTATCCAAATGCATATGTCAACTATGCCACGCCTCCCTTTATCAAACGCCGACGTCGTCAGATATTCCCCAAGCTAGAGTTACAGAATCAAATACAAGCTGCAAAGGATACTCGGGCCCGTAAAGATGCCCAGCCAAAAGAAAACATTCCCCAATGTCTTCCTGTTCCGCATCCACTTTGTCCTGCTCATACTCACAAGCTGTCCAGAACCGTTAGCATGCTGTCAGTCAACGCATGTAGGGATATAGAAACTTACCGGCAACTGGAACATCTGCAAAAAGAGCAAATAGCCTCTCAGTTTCTTAAAGATGCACCACATGACTAGCTCATGGACACATGCCGACAAGAAGAAAGTGATGAGCGTGGCCGTGTGCTTGTCGACCTTCATGGCCGAGATGGAGCTGTGGTACACATGTCTCAACAAGAAGTTATGCACCGGTCGGTTCCAATCCCTCGCGAACTGATCCCACGACACGCAGTTCCACCAGGCATCATAGAAGCTTCGGTCGGCGAACTTGGTCAGCTCCGCCACAAAGTTGAGGATCGTCTCCCAGATGAGATACCACGACAGCAGATACTCCATCATGAAGGGGAAGATCAAGTCGGCCAACATCCAGGGGAAGTATCGGAACCGCTCGTTCAACGGCATCCCCATCTCTTTCATCCTGACCGTCTCCATGACCACGGGGTAGATGAAAGCCTGCGAGATCATGATCATGACGAAAATGACTCCGAAACAGGCCACCATCTTCTCGGCAGCATAGTACCAGTTGATGGACTCGGACCGCGGATACTCGAGCTCGTACACCAGCGTCGGCAGCACGATGAACTCGTAATGGTTGGCCAGCGTAAGGTTATTCGGATACACCCTCTTGTCGTCCGTCGCCTTGCCTCTCAGCTCATCCGTCATGGCGTCCACTTCCCATTTCAGCGCCCTCTCAAAAACATGGACCTGCTCCTCATTCAACGGCTCGCGCGAGTCAATCGCCGCGACAATCTTGTCCATATCATCTTCTTCCTGAGTATCAGCCCCTTGCTGCGCAGCAATCGACATCCTTCTCCTCTCCTTATACTCCTGCGCCGACGGCACTCTCGACAGATGCTCTGTCGACAAGTCTCTCGGCAGCAGCGGGAACGGCTCCGTCCAGCTCCTGTCCGGATCATGCTTGGCAACCACCTCCACATGCTCAAGCTCCTTCAGCTTTCCCAGCAACAGCTGCCGCTTCTTCCACACCGACGCCAGATACCCGTTATAAAACGCGTAACTATGCATCTTCATCAACATGACCATACCATGCATCACGAAAAAAACGGTATGCGTCCACGGCCAGTCCCTCACCAGGGGGAAACCCACAACACCAGCCACGAACAAACACTGCCAGATATTCTGCAACACCCACCCCTCTTTATCCCAATCGACCACGCCCCGACGAACAAGACGCTGCAGAATCCAAGAAAAGCCAGTGGAGAAACACATGACCCCGTCGGCGATGAGCAAGACCACCAAGTCCCGGTGGAACATGATTTTCAGGATTTCGTTCCGACCCAGTGGGTTGCCGTGCTGCCGCCAGTTCTCGGCGCCGATCTTGATGACGAAGAGCGAGATGCCGAGCCAGAAGAGGGTGAAGAAGCCGTGGAAGGGCGAGGAGGCTGCCAGGGCGTTTTGGCGGTCGAAGGTGGAGAAGTTGCGGGTGAAGACTAGGTCGGAGAATTTGCCTCTTCTTTTTGTTCGTTTGGTGTGGGCGTGGTGGTGGTCGGTTGATTCCGTTGCTGATGCTGATAAGTGATGTATGGACGTGGTGGGAGAAGAAGAAGACTCGGAGGAGGACATCCCTTCTATCCGCTGGCATTGCTTTTCAATAGCTGTCAAAAGCGAGTTGTGGATGTCTGTCGTTGAGGGGGTGGTGGTTCCGACGTGGATGGTTGGTCGTACTGGTATTGGTACTGGTTTTAACGCTTTCCCGTTGCCGCTTTCCTTCCCCCTCCCCTCTGCTGCTGAGACAGCAGCGTCCTCGTCACTACCAGACAACGGTTGCATAGTATCCATCGTCACGGTAAGCGAAAACGCCGTCGCCGGTTCCCCCGCCGCGGTTGATGAACTTCTCTCATCCACATCTCCGTTCTCATCCCGCTGAACCATTGCGTCGGGAGAAATGGTAAGGTCGTCGTAGTCTTCGATTGCTGGACTTTTTGTTCCGGACGATGATGATGATGATGATGATGATGATGATGATGATCTTGAACCAAGATCATTCCTTGTTGCTGCTGCTGCTTTCTCATTTGGCGGTCCGGTCCGGCTGCTGGCGCTGCTGTCTAATGGAGAAATTCCTCCGTCACCATCACTCTCCTCTTCTTGAGATAAATGTGGACTCTGATCAGGCGTTGGCAAAAAGAAGAAGGGCCGCTCGACAAGCATGTTTTTGGGTTTGCCGTTGGTGGTAAAGATGTTGTTTGATGTTGGTGATGAAGCTGATGATGATGATGGCTTGATAGATGGGCGTTTTGTTCGCGCTTTGAGGTGCCCGATTGGCGTTGGCACTGCTGGTACTGGCGCCGGGTAGCTGCTGGATGTGAATTCCATGGTTTCCATGGGTTTTGGGGAACTGGCGTTGGGTTGGTGGTGGGTTGTTCCAGAGTTATGGCCTCTTGTCGTCAGTCGCTTTCGTGACTTTTCGAGGACCAGATATGATCAAGTTGATTTCGAAGTATCGGTGAAAGATTTCCTCCTTCAGAAGAGAGGTCCGGATATAGAGAAAGTTCAAAAAGAACAATATGGTCCCCTTTGAATTGTGGATCCCCAGCGGATCGAAGTCGCACGGATAGCCGCGTGATATCGAAACGTTTCTTGCAGGGCAATCCTAATCTCGGTGATGGCAGCAATACTGTACCTCGAAAGGTGGTGTGGATATGCCGGTCGTTGTCGGTTGGTATACCATTAAGGTCGGTGTGATGTATCATTGGACCTTGAAGGGACAGTAAGAAAGAATAAAAGGCCAGGGTACTGTATCCAAAAGACTCTTATAAGAGAGATGAAGAGAGCGATCCTTCGTTCGGGAAAGACGTCAATCACATTCAAGAGAAACAAGATTTGCCCAATTAGAAAACCACAAGTGCCCAGTTCCGTCCAACTCCGGATCAAGCGGATCCTTTCTTTACACAAGCGGGCGGGCGGGACGAACGGGATGGGATCGACGGACTTTTTGTCAAAGAAGAGATGAACGGGTTATGGTATAGTACTGTATGTAAGTGATACTGCATTTGCTTGTGACTTTTGACTATTTGCGGCGCGGTGCGGCGGCGCGGAGACGGCGACGGCAAAGATGCGGAGCAGATCTCCTGATTCAATGAAAAGTCTAGATCCAAAGCTCCGTTCTCGCTTTCTCAGGGCCGAGTTGCGAAATGCCGTCCGTCCACCCCTCCTTCTCCCGGATTGGTCCCTCCCGTACGGTGTTATTTAACCAAAACGGAACAAAGGGAAGACAACAAGACGCTCGACAAGTTTCCTTCTGAATGGCTGAGTGGTGATGTATGTTCAAAATTCCTTTGAACAAAGCAACTATTCCTTACAAACATACCAGTTTGAACCCTTCAAACATACTAACATTGGGAACTTTCAAGAATCCACAAAACCCAACGCCATGACGCCGTCAATGATTCAGGCAAAGGTCCCGCTCGTTCGGTGCATGGAAGCTCGCGAATGGGGTCTGTGGAGTACCAGGGGGAGAGGGAAGTGGAGGAAATGACATATGCAGGGCCTGGCCTGGGAAAGTCGGATGAACCGGAGATATATCTCCAAGTTCAATAGGGCTGAAGTTGCCACCGCGCCTCAACTTAGTCGGGCTTTATTGGCTTGGGATTTGCAGGTTGTGTAACCAAACAGCTGACGGTTCGGAGTTGTATGGCGGCAGTTGGACTTCTTTGGGATGTGCAGTATCGCGAATTTAGTAGGTACCTGAAGACGAATGTGCATTCAATGTCATACGGCTTGCAGTGGTGAGGTGTTGGCTTCAAGAGGAAAATAAACATTCGTAAAGGCCATTCGCCAGTTCAACTTTTTAGTCCATCGCCCTGTCAAGGGTGTATCTTTATATTCATCCCCCGTTATCTCAGGTAAAACCAGTTCATCATTCCCCGTTATGTTATTTACTGCATCTTCTCATAAGTAGCCATCAACGAACCTAGCCCATGTGTTAGTCCGGTCGCGCAAATTGAAGCCTAATAGTCAAAGGAGTAACTTACCGATAAAGGTCGTGACCAAGCGGCTGCGCACCTGGCAGATATCCTCTGGCACCAGCCAGATAGTGGCGCCCATCTTTCTGGCAATGCTGATACTGAGCTTGGCGTTGAGGTAAGCATCATCATCAGTCTTGCCGGGAGTAACCAAGTCGTAATCGACATAGTTGCTCTTCATGCCATTAAGCACATCCAACAGGAAGATACCCGAGCCAATGGCAGGGTCCTTGAACGAGCGGATGCTCGAGTTGCGGCCGCCCTTGCGGCTCATCTCGTTAGCCCATCTGACCATCTCCGCATCCGTGATCTCACGCTTGCCGAGGCGCTGAGCCAGACCGTGCAGGGTAAGGGTGATGTCCTTGCGCATCAGCTGCCAGACGAGACCCAGTGTCAAGGTGCGCTGACCATCAGTGATATCGGCACCCTGGATACCGACCAGGGAGAAGCCGTTCTGCTTACCCAGCTCGATCGCATAGTTGGTGTTCTCGACGGCCTTGAAGCGCAGCATCTCACCGCCATGCGCGGGAGCCTTGTTGACGTGGCGCCAGTTGACGGATCCCTTAATAACCTTGTCATATGCTTGTAGGAGAACGCTACCGTCGCGGAGATCGTCGAAGAAGGACTGAACGGCGGGGTTGACGTCCAAGCTGTTGAGCCACAGGGTGAACACACGGGCCTCGCGCTCGCCTTCAGCATCAAAGTCCTCAACCTCGAGCTTCTCCTCCTCAGTAATAGGGTCGAGGGCAGGATGTGTGTTGAAGAGGTTGGCAACGAAAGCGAGGTTGAGCTTGGGGTTACCGGCAACGAGCGAAGAGGGAGAAAGGAACTTGCGGCAACCGAGCTTGTCGGCGTTCTGGAGAACCTCCTCAGCCCGCTGATGGAGGTCGCGCGTCTGCAGAGGCGCCCGCGTGCAGCCGTACTCGGAACCGATCTGAGCGAGAAGGACGGTGTAGTTCTCGGCATCCTTGACGTCGGACGAGAAGTTGGCTACCCTCCTGGGCCAGCCGGCGGCCTTGAGGTGGTAGTTGAACCAGCGGAGGAGAATCTGCTCAGGAGGGAGTCTGAGGAACTGCTCGAGGGTCTCGTCCTCCTCGAGAAGGCGGTAGAGCTCGGGGTGGAGCTTGATATCGATCTTGCTGAGCAAGCCCCTGCGGATAATCTGCCACATAAGGCCCAGGATAAGATGCTCCTTGACCTCAATGATATCAGAGCTACCAATGTTGACGACCGAGCAACCAATACCCTTTGCCGACTCAATAACAATGTTGTTGTTTTCTGTCATCTGGAACGCATTGAGGTTCTTGGTCTTCTTGCCGGGCATGTTTAGTACACGCTCATCGATGGTGTCGGGAACGCTGTCGTTGATGAGCTTGGCCAAGACCAAACCATCCTTGCACTCGTCGAACATCTCGAAAGTGTCGGTCGGGAAGGGCAGGCGGTTGCCGATGTCGCGGTCGCCCGCAAGGACGGCGTTGATGTGGCGCGTGAATTCGGTACGTTCATCTTCGTTGATGGTGTGGGTGATGTTAGCGTTCGAGCCTTGGACGAAGATCTTGCCGGCGCCACCGATAGATGGCTTCGAGGCGTGACTAGGAGTAGCGCCTCCCGTCCGCTGGGCGATGACAGAAGCGGGGGTCGAGGGAGCAGCGGCGGCGCTGCCGGGACCTTCGCGGAGCTTGGCGACGAGCTAGAGAGTCGAGTTTGTCAGCCAAATCTTCGATGAGCGGTATTATATTGAATGCGACCTGGGTGGCCTTCAACATGTGGTGGTGATGCGACCCCTCTCGACTGTTGCGGGGGAGCTTGGAGGAAGGCTTCGGCTTACCCCAACGTAATCTTCGAGTTCTACACGGCGCGAGGCGTCAAGACCGACGTCTTTGAGGGCTGCGCGGACGGCATCGTAGGGCTGGCGCTCGCTGGCCTGGGTGGCCTTGATGGCGGTGGTCTCGTCAATGTACCCCTTATCGTCTACGTCGAGCTTGCGGAAGGCATCGGCCAACCCGAAGATGTCGCTCTGTTGTAGTTGAGGGAATTTCCTAGTTCCATTAGCTATATTCTGCTATTGCGCACGTCGTCTGTAGCTTTTGGAGGCTCGCCATGTTCTTACTTCTGGATCTTGAGGACATTCATGATTGCGGATGGTGATGTCAAAAAGGGGTCGGTCGGGAATCACTCCTCTTGGTGATAAATGGCGTGATATCCGGCGGGAACCGTGGTAAGAGAGAAACCCTCTATTAACAAAAGTAATGAAGACGCCCAATGCGGTCGTCAGTATTAGATTATTTTCCTAATCGGTGTAGTGTAGGCGGTGCTGGTGATGACGGGATGGTCTGGCGGAAAAGGGGAGTGGATGTTATTTGTATGAATGCCTGGGCCAGCCGGAGTTCTTGCTGTTAACCATCAATGAAGTGCCTTGTTCCTCCTCCCGTTCCATGCGTCGTCGGCCGAAGAAGCGAAGCTCAAAAGAGCATGGCCGCTACAGGCGTCAAGGAACGGCTGGCGGGGGCGGGGACGCCATCGCAATTGAGACAAGCACTAACAGCAGGTCCCAGAAGCAGCCTGATGTAATCGCCCAGCTTTTGCCCAGAAAGGGAGCTGCGTAACGCCCTCGCGGCCCAATCAGCCATGCTTCAGGCAGCCAGCCCAGCGATAACCCTGGCGACTTTTTCCACTTGCATGGGAACCCTGAAACCACCGCCAGGCTTCCGTTTGGGTTGGGAGTTCTGTTAAGCCTGAACTTGTGCGGGACTCACAATGATACCTCGGCTCCACGTATGCATGGGTGGATCACTGCGACCCGACCCCTGAGCGCCAGGACCCTGTACCTCACTAACAGTCCGTAGAGAATTTTACTTCCCTTTTCTTCCATTCGCATCCTCGGGATAACCTCACGTCTGTCTAAGCCACAACAACCCGAAACCTTTTCAGCAAATCACTGGGGTTTTACGACAACTTGAAACCCGGGATTACGACGCCTCTAAACGCGCGTTGCTTCAACAAGTGATAATCACAAAGTCACTATCTCACTTCTTTCCCAAGGTAAGTCACCATATCTCATCCCATACTCACTGTGCCTCATCAGTGATCACTCACTAACGCCCTACCAGATATCATTAAACCCACACCCACCACCAAAATGTCCGTCTGCAAAGCCTGCGAGGAACCTCTCTACCTCGAAGTCGGCCCCGACTACGACCTAGACCAGGACTCCGACGACGACGACAACATGGATAACGGCGGCCCCTCCTCCTCCTCTCACCCATCAGGCCAACCAAGCCAACCCCAACAAATCCCCGACGACCTCGTCCTCCCCTGCAACTGCCACTACCACTGGCAATGCCTAATGGACCTCTCCTCTTCCGTGGCCCTCTCCCTCCGCTGTCCCTCTTGCAACACCTACCTCCCTACCAACTCCTCTTCTTCTTCATCTAACCAACCTTCGGTGCCCATAAGCGCAACAAACCCCATCCTCCCCACCTCCTCCGGCCTCGCAATCCTCACCCAATACCACAACGAAGGCGGGCTTCAGTCCTCCCTCGACATCTTACCTGCCCTAACCGAAGAAGCCTACCTCTCCTCTAACCCGTCGGCCAGGCCGGCGAGGGCGATGCACACCATGGCCTCTGAAGGCGATTTCGCGGGGATCATCGAGCTGTTGACGGACGTTGCCGCTTCAGAAGATGAGGAAACCACCATCACACCAAGCGAACTCCTCACCTTCCGCGACCCGCTGAACGAGGGGAAGACGGCGTTGCATTTGGCCGTGGAGAATGGAAGAGAGGAGGTGTTTTGGTTGTTGCTTTGGTTGGGCAGTGGACTGCCGACCGAGGTGTTCCCGGCTGAGGTGGTGCAGGTTGCTAATGGGGTTGGGGTGGGGGAGAGGAGGGCGGAGGTGGGTGCGGAGGAGGATGTGAGGTGGGTGAGGGATGAGAGGGGACGGAGTGTGAAGGAGGTTTGTGGAGAGGTTGGGGGGCGGTGGGCGGAGATGGCGGTGGGGGGTTTGTTTGATTAGGGTGTGTAAGGGAAAAGGGATCTGGGGGGGATAATGGGTTGTAGTGTGGATGGGTTGGGAGGGAGGAGTTGTAATGTTGTCTAAAAGGGGTCAGGGTGGTCTAGATAAAAGTTGAGGTGATGAGAAAATAGAGGCTAAAGAAATAAGGGAAAGCCTCGGTCATGAGTCAATGAAATCAATACACGGTATCACAACCCTTCCGGTTCTCTTTTGATATGACATGAATCATGAATTGCTTCCGTAAACCGCCTACCTTGTTGATGTATGTGTATGCCCTACAGAAAAGAATCCTGAACTATGCACGTAATCGTACTCTTACTCGTCATGCCATACCATGCCTGGCGATGCCATCGACTAACTGAACTCCATAAACACCGAGTCCTAGACCGCCAGCTAGACGCCAGAAAAATGCTTCCATCCCAGATGCCATATGCACACTATATAGCCAAACAAACCATGAGCCCATAACAACCACCCATCCCTTCGCATCAAAGCAACAACGACCGGCTGGTCCTAAACCATCCAGATCAATGCAAGAAGCTAGCATTAACACCCCTACGATCCTTCTTGAGCGGGCTAAACTTATCCACCTTCCCAAAAGGATTCTTACTCCCTCCAGCAATATGCACTTTACCCACCATGGTCTTTCCACCGGGCGCCACCACCCTCTTCGCCATCGCCTTCCCCGTGACTGCGGCCACCGCTTTGCCTTTCCCGGGAAGGATACTGGTGTCGACTCGCTCGCCCTCATCGTCGTTATCGAAGAGCGTGGTCTTGCTGGTGTTACCGAGCAGTTTGCGCTTCTTCTTCTTTTGAAGCGGTGCCGCTTGTTGAGAGGCGATGGGCTGCTGCTGCTCGGACTCGGATGTGGGTGCTGATGAGGGCTTGGTTTTGGGCTTGAGTTCGGGTTTCTTGGGGGCCGGTTTGCTGGTTTCTGGCTGGGGCTCGGTCCAAGATTCGCCGTTTTCTTCTGTTGACTTTTCTGACACAGCTTCCGCAGCGCGTGGTACTTTGTTGATCTTCAGTTTCGATACCTTGATCGGACCCTTCTTTGACGCTACCGAGGCTGCGAGCGGTTTTAGGGCCTTGACCTTGCCACGGCCCTTCTTCGCCTTCTCCTCCGGTTTGCTGCTGCTCTCCTCCCCTGCCTCATTTTCTGGCGCACTGCCGCCGGCTTTTTCTATCTGCTCGGTAACCTTTGCCTCGGTTGGTGTATTTCCTGTTGGGCGAAGATGTGCTAAGACGGAGTCATCACCAAGTTCCATGAGGGAATCCTCCGCTGGCGCGGGCGTAGGCTTAGGCGCAGCTTCAGTCTCAGCCGCGCCCTCAGCCACCGCCGGTGCATCCTCGTTGGTCGTTCCGTCTGGGTTCAGCGTCTTGTTGAGGAAAGGCGTGATGGAAAATGTGGACTTTTGGACCATGTCCGATGGGTCGAATCCCCTCTTCTTAAGAGGACGCTTCGGTCTGTCGGCTGCGCCCGGTGTACCAAGGGCCGTTTCCTCCAGCAACGCCTCATCCGCACGTCTCTTCTTGCCCGCAACCTTCGCCGCCGCCTTCTTAGTCGGTATCGTGGTTGTCGTTACCAGCGCCGCCTTTGCTGCCTTCTCTCGGGCCTTTTCCAGATCGGCTTTGCACTTTTTGAGTTCCTCCTTGGCCTCATGAAGTTTGGTCCTGAACTTATCCAGCTTTTCGTCCGTTGCTGCTTGTCGTACTTCGGCCTCGGCGATCGCTTGCTGACTCTCTTTTCGTAACCTCTCCTTATCCTTCTTTTCCTCCGCCAGAGCCTGCTTCAACTCGTCGAATTGTTCCTGTAATGCCGCGAGTTCGTCCTCCGATACGGATTCCTTGGTCTCCTGGTTTTTCGCTTTGCGTTGAGCTGCCCGCTTTTCAGCTGCTAATGCTTTTTCTGTCTCGGCAAGCTTCTCTCTGAGCTGTTCGACCTCTTCCTCCATCTCCGTAGACTTTTCCACTTGAGCCTTCGTCGCCTGTTCCATCTTGGACTTTTCCGAAGCAAACTTCTTTTCCGCCGTCGCTAGTTGTTCTCGAAGGGCCTTGACTTGTTGTTGGGAATCGCCACCCTTTTGTGCTGCCTTTCTCTCCTTGTTGAGTTCCTTTTCGAGTTCGCGGACCTGTTTTCGGAGTTCCTCTTCTTCCTTGGTATATCGCTCCTGCTTTTGAGCGGCCTTTTCCGCAGCGCGCTTCTCATTGGCGAGCTCGACTTCCAGCGTGTTTAGTTGGCGTTCTAGTGCCAACTTTTCGGCGAGGACATCTTTTTGGTGGGACAATTGGGATTTGAGGTGCTCGATTTCGGGCTTGAGGACGGCGACTTCGCGTGTTAGGGCAAGTTTCTCGGATAGGATCTTTGCGGAATCCTGTGATACTGTGCTGAATGCTGCGATTTCCTCCTATCGCATGGTGTTAGCATTGGTCCGACTTTTCCGCGCTAGCATTCATGCACACCGCCCTACCTTAAGGTGAGCGATCTCGCGGATTTGGGCCTGGATCTGCTTCTCCTGTCGGGCGCATTGTTGCTGAATAGACTCTATTAGGTGGCGAGCGTCGTCGGCTTGTTGTATGAGGATCTTGATGCGAATGTCCTTGTGCGCAAGCTGGTCCTTTAGCGTGACGTTATCATCGCGGAGTACCATGCTGCGCAGCTTCATTCGGCGCCCGTCTTCCTCCCTAACCAACAGGTCAGCCTGATGGACAGCCTGTTTGTATCGCATCTCCAGCTCAAACATCCTCTCTGATTTCTGTATCGGGACACATTGTTAGCCAACGAAGGGGGGCGCGCGGACCGGACGTCGAGGGTGGGCTATAATTGACCTGTTCGGGATCCATGTTTACACATGGCGACACGCGTTTGGCAGGCATAGAGATGCAGACGCGCGCAATTATTACTGCAATAGAATAATGCGTAAAGTCAAACGCAATGTAATGTTGACGGTCGCAATCCTGTAATTCGAAACTTGTATATTTTGTTGTCGTGCTTTGGTATGAATTCGGGGTTGATAGTGGTGGTGTGGTTGTTGGGTGGTATTGAAAATGACGAAGTCAAAAGGACGAGAGCAACCTAACAACGGTCAGATTGCCCGCCAAACCTTGAAGTAAACAATGTTCCGGAAGAGGGTTAGCCTTGGTGCGGCCCCACTGAAGAATGGGGAAAGACTGGATGGAAATGGAGCCGCATCCTTGCTGTTGCCAGCCGGCAGCTTGAGCTCCACAGGTGGGAGAGGTACCTGGAGGTACGTACCGGGACACGCATGTCATTTGAGGACACCTTGGACACCTCGATGTTTGGGAGCTGCCCGTGCTGCTGTCCAGTGAGCTGTGTCCACTGTATCCCGTCAGCTAGCTGTACCTTGGGTCGCCAAGCTTAACCTCAGCGACAACCATCACCATCACCATCACCAACCTCGACGACGCCGACGACGACAACGAGGCCACATCGAGAGAATTGGAAGCAATTGGCCGGTCACAATTGCCCACGACAACACTCTTTTGCTCTGGTTAAAATACAAAGCTCGACAAGATGCGCTGGCTGCCCGCCTTCCTGTCGGCGTCGCTGTTCGCGGCCGGATCGTTTGCTGCTAAGAAGTCCTCCGAGGAGCGATTCGCAGAGTTCCACGCCAAACAGACATCCCACGCCCCCGTCAAGCTCAACGATGCCTCCTTCAAGTCTCTCACTGCCGCCCCTCGCGATTATAGCGTCGCCGTTGTCCTGACAGCTCTCGATGCCCGCTACGGCTGCCAGCTCTGCCGCGAATTCCAGCCTGAGTGGGAGCTTCTCTCCAAGAGCTGGGTCAAGGGCGACAAGTCTGGCGAGTCTCGTGTTATTTTTGGTTCTTTGGATTTCGGTGAAGGCAGAGAGACCTTCATGGGTGTATGTGGCTAAGTTCACTCTCGAAGAAACAGAGAAGCTAACAACTTGTAATAGTTCGGCCTCCAAACTGCTCCCGTCCTCTTCTTCTTCCCTCCCACTACCGGTCCCCACGCTGCTGCTAGCCCCGAGCCAATCCGCTATGACTTCACCAATGGACCCGTTCCCGCCGAAATGGTGCACTCCTGGCTTGTCCGCCACCTTGATGGCCGCCCTCATCCTCCCGTCAAGCGACCTGTCGACTACCTCAAGTGGGCTGTGAGCTTCACCATGATTACCGGTAGCTTGACTGCCGTCTACGTCGCCTGGCCTTACGTCGTGCCCGTGATCCAGAACCGCAATGTCTGGGCCGCCTTCACTCTGATTGCTATCCTGCTGTTTACCAGCGGTCACATGTTCAACCAGATTCGCAAGGTCCCCTATGTTGCCAACAACCCGCGCGGTGGTGTGAGCTACTTCGCTGCTGGCTTTCAGAGCCAGTACGGCTTGGAGACACAGATTGTTGCTGCTTTGTGTAAGTTCTCGTGAGCTCTCCTATCCGTCTGCCTTCGGGATCGCTGACTTTGGATGATTTATTAGACGGTCTTCTTTCCTTTGCGGTCATCTCCTTGGCCGTCAAGGTGCCCAGGATTGCCGATCCCAGGTCCCAGGTTATCACAGTCTGGGCTTGGAGCGGCGTTATCCTGCTTGTGTACAGCTTCCTCCTGAGCATCTTCCGTGTCAAGAACGCTGGCTACCCATTTTACCTGCCGCCATTTATGTAAGGCGGCAGCGAGTGATGAGGCAGTATAAACGATACATCCTGCCAAGATCTATATCGCCAGGCTTGCAGAGCTAAACACACATTTTTAGGCGGGTTTTGCTTCAACGGCCATTGTTAGTTGTAAAATAGAGCTATTGCTTCTGAGAGGAATAGGAAAACAAAAGGAATAGAGCCACTCGAGTCACACAAAAGCATTGACGCAAGAGACAGAGTTTATAAAGACTTCATAAAGCCCCTGTCGGATTCTGTGTCTGCTAACGGGTTGAGAGATGCAACTGGCGGCAATATTTTGTTCCTTCTCCGGCCCTTCGTCTCTCACATCTGACAATACAATCAACAGCCAAGTCTCGCTCCGTGCCTGACACTCAGTCCCCCATTAACAGTCATCACGTCGTGCTTCAAGCAATGGAAAGTTGGGATGTGACAAGAGAGAACGACATGTTGAGCCGTCCAGTCGTTTTAGCCGAACCGGCGAGGGAGGAAGAGAGTAAGTATTATACTTCGGACGTAACGTACCGGGCGGCATGTTTACCCCAGCTTTTCAACTCGTAGATTCCGTCGCGCCTCACGACTGGTGACTGTGCCGGCTAATAAGCCGCGGCTTAATGAGAGGCACTTTATACCCAACAGCGAATGGCAAGCAACATATCCCGTCTTCAGATCATGGGATTGCGGATCATCCATATCGAGGGCGATTTATCCAACAACGACCACTTGGCGACTTGACCAATTCGATCCGGAGGACCCTTCGGTGGCCATCTTACATCTCCAGGGCAAGACAGCAATTCTCATCATAAGAAAGCCTAGACTCAAGAATTTGAGTGTTTCTATACCATCCATTGTAGAGAACCGCCACTCCTAACCGTTGTGCTACTCGGGAGTCGGGGGTGGCATTTCCCCAGACCATCAAGCTCGGCATTTGTCAAAGAACCGTAAACATTTACCGATGGCAGAACCACGGTGCTTCTTCGAGAGGTAGGGTACAACTCTGATGTCACTTGAGCTATTGCCTTCAAACGTTCATCACAGAGCTATGCGTGGTGGTTGAGTACCATAACAAGACCAACAAGGCTTCTCCGTCTCCAACTTAATGCACGGATGTAGAAGCCTTAGGCCGAGGCCGTAGCCCCTCCAATACAGAAGTTTAAAATTCACGGAGCCTCAGCTGGCTCGCAATATCTACCTTTTTTCCGCAAATCCCAGGAAGGTTGTCTGACTGCACGAGATCTTCAAGACACCCTAGACCAAGGGGCCGCCATCCGAAAGGACCTACACACCCACCACAAGACGTGCATGAAGGAGTCTAGACTGCCTTTCCATATTGGGTTTCCTTCTCTAGAAACGCCGCCGCCTCCTCCTCTTCCTCAAGACACTCAACTTCCCCACACTTTCTCAGGAACCAATCGCCAATCCCATGCTCGGTCCGAGCAATGGTTCGACTGAGAAGGCAAGAGATTAAAGTCAAGTGCTATATGAACAAAAGTGGGCATGGGACCTGAAGAGCGTAGCTTCCTCCGTCCACTGAAGAGCTGTAAACAGTTGAGGCGACTCTCAAAACCCTGCATGAGATGTATCCATGCGAATGTGCTTGGTCAAGGTGGACTCCTCAAAGTGACGACCTCGGAAGTTCCAGGCCGAGAAGATCTCGCGTGTGACGGGCCTGCCTTCCTGATTGCCATGCTGTGTTATTGTTCATCTCGAACCGCCCTCAGGGAGGATGGGAGGCGAGGCGAAATCGGCACGACTAGGTGGAGGAAAGATGATAAGTGTGTATGGCTCAACCTGGTTAACCAGAAGACAGACAACCGGGACAGTATGCCGAACGAGGAAGGGAACTCATCAGTATAAAGACCACAAAGCACCTCCCCGCTTCTGATCCTGCCATTCCCAACTTCTTCATCTCCCCCCATCATCATCACACTCAAGCAGTCAGTCTCTGGTTCGTGCCCCTCCTCCCCTGTTTCACGATGAAGTTCTCCAACTCCGCCGCGTTGGCCTTTGCCGCCACCGCCATCGCCGCCCCTTCCACCCCTACCTCGCAGGAGAAGCCGCGCGCCGTCCAGGCCGGCTGCGCCTCAGCCGTCACCCTCGACGCCAGCACCAACGTGTGGAAGAAGTACACGCTCCACGCCAACAAGTTCTACCGGGCCGAGGTCGAGGCGGCCGTCGCGGCCATCTCGGACTCGAGCCTGGCGGCAAAGGCTGCCAAGGTGGCCGACGTCGGCAGCTTCCTCTGGCTGGACACGATCGAGAACATTGGCAAGCTGGAGCCGGCGCTCGAGGACGTTCCCTGCGACCACATCCTGGGCTTGGTCATTTACGACTTGCCCGGCCGTGACTGCGCTGCCAAGGCCTCCAACGGCGAGTTGAAGGCTGGCGAGCTCAGCCGGTATAAAACTGAGTATATCGATGGTGAGTCTTTCTTTGTCTGATGACCCGCCCGCCCCATGGTATCCCAGAAAGAAAGAAAAGGGGCTAACAAACCACTCCCATCAAAACAGCCATCGTCAAGATCCTCAAGGCGCACCCCAAGATCGCCTTCGCGCTCGTCATCGAGCCCGACTCGCTTCCCAACCTCGTCACCAACTCGGACCTGCAGACCTGCAAGGACTCCGCGTCCGGCTACCGCGACGGCGTCGCCTACGCCCTCAGGAACCTCAACCTCCCCAACGTCGTCATGTACATCGACGCGGGCCACGGCGGCTGGCTCGGCTGGGACGCCAACCTCAAGCCCGGAGCGCAGGAGTTGGCCAAGGCCTACAAGGCCGCGGGATCCCCTAAGCAGGTCCGCGGTTTCGCCACCAACGTTGCTGGCTGGAACCAATGGTATGTTCACCACATCTCGTGGGACTAAAAGAAGAAGAAGAAAGGTTGCTGATGATAGTATCGTAAAACAGGGACCTCTCCCCAGGCGAATTCTCCAAAGCCTCCGACGCCAAATACAACAAGTGCCAAAACGAGAAGCTGTACCTTGACAACTTTGGTCCGGCCCTCAAGTCCGCGGGCATGCCCAACCACGCCATCATCGACACGGGCCGCAACGGCGTCTCCGGCTTGCGCCAGGAGTGGGGCAACTGGTGCAACGTCAACGGCGCCGGCTTCGGCGTTCGCCCGACTTCTACCACGGGCCACGACCTCGCTGACGCTTTCGTCTGGGTCAAGCCCGGCGGCGAGTCTGATGGTACCAGCGATAGCAGCGCAACTAGGTACGATAGCTTTTGCGGAAAGAGCGATGCGTATCAGCCTAGTCCCGAAGCCGGGACGTGGAACCAGGATTACTTTGAGATGCTGTTGAAGAATGCTAAGCCTTCTTTCTGAGAGGGAGGGGGAGAGGGAGAAGAGGTTTGGGTAGGGGGTTGAAAGCAGGGTGGCAGGAAAGTGGGAGAAAGGAAGCTGGGTTTGTCCTTGGAAATGAGAAGCAACTTGGATAACCAAAAATTTGGTACTGTACCGGTTTCTCCTAGGATTTGCTTTTTGTTCCCTCTCATAGTCAAGACTAGAGAAACAATGTCCAGCTAGTCATTGCGTGCATAACGATTGCCCTTTTGCTCCATGGAATATTTCACGACCTCGTCCTGGGCTATAAACGGACATCTCCTTCTGATATGTGTTAAAGGCCGGAACCATGGCTTACTCCCCGAGTGTCCTTCCAGCCATGGTTGCTTCGTTGTCGATATCAAAGTGATGTTCAGGGTCCCTGGGAGTCGTCAGCTGAATACATCTCCACTCTCAGGCCCGCTTGCCACGTGTGGTTTGAAGCCAAGTTTGGGTCGATGAAGCCTGGTCCCTGTTGTCATCCACACCATAAGCGCGGAAGTCGTGGTGGAGATGTCACCTTTGTCTCACTTCCCGATTGACTACCTACTGAGTTCTCTTTCGTGCCAGACTGGAGGCGAGCTGTTGGTACGTGTTGGAGCCGGAAGAGAAAACCTTGCAAAAGGAACGTGTAAAGTGACGGGTTGGGAAAGGAAATAGCAGATAAACATGAAGACGTGCGCGGGATACTACGCGCTTATAAACATTGTTAACATGTTAACTGGGTATCTCACAAAACAACAATAACACGAGCGTGAAAGAAGAAGGGACGCGCGCAGATCGCAAAAATGGGGCTCACCAAGACAGGTACTGCAAACCTCACAAAAAGGAAAGAGCGAAAAAAAAAGATTGTTCGGATGGCTGGCCGATTGGTAACCACAGGGACCACCCTACTGATACCAATCACCCCAGAGGTTCACAACTGTTACTACGGTAGCCCGAGCGAGACTAGATGGGCGGCCGAAACCCCCGGGCACCCGAAGGTGCAGGCCTGGGCAAATATTGAGTAAACAGCCGCCACCATGGGAATCGAACCCATGGCCTTTCGAGCAGGTTGTGGTGAGCTGTGCGCATCACCAAGTCCCACTCGGCCAACCACCCTGTTGACAAACAAGCTCGAAGACCCTCCTTATAAGGTCCCCCCTCTGCCGTCCCGTCTTACTATGGCACGGGCCCCAGGCAGCGACCGTTTCCGAACGGGCTACCGGGTGCTCCGTTAAGACCTCCTTTCCCGACGGTCGAACGGTCGAACAGGTGATGACGCCGATGGTGCACAAACGAAACAACCGCCCAGCAGAGCAAGTATGGCCAACATGGTATCATTTGCTAGAAATTCCTTGTCGTTCAGTCCAGCAACTCTTCGGGCCATAATGAATCTCGGCTGTAATGTGGCAGTTGACTGACACTGTCGCCTTAGTCCCTTATAGACCAAACCGTGTGGGAGGCTCTTGTTCACCCGGCAGAAGGCATCACACAGTGGGCTGCTCCGCGCTGGTCATTTCAAGTACAGGCTCTGGGCCTTCCAATCACCTCACTTGAACAGTCTGTACAAGCCCAGATAGGCCATGCCACATGAGAGACCGGTGATGGCCCATCTCCTACTCCTCATACCAAAGAAGGACTTGCTGGCCAGGATCTCGGCTTGGGCCTTGGTGAGCTGGGAGTGACCGGAGTAGTAGCTGTATGCGGCAAGACCAAGGAAAGCACTTCCACCTAGAGAGATTGTTAGCTTCTGAAGTTTCCAAGTATGAATACAGGAGTTCTCACCAATGATCCGGCAGGGAAGGCAGTCATCACCACGGTCCTGCTTGAGGATGTCCTGGAGCTTCTCAGGCCTGTCCAGGGTGTGAAGCGGGGGAATGTTGTCTTTGGCCATGGCTAATGACTCGACTGAGAGTTGAACGAGTGTGCTGACTCCGTCTAATGATCCCCTCGGTATTATTGACACCCCTGATGAGAGCACCCGGAGACGTGGAGTGAACAGTGGAGCTTGTTGGAGAGAGATCTGCCGTTGTCCACCGCCCACGCCGTTGACTTAGTCAAGCCTTGGCAAGGCAGTGAGAGCATGGGCCACCTGTTGTTGCGGGTTCGCATTGCGTCAGTGCTTCTGACAGTGACAGCGCTGGCACTGTCCCTGCCCATCGCTGATTGCCCAACTGCAACCCACAAGCCAGAGGACCACCATCACCGAACCCCTCCTGTTATCAAACTTAACCCTCGAGGTTCTCGTCTTTCTTCTTTTTCTTTCACCATGAACGGTGTCATCGAGGCCCTCCACATTTTCGACGAGCACAAGTAAAGCTGCACCCTTGAGACAGAGCAATGGAAAATACAAAAGCTAATTCCCAACTCCAGCAGCCCCATCCTGTCGCATACATACACATCGCGTCCGCTGTCGCCGTCGTACTTGCTGCCCCTCTATCTCGAACATGCCGCCCCGAGGCCGAACTTGATATACCTCCCTAATACCAACCCACCAACGCTCGTCTTCAGCCTCAAACATGCCAACCTTCTCTTTCTCCTAACAACTTCTTCAGAGGTCGAGCCGCTGCTCGTTCTCGAGTTCCTCCACCGTATCGTCGATTCTTTCGAAGAGTTCCTGGGCACCCCATTACTGGCCCACAAGATCGAGAGCAACTACGATGTCGTAGCCCAGCTTCTCACAGAGATGTGCGATGCCGGCACCATCAATACAACAGAACCCAATGCGCTGCGCGACTTGGTTGAGGTGGAAGGCTTCATGGGGAAGCTCCTCGGGAACTTGAACCTCCCCACGTATGATCATCCATTACCCGTTATGGACAAAACAAAACAAACCCCCTGACTGACTTGCGCATCTCTCCAGAAAACCTACCTTCTCCAACCCAAGCCCAGCTTCTCTCCTCGCCCAGCAGAACACTTTGGCCCTCCCCTGGCGCCGAAACAACGTGCGACACACCCAAAACGAGCTCTACGCCGACGTAATCGAAACCCTCTCTGTCACCCTCGCCCCATCCGGCCGACCTCTCGCCGCCTTCGCGAACGGCACAATCGCCTTCACCTCCAAGGTCTCTGGAGTGCCCGACATAGTCGTTACTCTAACCGGTCCGACCGGCAAGCACAACCTCGGCAGCATCATTGACCTACCTGTCTTCCACCCCTGCGTGCGCCTCGCAAAATGGCGCGAACAACCCGGCGTTCTCAGCTTCATCCCTCCCGACGGCCGCTTCACGCTAGCCGGTTACGAAGTCGACCTCCTCCCGCTGGGCGCCCGAAACCTAGGCAACATGAGCGCCCCAGCAAACAACCTCAAGCTCCCCGTCAGTCTCGAGATCAAGACCTGTCTCGGTCCCACCGGCTCCGACTTTGAAGTCCGCCTCACCGTCAACAGGATCCCAGGTACTGGTGGCGGCGGCGGCGGCGGTAGTGGCTCATCATCCAACTACCCGCTCTCCTCAGCCAGCGGCGTCGGTCGTGGCATGGGAGGCGGTCCCCAACCCGGCACGCCCGCCTTCCCCACGCTTCAAGACCTCAAAGTCACGGTGCCCCTGCCGGCGGACGTGCGCAACCTCGCCGAGATCCGCACCGCCAAGGGTGACGCCACATACAACCCCGGCGACCGTTTCCTCGAGTGGACTATTCCCAACAAAGACGTGGCCGCTGGCTTTGCCTCCCACTTTGCCCTCCGCTGCACCGTCGTCGGCCAGTCTTCTGCTGGCGAAGACGAAGACGACAACGACGATCCCACCGGTTTCGGCTTCAACACCTCCTCCGTTGGAGGCCGCGACTGGTCCTACGACGCCGGTGAACCAGCACCTTACCAGAGCGCTAGCGATTTGCTGTCCAGCGGTAGTGGTAGCAAACAACTAACAGCTGAGCAAGAAAAAGAGGAAAAAGAGCGGAGGGACGGGAAACTGGCGCAGCAGAACAAGATCCTGATGCCCAGCTCGGCGAGCGTGAGCTTTGCGGTCAAGGGGTGGACGGCGAGCGGGATCAAGGTGGAGAGCATCGTGCTGGATCCGAGGAGGAGTAAAGGACTGGCGGAGACGGTGAGGCCGTTTAAGGGGGTCAAGTATTTGACTGTGAGTAAGGGGGGTGTGGAGATTAGATGTTGATGTCTGAAGGATGAGGAGTGGGGAGTGAGTGGGTGTAGATTTCGGTTTGGGGCAAAGGGGAAGAGGGGGGGGGGGGGGGGGGATAATCAAAGTGTGTTGTTGTGGTGGTGAACGAGTAGATGTTTATGAGCATGTCTTCAAGATGGTGGTGGTGAAGAAGCATTGATTATCGTGGGATGTCTTCCCTTGTGTGTATAGACGCTATCTACCGGCATATGGACGTCTCTTTCTTCTAAAGACAAAACATTATTCCTTCTTGGAAAAATTCATACCTGCAGTGTTGATTCTGATAATTGGTTTGTTATTTTCGTTGATTTAGCCTCGCTCACAACTCCTGTTATTAGGTAGTTTGAATGAACACTCACTCACCAATCAAACATGAAGTCTCAGTCAGTCAGTCAGCAAAGGTCAGCCAGTAAAGAGTGACTATATAACTTTGCTACATACATACTTTCCAAGTTCACTCTACGAGTTATGATGGTCCGTCTTCGGTACCGGTATTTAACATTCCTCTCTCTTTCTCTTTGCCGTCTGGGGCTGCTGCTTCTCATTATCGAACTAGAGATGCTATCGTTACCTATCCAAGTGTTCTCATCTGGCTGAATGTTTGTTCTTCTTATGTCCGCCTGACCTGAACTTAACTGACTCAATTGATCATGTTTTTCTTTTCATTTAAAAAAGCGTCATCTTGCTGTTTTGCCGTCTACTGATTTGAACATGGAAAGCTCACATGACCTAACATCGATGCTTCTTTTGATATGAAATGTTGATATACCAAAAGGGCATCACTGTATCAACCGGTCTACGGGCACGCACGTATGTATATACTTCTCCCTCGCACGGAGGATGAAAGCACACGATTTGAGTTCACTGATGCCACGAGTATGATAACTCCAGCGTAGAGCTTCGTTTGTTTTTTCATGTCCATTGCTAGACTACAAATACAGGCACTTTTTTTCCCACTAAGCTGGCGTTCTGTGTAGAATAATATTGCTTCGTAGAACGACAAAGACGCATTCTCTTTTCTGGTCAAATCGGCCTCCATAGTTAAGCAATTATCGCCAAGTGTAACGCAAATGTCTCCTCCTCCTCCTCCTCCTACGTCCTTCAACACGTTCAACAATAATTTCCCCTTGGCAATCCATGGTCATGATGTCAGCATAACAGCTTTGAGTCCAGGTCATCACACTCGAAGGACGTTTGATCGCCAAAGAGGGTTTCTGTCGTCCGTCCTAGGACAAGTCAAAAGCTGCTGGCATCGGGTTGTGTCATTGTGTTCAGTCAGAGGTAACCGACTACAGGAGATCAGTTCCAGCTTTGGACCTCGAATATCCAAGATTAAAGGCTTTCGCCCGCTTGACCGGGTGGAAAGCTAGCCGCCTATGCTACCTGGTGAAACCGTTGTGAGTGACAATATTCCAAAAAGTCATCATTTTTTAGTGTTGTTTCCAGAAAATAGGCACAGAAAGACCCAGAAAGATCAACGGTATCATATGTCCATGGAACAGCAAGAGACTTCGACTCCAGTTTGATTACCACATGTGTGTGATGTCCTGTAAGTCGTGATTGTAGCCGCTTGACTATAAATATGATGTGTCGGTGGAGATGAGGGGAGAAAGCAGGGAGGGAAAGTGTGATGTCGAAGGGTAGGACACTTGGCTTCGAGAAGAAGGGATGGGATGCGAGAAGAGTCTTTTGTGACGACGCTAGTGTCTGCAAGTAATCATGGAGGTTAACTCAAGGCCGCTGGACTGCCAGGGATGCATATATCTCCGAGAGTTCGTCTGTATTTGTGTTATGGGTGGGCGGCAAGGTTTGGGGGTACATAAATAGGTCGTGATGTTGGAAGCAGTGACGTTAAAAGTGGATCCGAATCGACGCAGGTACGGTGTTGAGATCTGGCACAGATGGCCAGGTACTGGTACCTATGTGCGGCTCTTCGTCATGCCCTGGACCCCAAACCGACACGACCACGAGGCATGGCATGTGGAGGCTACTAACAAGCATTGCTTTGGCTAAGTGTGATGAGGGAACCGTTGACGCAGATGCCCATCTTGGGATGCGGAGGACGGGTAGATGTGACGGAACGCTGGGTACCCTGGCACTGAGGAGGTGTTGTTGGTCCGGCTAGGGAAGCAGAACAAAGAGAAGGGTCGGGTTTGGTGTTCTATATTTGGCCGGCCAAGTGACGATACCGATGCTCCGGCTTGACGTAACGGCGATGGCCCAAGTAAATCCCCGATGGTGTTGAGACAAGCCAGCCACAACCGCCGACGCTACATTAGAAGCCTTTTGAGCCGCCCAGGGAAGCGCCGTGACTCTGGCTGCGTTGCATATCCATCATGAACTAGCCAAGCTAGTCCAATGCCCTCGACATATGTTCCCTGATCCAGAAGATTTAAGGGAGCAGTTGTTTGAAGCCGTCTTGTGAATGTAAGCGCTCGGCGCATAGAAGGACCGTCGACAGACAAAGCCCAGCTCCTGACTTGATACTGTATGCATAGCATCCAATGTTGACAGTAGTGTTGACAAGGGATGAAGCACAGTGTGTCGCCCGTGCACGTCAAGTGTGGCTAGTAGCCGTTACGGTGTAGCCATGACTGCAAGAGATGGCAGGAGTTGTCAACGTATAGCGCCCACCCTTGAGCTCGGTATGCGGGCATGGGAGTCGAGGGATGGCTGGTAGACGGCTCTGTTTGGCTGACAAGAAACTAGAGAGACTGTTAGGCGCCCGATATTCTGCAAGTAACTGGAATTATCTCAACTTACGGATGGCGGATGGAAGAGTTCTAGAAGTGTAGAAGACGGGACAGTGGTTAACAACGGAGAATAGAAGTGTTGTTGTTGACAACAAAATAGTTCATAGGGCGCTTAGGAGCATCGAGTTGGTTCGTGGGGTAAACATGGAAGCCTTGGCAGGGGCATCGAAGCAGTGGAGGGCGGCTAAAAACAGAGACCGCGGCGGCTCCAGCGAATCGCGAAGTGGCTGGAGT